AGAAAATATATATTTGGGACTCCTCATGTATTACCCATGGGAATAATACATGAAAATAATTATTAGTTTCAAATAAAATCACTCCATTGAACCGAGTATGATAGTACTACGCTCATAAAATTGAACGATCATCGCAAGACTAGAGATATTCGCAAGATATTGCGAAGCACTTTTCTGAAACACAACCTAGTGCCCTACTGCCCATATTTAAAATGAGGAAACATTTCTTACTACATATATAGTATGAACTCATCAATTCTCTCTGCAAGTCGATCGCATAATATTGGGAAGACAATGGCTCCTAAAAGTTTTCAATTTAGTAAGAAATAAAAAATGATTTGTCAACGCCCGGTAACGTTAGGTACTCTGATAAAGTAGTCAGTCGGTTGCATATATGTTGAATGGTTGTCAAGCCAGCATTCATCTTTTAAGTATATGTATATTTACTTCTTCTCGCCATTTGCTCAATTATTACCTGCTGTTTATCAAGTTTAATTTATTTTTTGATTAAAAATATCTCTTTTTAGGCTGTTCGACTAAAAATGCTATGCGCTGCGTGTCTCTGTATTTACTGTTGGATTTGTATCGCGTAATATCAACATGATCAAAGCCCATTCACCGGAATTAAAGAAGTTTATGTATATATTAGAGATTGGATTTAAAGTTAAATGGTGGACGATATGTTACGGGTGTTTTGAGAGGTTTCGATTTCTTTATGAATCTAGTTGTGGATGCCATCATCCACAGACAACAGAGCGCAGGAAAGAATTCTAATAGAATTCAATATTTCAGCTTTCAATCAGGACTTCCACATTTCATGAATTTTGACTCAACAATTTCGCCAGCATTTGTTGTTTTTAACTAGAGACATTGAGGCGGAAAAATTAGGCTCACATAGTGCAGTGAAAAATCTTATTTAATCACGTATTTTCATACACACATATAACAGTGAGCTAGTTACAAACAGGTATTTCGAGTAAATAGCACAAGAGGTAAATATTTCTAGGAAGATATTAGTAACTAACGCTACGTCCGCAATTTGATGGACAACTATAACAAAAGCTGGACACATTCGGCGTTGGTACCAGCATATCTGAATAATAACATGGCTGTTGTATCATTAACGTTTCCTGGAATGAAATTGAACAGCTCACAAACCGATGCGCAAGGCTGAAAGTAATACAAAACGACATCCCGTTTACGGATTTCCCTGTCGAACTGGTAGCCTATTTGTGGCATTGTATTTGAGCATCTGGAATTCTTCCAGGTTGAATGAACTACAGTTGCAATGCTTGAGTCGAAAATGCTCTTTTTATAAAAAAAAAAATCGAAATAGCTCAATATGTAAGTGGCGAGACCGAGTATAAAGTTTTCACTTTTGAACAATCTCGGGAAAATCAAATCATCATTCTTTCAATTGAATTCTACAAGTATATTTTTCTAGCGGATTTCATCCAGAAAATCATTTTTTCACGTGGTTTGTCAACTTTTTGTTAATTCAAAATAAAGTTCGAATATGGCTTACCGTTGTTGTTTCATTATGATACCTCGAGGCATAAATATAAACCTCAGCTATCTTTGCAAAAATTAGTGGTAGACGTTAAGATGTTATTCAATCATCGGTATGGTACTTTCAATGAGTCAGAAACAGGTATTACAGGTTACTAATACAAGAAGTAAGCTTCTCCTTATATTATGCGATCAACATGCAGAGAGAATTAAGGCGTTTAAACTGTACAGCTGATAGGTTAGGAGTTTTCATGTCCTGCCGATCCACACAATGATTTCGACAATTTGATGATCCCGGTAAAAAAATTCATTGTACAGCAGGATTGGGCATACAATAGGAGTAATCTTCCATAAGTTAGAAACTTTTGATGATGCAATGACCATTTTTATATTTACAAGTACCGTGGGAAATTAGAATTGTTATAACAACATTCTAGAATTTGCTCTGTGAAAGATCAGAAATACATTATCTACAGATTTCGTCAACACATTCGTATAAACATGTGTCTACACAGTTACATCAATCCTATTACCTAGAACTTCAGTTGTGGATTATTTATTGAAAATTACATCTTGCAAAATTATCAGGAACATTTCCCAGAATGTCGTGGTAATTAACTATATTAGTTTATAATATGGTCTGTAACGTACAGCCGTTAACTTATACAGCCCGTAGGCGTGACCACAAAAAAAATCATGTTAAACTAAACTATAAATGATGTTGATTGTTAAAACACGCCCATTCGATGATGCTCTAGTATTAAGCGCAATTACATTTGAGGCACTTGCTATATGAAGATATTCAATAGAATAGATGGAGAGTTTGTATCAGAGAAAGTATTCCACATCTATAAAGACAAAATTCGTGACTTGCGTCAACAGATAACTAACGGTCTTTTAGTCCTAAATAAAACGAAAAAACATACAAACAAATTATCGACAAAACAATTTGAACTGCCCCTAGTAACATAAATATATCAAAATATCTCGGTGATACTGAATAGCAGGAGACGGTCTAGCATTTGGAATCATTTTCATTGCAACCTGTGTGCTAGTGACATCATTTTACGAAATTTTAAAAATACCAATCAGATACATATTTAAGTGAAAATGACTTCTTAGCAGGAAGGCAAAGTGACTTGGCACTAAATTTTATATTGGATGTGGCAACAATTTAAAATAAGAATAAATAGATATTAACACAAAAGCATCAAGATAATGGTGAAAGAATTTGTCTTCAAGATTTGCATTTTTCTGTGGACTGTTCAAGTCATTCAATCAGGCAATTTCTCGCCCAAGCAAGATGACCCGAGTAAGTCAAACTTTACGTACTGTAAAACATATCACATATGTGGGCTATAGTTTCCGTGTACCGGTACCGATCTTCAAAAACTTCAAAAGATTCGTTTTTTATGTGTCAGAATAAATAGCGACACCTTGTGGCGTGTTTCATATATTTAGCATAGCTCTCTTGTTATAAAGTGTTGTGTTTCTACAAGATTTACTATATCTGATGTTCTTCATAATCGCACATAGTCAAACACTTCTAATTGTAACCACGTTAATGGCTTCAAAATTCCCCAAGCATTTTCCACGACAGGACGGTCTTACTTTAAGTAATCCGGTCGAAACGGGAAATGACTCATTATTTTAGTGATCTCATGGCTCTTCAATACAATCTTTAATAATTATCTAATAAAAGATGTTAGTTGGATAACTCGACAAAACCGTACGATGCTCTTCTACAATAACAGTAGTTTCGCAACTAAAACTACCGATCTTTTCAATGAGGTATCAGAACCTTGGATGTCGCTGCCAGATAAACAACTTTGGTTCCTCGAGGTTTCCCTTTTCCATTAGAACTGTATGATTGTATGACTGATTTTTGAGTGTATGGAAAAATAAAATTGACTTGACTATTAGGAGATTGAATTTATATTCTGTTTACAATTTTTTTAACAGTTGCCTGCAAAGAAGGAGATTTCAGATGTTTGGATGGGAAAAAGTGCATCCCTTTTCATATTTTTTGCGACGAAAGAGCTCACTGCGAGTAAGTACATTTCTGAATTTGGAAACAAGATTAGCTCATACTAAAATTTTTATGGTTATATTTATTGGACACGTCAGTGGACATAACGATCGTTTTGCATTTCATGGTGGCACTCTTCTTCTTGTTGTTGTTCTTTGTCACAGAGAAAAAACGATTTTCTCTTTGATTACTGAACCAATCTCTTTAAAAATGTCAGTGCTTGAAGATTAAATTTTTCGCTAGAAGGCTATTGCTTTTATTTCAAATACTCCGAGAGATGGAAGCGACGGAATACTGTACTGGCAATCATAAGATATAATGTACCGAAGTATTGTGCATTCGTCTAAATACTCTAAGTAGTTTCAGATGCTGTTCAACGTCTATAAATTCTCTATACCTATAGCTGTTGCACTGAGCGGCATTAAAAAGTGCATATTTTAGTATATTTTAAGATGGTCAATACCTATTTCATATTTGCTGGTGTATTATCACAGTGATGGAAGCGATGAAGTTTTGTACAATGCTTCTATTCACACCGCCGATGATGGTGTTCCATGCCGAGGTTATGAGGATTTGACAAGAGTTTGTTTACTTCACAATTCTGTTGCAGAAAGAGAAGAACACATATGCAACAAAAGTAAAGGGTTTGAATGTTTTGAAAATATTCATTATTTTACCATTTTGTTGAATTAAGGATTATAATCAAATAACGATTGAATAAATATAAGTCGAGTGAAATCAATTACTAGCGAAATTGAATTTGACCTGATCGCGTTATTATATAGCCTTTTACTCACTAGAGCTGAATTAATAAAAACCTTGCCTAGACATCTAAACCAGATGTATAAAAACATAATAGGCCTACTGCCATGACAATATAACATTGAAATTATTTACGTCTTGGGTACGTTCAGAACGTGAGTGTCTAGGTGGATTCTTCACGTGTTCCGATAAATCAAGATGTGTGGATAAAGAACGTTACTGCGATGGAAACCCAGACTGTAGGTATGTAGTATGACTTCTTACCTTGATGCGGCGCTAACAAACTAACTCTAAAATTGAATTCATTCTCTGCAGTGATGGAAGCGACGAAATTGTTTACAATGCCTCAATTCATACAGAGAAAGATGGTTATTCTTGCTACATGGATGAATGGCAATATCCGAACTGTCTACTTCCCGTGGGAGGACATCCAAATCCACATGATTGGTGTGATCCCGGTGGGCATGCCTCATTGTTACAAATTCATGTTATGTTCAAGGCATTGAAATGGTAATGTTGTCTGGTGAGAGTTCCGATCAAACTATGCCGTGTACTAGATGTCTCATATGAAGAGATACAGTTTCGAACGCCGTAGTTTTTAAGGGATTAAGGTGATATTGAACATTACCCGGTTTCTTCCTGTACTTTGGCTACAAGTTACAACGTGCTTTTAATTGTGCTTAATGGGTGCATTATTCACGTATTCAAGCCCTCATTTTACCTAACCTGGTCCATATTTATGTAATTATATTTTCGAATAAAAAGTTTTCAAATCCTTCCGACATTGCAGAAGTAAACTGTAGTCCAGATGAGTTTTTATGCGAGGATGGAAAGCAGTGTATTCCCAAGACACGATATTGCAATTTAGAAAAAGACTGCAGGTATACATCTAATTTACAACAAATCAACTTATTCTGGTACTAACTGAATGTGTTAGTAGACATCATATGTGTTTACATGATCTTAGAAAAATTATCCGTCTATGTTGCAAACTGTAACGCTTTTCGTAAACATCAGCATATGACGCGTACCCATTCATCAGCGATTTTCCACGGAGAAATGACCACCTATCTTGTTAAATGACTAATCAATTTGTCAGTTATTACCATTGGCCATAAAAGCGATTACATCTCTCAAAATTTTTAAAATGAATACTGTCGTTAGAAGTGGAATGAATCAGTACACGGATTTAAAATACAGTCAGTTTTTACAAATATTTTTATAAGGGATGGAAGCGATGAAATTGTCTACGATTCGTCGATATTAAAACCAAATGACCACAGAGTTAAATGTAAAAGTTTTGCAAAAGTCGATCACTTCTGCTTACTGGGAGGAAAATTTGTTTTTGATGAAGAGGATTACTGCAATTTAAACGACACACCGCCTGTTCAAGGTAACCAGAATTTAATTGGATTTCATAATAAGTAAAGATTCGCATGTAATTGAAGCATTTTCATACCACTAGAATGCAATAACAATCTTCTTACAATTTTCCAACAGTTGCCTGCAAAGAAGGGTATTTCAGATGTTTGGATGGAAAAAGGTGCATAAATTTTTTTGATTTTTGCGACGAAAGAGTTCACTGCGAGTAAGTTCATTAACGAATTAAAAATAAAATTGAAATTTATGTTTGTGCATTTCCGTATTTTATTTTGTCATCCTGCTTATTCTGATTTAGAGACGGAAGTGATGAGATATTGTTCGACTCAGCGATTCATACACCAGACAACGGAGTGTCGTGTCAAAATAAATTTAGAGACAGATTCTGTCTTCTACCACCCGATTATGATTCTTCAAAGCATTGCTTTTCTATCGAATTTGATTGTCTTCCTGAATGGTTTATTTGTGCTAGTGGAACTCAGTGCGTTCATAAAGAATCATTTTGTGACGGGAATTCATATTGTCGGTAGGTTGTTCCTTAGATGGAGATTTTATAATCGCTTCGTTAACACTCAAAAGCAGCAAAAAGTGGCAATTATTAGATATAAAGTATTGAAGTTTTGTGCACTCGTCTAAAGTTTCAGATGCTCTGCACCTTCTATATACTTATAATACTTATATATGTTTCATTGATCACTGAGCGACAGCAAAAGGTGACTATTTTAGTATATTTTGAAGTGGTACTTGCTATTTCGTTTTTGCTAGTCATATTCATCACTCAGATGAATAGATGGCCATTTCAATATCACATTTGAAATGCAAAATGCGTGTACAAAATCATAGATATAAGTGTATTATCGCAGTGATGGAAGCGATGAAGTTTTATACAATACTTCTATTCACACCGCCGATGATGGTGTTCCATGCCGAGGTTATGAAGATTTGACAAGAGTTTGTTTACTTCACAATTCTGTTGCAGACAGAGAACAACACATATGTAATAAAGGTAAATAAATAGTACGAATGTTTTGAAAATATTCATTATCTTACCATTTTGAGTAATTTAAGATATATATATAATCAATGATTGGGCTGAATGATTGACTGAATAAAAGCTTTGTAAAATCAATTACTGGCGAAATTGAATTTGATATTTATTTGACCTGATCGAGTTAATATATTGCTTTTTACTCATTAGAGATGGATAAATAGAACCATTGCCTGGCCATCTAAACCTTATGTATAAAAGCATAAAATGCCTACTCTCATAACAATATAACACTGAATTTGTTACGTCTTATGAATGTCAAAATGTGAATATTTATATACTTGGATATGTTCAGAACGTGAGTGTCTAGTTGGATACTTCAGGTGTTCTGATAAATCAAAATGTGTTGATAAAGAACGTTACTGCGACAGATACCCAGATTGTAGGTATGTTGGGTAATTTCCTACCTTGATTCGGGCGCTAACAAACTAACTCTAAAATTGAGTTCATTCTATGTAGTGATGGAAGCGACGAAATTGTGTACAATGCCTCGATTCATACAGAGGAAGATGGTTATTCTTGCTACATGGATGAATGGCAATATCCAAATTGTCTACTTCCCGTAGGAGGACATCCGAATCCGCATAATTTTTGTGATCCCGGTGAGCATGCGTCATTGCTACAAATCCATGTTATGTTTAGTACATTGAAATGATAATGTTGCCTGGTGAGAGTTATGATCAAAGTATTCCGTGTATCGATATGTCTCCTATGAAGAATAACAGTTTCTACTGCCGTAATTATTAGGGGATTAAGGTGATATTGAAAATTACCCGGTTGCTTTCTGTACTTTGGCTACAACGTGCTATGAATTGTGCTTAATGGGTGCATTTTGCTCACATATTCAAGCCCTCATTTTTTTTACCTAACCTGGTCCATGTTTATGTAAATATATTTTCGAATTGAAAGTTTTTTAAATCTATCGGGCATTACAGAAGCACATTGTGGTTCAGATGGGTTCTTATGCGAGGATGGAAAGCAGTGTATTCCAAAGACACAATATTGCAATTTGGAAAAAGACTGCAGGTATACATCTAATTGGGGTATCAACTAAATGTGTTAATCGACACGAGCTGTATTTACGTGTTCTTAGAAGAATTATTGTATGTCTATGCTGCTTACTATAACGCTTTTCATAAACATCAGCATATTGCCGTTTCCCATTCATCAGCTATTTCTCTTGGGCAACTGACCACATATCTGGTTAATTGAATAATCAATTTGTCAGGTTTTATTTTTGGTCATAGAAGGCATGATGATTATTAAATGATTATTGTGGTTAGAAGTGAAAAAAATTAGTACACAGATATTTGGTCAGTTCCTACAAATATTTTTATAAGGGATGGAAGCGATGAAATTGTCTACGATTCGTCGATATTAAAACCAAATGATCACAGAGTTAAATGTAGAAGTTTTGCAAAAGTAGATCACTTCTGCTCATTAGAAGGGAAATTTGTTTTTGATGAAGAGAATTACTGCAATTTAAAGGACACACCGCCTATTCAAGGTAAGCAGGGTTTATTGGAATTTTGTTAGAAGTTAAGATTCGCATGTAATTGAACATTTTACATATCACGATACCCGGAGAAAGTATTTACAATGCTCTTACAACTTTTCAACAGTTGCCTGCAAAGAAGGGTATTTCAGATGTTGGGATGGAAAAAAGTGCATTCATTTTCATAATTTTTGCGACGAAAGAGTTCACTGCGAGTAAGTTCTTTGATAAAATAAAAATTTGGAAATTGAATGGAAATTTTTGTGTATCTCCTTATTTTAGGCTGTCATGCTATTTATTCTTGCTTATTCTGATTCAGTGACCGAAGTGATGAAATATTGTTCGACTCAGAGATTCACACACCAGACAATGGAGTGTCGTGTCAAAACAAATATAGAGACAGATTCTGTTTTCTACCTCACGAATATGATTCTTCAAAGTATTGTTTCTCTATCGAATTTGATTGTCGTCCTGAATGGTTTATCTGTGCTAGTGGAACTCAGTGTGTTCATAAAGAATCATTTTGTGACGGACATTCATATTGTCGGTAGGTTGTATCTTTGTTGGAGATTATATGATTGTTTTGTTGACTTTCAGAAGCAGTAAAAAGTGACAATTATTAGACATAATGTACCGAAGTTTTGTGCTGTCTTCTAAAGTTTCTAAAGTTGCATATTTCAGTAAATTTGAAGTTGTCAATTCCTATTTCAATTCTGCTAGTCATATTACACAGATGAATGAATAGCCATTTCAATTTCACCTTTGAAATGCAAAATGCGCATACAAAATTATGGATATAATTGTATTATCACAGTGATGGAAGCGATGAAGTTTTATACAATGCAGCTATCCACACCGCCGATGATGGTGTTCCATGTCGAGGTTATGATGATTTGACAAGAGTTTGTTTACTTCATAATTCTGTTGCAGATAGAGAAGAACACATTTGTAATAAAGGTAAATGATTTGAATGTGCCTTACCATTGTAAGGAATTTAAGATATATAATCAATGATTTTGAATTAGATGAATGATCGATTGAATAAATATAAGCTAAGTAAAATGAATTACAAGCAAAATTAAATTTGATATTTATTTGACCTAATCGATTTAATATAATTCCCTTTACTCGCTAGAGATGATTTACTAAAAGCCTTGCCTGGCCATCTAAACCTAATGTATAAAAGCATAAAATGCCTACTCTCATAACAATATACCACTGAATTTGTTACGTCTTATGAATGTCAAAATGTGGATATTTATATACTTGGATATGTTCAGAACGTGAGTGTCTAGTTGGATACTTCAGGTGTTCTGATAAATCAAAATGTGTTGATAAAGAACGTTACTGCGACAGATACCCAGATTGTAGGTATGTTGTGTAATTTCCTACCTTGATGCGGGCGCTAACAAACTAACTCTAAAATTGAGTTCATTCTATGTAGTGATGGAAGCGACGAAATTGTGTACAATGCCTCAATTCATACAGAGGAAGATGGTTATTCTTGCTACATGGATGAATGGCAATATCCAAATTGTCTACTTCCCGTAGGAGGACATCCAAATCCACATGATTTTTGTGATCCCGGTGAGCATGCGTCATTGCTACAAATTCACGTTATGTTTAGTGTATTAATATGGATGACAGTATATTTGAACCCACGTATATTTCAACCCATGTGTATATCCGCGGGTTCAATCTATATGCGGGTGCTGAAACTCATGGCTAACCCATGGTTAGTATGGGTTCAAATATTCGTAAAACAAAACAAAAAATCCATAGGTGCAATAGTATGCAGGTGCAATTGTTGCGGGTTCAAATGTAATGGGACCATTGATATGATATTGTTATCTGGTGAGAGTGCCGATCGAAGTAATCCACGTCTCCTAATAAACAAAAACATTTTCAAACACCGTAATATTTATGGAATTAAGGTGATATTGAACAGTACCCGGTTGCTTCGTGTACTTTGGCTACAACGTACTTTTAATTGTGCATAATAGATGCATTTCACTTACATATTCAGGCCCTGATTTTACCTAACTTGGTCCACATATATGTAATCATATTTTCGAATTAACATTTTTCTTGAATCCATCGGACTTTACAGAAGCACATTGTAGTCACGATGAGTTCTTATGCGAGGATGGAAAGCAGTGTATTCCAAAGACACAGTATTGTAATTTGGAAAAAGACTGCAGGTACATCTAATTTACAACAAAACAACTTATTCGGGTATAAACTAAATGTGTTAATCTACATCAGCTGTGTTTACATAATTTTGATAGAATTGTATATCTATGTTGTTAACTGTAACGCTTTTCGTAAACATCAGCAAATGAATGTTTTTCGTTCATCAGCGATTTCTCCTGGAGAACCGACCACCAAACTGGTTAAATGACTTATCAATTAGTCAGTTATCGTCATTGGCCATAAAAGCAATTACATCTCTCAAAATGATTCTTGTCATTAGAAGTGAAATAATTCAGTACACAGCTATAAAGTCAGTTTCTACAAATATTTTTACAAGGGATGGAAGCGATGAAATTGTCTACGATTCGTCGATATTAAAACCAAATGATCACAGAGTAAAATGTAGAAGTTTTGCAAAATTCGATCACTTCTGCTTACTAGGAGGAAAATTTGTTTTTGATGAAGAGGATTACTGCAATTTAAACGACACAGCGCCTATTCAAGGTAACCAGATTCATTAGAATTTCATTAGAAGTGAAGATTCCCTTGTAATTGAACATTTCACATAACATATTACATGAAAATGCCTTAACAATCTTCCTACAAGTTTTCAACAGTCAGATTAAAAAAACCTTGACTGGTCATCTGAAGATAATGTATAAAAACATAATAGCCCTACTACTGCCATAATAATACAGCATTAATTTTTTTTACGTCTTATGAATGTCAAAATGTGAGAATTTATATACTTCGATACGTTCAGACCTTGAGTGTCCGGTAGGATACTTCAGGTGTTCCGATAAATCAAACTGTGTGGATAAAGAACGTTACTGCGACAGAATCCCAGACTGTAGGTATGTTGCGCACTTTCCTTCATTGTGAAAATGTATACATTGATGCGGTTTTGAGGCTATTCATCATTGAATTTATGCTCTGCAGTGATGGAAGCGACGAAATTGTGTACAATGCCTCAATTCATACAGAGGAAGATGGTTATTCTTGTTACATAGATGAATGGCAATATCCAAATTGTCTCCTTCCCGTAGGAGGACATCCGAATCCACATGATTGGTGTGATCCCGGTGAGCATGCCTCATTGTTACAAATTCACGTTATGTTTAGTGCATTGAAATGATAGTATTGTCTGGCGAGAGTTTCGATCAAAGTATTCCGTGTACTTGATGTCTCCTATATGAATGAATACAGTTTCGAATGGGGTCATTTTTAAAGGATTAAGGTGACATTGAACATTCCTTGGTTGCTTCATGTACTTGGCTACAACTTGCTTTTAATTGATAGTAATGGGTGCATTTTGCTCACATAATTAGGCCCTGATTTTACCTAACCTGTTTCTTATTTAATTAATTATATTTTCGAATTCAAAAATTTTGAATCCATCGGACATTACAGAAGCAGAATGTAGTCCAGATGAGTTCTTATGCGAGGATGGGAAGCTGTGTATTCCAAAGACACAGTATTGTAATTTGGAAAAAGACTGCAGGTATACATCTAATTTACAACAAAACAACTTATTTGGGTACCAACTATATGTGTTGGTAGACATCAGCTGTGTTTACGTGATCTTAGAAGAACTGTATGTCTATGCTGTTGACTATAACGCTTTTCATAAACATCCACATATGATCTTTTTCCATTCATCCGCAATTTCTCTTTGAAAACTGCCTAACTGGTTTAATGACTAATCAATTTTTACCATTGGTTATAAAAGCCATTAAGTTTCCCAAATTCTGAAAATGATTCTTGTCGTTAGAAGCGAGATGGATTAGTGTACAGATATAAAATACAATCAGTTCCAACAAATATTTTTACAAGGGATGGGAGCGATGAAATTGTCTACGATTCATCAATATTAAAACCAAATGATCACAGAGTTAAATGTAGAAGTTTTGCAAAAGTAGATCACTTCTGCTTACTAGGAGGAAAATTCGGTTTCGATGAAGAGGATTACTGTAATTTAAACGACACACCGTCTATTCAAGGTAACCAGAGTTTATTAGAATTTTATTAGAAGTGAAGATTTGCATGTAATTGAACATTTTACAAACCACGATATCTGGAGAATACATTGACAATCTTCTTACAATTTTACAGCAGTTGCCTGCAAAGAAGGGTATTTCAAATGTTGGGATGGAAAAAAGTGCATCGATTTTCATAATTTTTGCGACGAAAAAGTTCACTGCGAGTAAGTTCTTCAATAAGATAGAAATTAAAAGTTTAGAAATAAAATTGAAATTTTTGTGCATCTCCTCATTTTATGTTGTCATCCTATTTATTCTTGCTTATTCTGATTCAGTGACGGGAGTGATGAAATATTGTTCGACTCAGAGATTCACACACCAGACAATGGAGTGTCGTGTCAAAACAAATATAGAGATAGATTCTGTTTTCTACCTCACGGATATGATTCGTCAAAGTATTGTTTCTCTATCGAATTTGATTGTCATCCTGAATGGTTTGTCTGTGCTAGTGGAACCCAGTGTGTTCATAAAGAAGCATTTTGTGACGGACAACCCTATTGTCGGTAGGTTGTTCCTTTTGTGAAGTTTTTAATGTTTGTTCTACTGAAAGATAGAGGGAAATATTTATATCTTCATTTGTTGGTCATTGACTTCTCAGGTTTTCAATAATGTGTATCATTTGTTATACTTTTATTTCCCCTAGATTGACTGTCGTTGGCTGATGTCTGCAACAGTACTTTTCGGAGCAATTAATACTGTTTGCCATCTATACTATTTTTTTATACTTCTAACTGCTAGGCATTGACCATATATATGGTCATTATAAGGGTGCTATCAAAAGACTCTCATACCTGTTTAATTTTGTTTGATTGCTAGTCATATTTATCAGATAAATGAACGTTCATTTCAACGCCTAGACTGAAATTCAAAATTACTGAATTAAACTATAATATAAATGCATTATTTCAGTGATGGAAGTGATGAAGTTTTGTACAATGATTCTATTCACACCGCCGATGATGGCGTTCCATGTCGAGGTTACCGAGATTTGACAAGAGTTTGTTTACTTCATAATTCTGTTGTTGACAGAGAAGAACACATATGTAATAAAGGTAGAGAGTTGAAATATTTTGAAAATATTCAATTTCTGAAATTTCAGATATACTCAAAGATGAGATAAGTGATTAAATAAAAAATATAGGCTGAATAAATTTTTGGCAAAATTGAAATTGATATTTTTTAAATCAGACAGAATTATTATATTTACTCAGTAGAAGAATATTTATGAAAAATCTTGCATTTCAATCTAGACGTCTAAATGTATATATTAAAAATATTATTGTCATTTAAATACAATATTGACATTAATATGCATCTTTTTATTGACAAAATGTATTTTTTTTTTGTATCTTTGGATATGTTCAGAACGTGAGTGTCTAGTTGGAAACTTCAGGTGTTCCGATAAATCAGAATGTGTGAATAAAGAACGCTATTGCGACAGAAACCCAGATTGTAGGTATGTTGCAAAATTTTCTACACTGTAAAAATGTATACATTTTGCGGTTTCGACGTTATTTATCATTGAATTTATTCTCTTCAGCGATGGAAGTGACGAAATTGTATACGATGCCTCAATTCATACAGAGGAAGATGGGTATTCTTGTTACATAGGTGAATGGCAATATCCAAATTGTCTACTTCCCGTAGGAGGACATCCGAAACCGCATCATTTTTGTGACCCCGGTAAGCAGGCCTCATTGTTATAAATTCAATTCGAGTTTGGTGCTTTGATAAAATTTTAATGGATGTTGATAGATACGATCAATAATTTTCGTGCACTATATGTGTCTTCTAAGCTAAAAGAATTTAAATCGACGCAATTATCATGGGGTTAAATTAATATAGTAGTACCCAGGAGCATTCTGTACTTGGCCACTAGTAGTGAAAGCATTTTGCTCGAATGTATGTCCCGATCTTAGCAATGTTATCCATTCTTATTTACACCTAATCGAATCCAAATTCAATTTCTACTATTAATTCATTTGTTATTACAGAAGTGGAATGTCCCTATGGATTCTTATGTGAGGATGGAAAGCAATGTATTCCAAAAACACAGTATTGCAATTTGGAGAGAGACTGCAGGTACTAACTTAGTTTACTATAATACAGCTTTGAGTGGTAACTGAATATTTTAGCATAGTTTTAAAAATTTCTTCTTGTCTACGCTGCTAATCGAAATTTTCTCCAAACATCGGACTTTGACGGTATACTGTCCACCAAATTTCACCCTTTGTGAACAAGTGCGATTTTACGTTGATAAATATTCTGAAATTGTTTAACCTCATTATACACTTAAAATTATTATGTAATGATGCTAAGCTCATTACTATAAGTTTTTTTTTCTCTCAAGGGATGGAAGCGATGAAATTGTCTACAATTCGTCAATATTAAAACCAAATGATCACAGAGTAAAATGTAGAAGTTTTGCAAAATTCGATCACTTCTGCTTATTAGGAGGAAAATTTGTTTTTGATGAAGAGGATTACTGCAATTTAAACGACACACCGCCTATTCAAGGTAACCAGAGTTTATTAGAATTTTATTTAAAGTGGAGATTTGCATGTAATTGAACATTTTACAAACCACGATACCTGGAGAATGCATTAACAATCTTCTTACAATTTTTCAACAGTTGCCTGCAAAGAAGGGTATTTCAGATGTTGGGATGGGAAAAAGTGCATCGATTTTCATAATTTTTGCGACGAAAGAGTTCACTGCGAGTAAGTTCTTCAATAAGATAGAAATTAAAAGTTTGAAAAATAAAATTGAAATTTTTGTGTATCTCCTCATTTTATTTTGCCATCCTATTTATTCTTGTCTATTCTGATTCAGTGACGGAAGTGATGAAATATTGTTCGACTCAGATATTCACACACCAGACAACGGAGTGTCGTGTCAAAACAAATATAGAGACAGATTCTGTTTTCTACCTCACGAATATGATTCTTCAAAGTATTGTTTCTCTATCGAATTTGATTGTCGTCCTGAATGGTTTGTCTGTGCCAGTGGAACTCAGTGTGTTTATAAAGAAGCATTTTGTGATGGATATTCCAATTGTCGGTAGGTTGTTTCTTTTGTGAAGTTTTTAATGTTTGTTCTACTGAAAGATAAAGCGAAATATTTATGTCTCCATTTGTTGGTCATTGACTTCTTAGGTATTCAATAATGTGTATCACTTGTTATACCTTTATCTCCACTAGATTAACTGTCGTTGGCTGATGTCTGCAACAGTATTTTTCGGAGCAATTAATACTGTTTGCCATCTATACTATTTTTTTATACTTCTAACTGCCAGGCAATGATCATATGGTCGGTAAAAGGGTGCTATCAAAGGAGTCTCATACCTGTTAAATTTTGTTTGATTGCTATTCATAGATAAGAACGTCCATTTTTCAACGTCTAGATTGAAATTTGAAATTACACAATTAAATTATAATATAAATGCATTATTTCAGTGATGGAAGTGATGAAGTTTTGTACAAAGATTCAATTCACACCGCTGGTGTACCATGTCGAGGTTACCAAGATTTGACAAGAGTTTGTTTACTTCATAATTCTGTTGTTGGCAGAGAAGAACACATATGTAATAAAGGTAGAAGATTGAAACATTTGGAAAAGATTTGATTTCTGTAATTTCAGATATACTCAAAGATGAGATAAATGATTAAATAAATATAGTTAAAAAATTTTGGCGACATTGAGTTTGATATATTTCTTAAATCAGACTGAATTATTATATTTACTCACTAGAAGTAGATTTATGAAAAATCTTACATCTTCATCGAATTCTAAACCTAATGTATAAAACAAATATTATCATTTAAATACAGCAATATTTAAATTAGTATGCACCTGATTAATGGCAAAATGTAATTATTTTATATTTGGATATGTTCAGATCGAGAGTGTCCAGTTGGATACTTCATATGTTCTGATAAATCAAGATGTGTGGAAAAAGAACGCTTTTGCGACAGAAACCCTGATTGTAGGTATGTTGCACACTTTTCTACACTGTAACAATGTATACAATGGTGCGGTTTCGAGGTTATTTATCATTGAATTCATTCTCTGCAGCGATGGAAGCGACGAAATCGTATACAATGCATCAATTCATTCAGATGAAGATGGGTATTCTTGTTACATGGGAGAATGGCAATATCCAAATTGTCTACTTCCCGTAGGAGGACATCGGAAACCGCTTCAGTTTTGTGACCCCGGTAAGCATGCCTCATTGTTACAAATTCAAGTCAAGTTTGGTGCTTTGATAAAAAGATAATGAATGATGATAGATACGATCAATAATTTCCGTGCATTACATGTGTCTTCTAAAGTAAAACAATTTGAAACAACGCAGTTTTCATGGGGTTTAATTAATATAGTAGTACCCTAGAACTGCCCTGGCTACTTGTAGTGAAAGCATTTTGCTCGAATGTATGCTCCAATCTTAACAATGTTATTCATTCTTAAGTACATCTAATATAAGCCGAATTAAATTTCTACGATTAAGTTCCCCTGTTATTGCAGAAGTGGAATGTCCCTATGGATTCTTATGTGAGGATGGGAAGCAATGTATTCCAAAAACACAGTATTGCAATTTAGAAAGAGACTGCAGGTACTAATTTAGTTTACAACAAAACAGCTCCGAGCGTAACTGAATATTTAGCAAGTTTTTAATTGCTAATTGAAATTTTTACTCAACATCGGACTATGATGGTATATCGTCCACCAAATTTCACCCTTTGTGAAAAAATGTTTTTACGTTGATATATTATCTGGAATTATTTAAAATTATTATGTAATGATGCCAAGTCTATTCCTATAAGTTTTTTTCCTCTCTCAAGGGATGGAAGCGATGAAATTGTCTACGATTTATCGACATTGGAACCTAATGACCACAGAGTCAAATGTAGAAGTTTTGCAAAAGTTGATCACTTCTGCTTACTAGGAGGAAGATTCACTTTTGATGAAGGGGATTTCTGTAATTTAGGCAAGCTAATTCACTTGTTATAGTAGTATATGAAAAATATTTAGTGAATCCTCTATTATATATACTATATATTATATAGGAAGTGACATGGCTAGAACTTACAAAAGATTTAACTTTATTTCTGATTCAGCAATATAAATTATACCTTGAAAATAGATTCTGAATGGGAAGTTGTAGAATTCTGCATATCGACAAATTAGCAAATAAAACAAAAGTTTTTCTCTTATTTTTAGAATGTTCTAATGACAGTTTCATGTGCGACGACAAATCAAAATGTATTGAACGCCATCGATTTTGTGACGGGATAAAAGACTGCGCGTAAGTCATTCCCGATACAACATTACTTTTTTCCCAAAAGTTTAACACTGAACAAGAATATATTTCTAATATTTTACTTCTCAGCAATATCAAACTGTGACTTTTTAATCCTGTACTTTTGAATTTGTAAGCGATCTGTGTAATTATTTCCTCCAGTGATGGAAGTGACGAAAGACGATTTAATGAATACAGAGACAAAATTAAGGGTGTTGGATGCAGAAGTTGGACTCTGTTGAGTCGTATTTGCTTGTTGCCCACTGATCAGGCTAATAAAAGAAAGAACATTTGTAACGTTGGTTAGTATGGATTATTGTTTCATGGGAATAAATTGTATTTTAAGGGCTTTAAAAAGTACTCAAATAGTTGATATTAGTATTAATCGAGTTACAATTACAATTGTAAATAAATTCTACACTAATATATATCGATATAAACATTATAAAGCCTATAAATGTACTTGTTCTGAATATGATTCTTAGCAAAATTGGGGTGCATTGCTAATACCTTTATTTTTGCATCTTCGTAATGGTAACCAGAGACGGTAATTTGTTAATCGGAAAACTCCAGTGAGCTCCTTACACTTTAAGCTATTATCTGTATTACGATACAATTCCTGGTTGAATAATTCTGTTTCTACACCGCGAAAGTCGTGCCCAGACAAAAATGAGGGAGTGTGTTTCTGACGAATCTAAAGAAAAAGAATGATAAACACCACCACAACCCATACGCTTAATGCGACTAACTTCGTCATCTACTATTATTTTAGCACCTCGTAGGTGCGATGCAGGGTTTTTCAGATGCTTGTCAGGAATGAAATGCATTCCGAAAGAAAAATTTTGCGATGGAAAACGAGATTGCAGGTGATGAAATTTATCATTATGTTCAACTAGGAAAGACTAAATAATTTTACGCCAAGTATTTTTTGAAATCACGTCGATAGTCATTGTCGAAATCGCATTGAAGTTGTAAAAATATATGAGAATCATTTTTTTGCAGGGATGATGAAATAGAATATGACGAGGCAATCCATAGTCCAGATATTGGAGTTCCATGCCAGGGAAGAAATGGAAAGATCTGTCTCCTCCCTTCGAAATTCAAATCTAACAATCACACTAACATCTGTACATGAAACGAAGATGTGGACAGTGCATGAGTTGAGCTATGTTGTTGTTAATATGTTTTATGGCGCTCAAAACATCTGTGGTTATTTGAGTCTAGCTTATAAGTGAAATCGCAATTTCAGAATCTGACAAATGCGGATTTTTGTTGTAGCTGTGCGTATCGGTGTTATTTGCAAAAATGTAATGGGTGAAAATTGCAATAAAAATATTATATAGACTCCTATGGTAATGCATGTATAACATATGAAACGATGTCTTTGATGTTCTCTGTTCAGAGATCTACACAAAACAAGTCAGCAAGTTCGAACGCGACTCAAACCAGACCTCAGATGAAATAGTTGACATCAAAATTCTGTAACAAAATGATACATTAATGCTGCAAATATGCTTAAGTGTAGAAATTATTATTATTATTAATGTACCAGGAGATGACAAGATTGAGCAAACATTACGATGAAGTTTAATTATTGAATAACAGTTCACTCTTCACTGAATGACTTTTCAAAGCGGCCAGTTACTCATGTCCCTCGTCATTATCGCTTTTCATTGTCACCAGGTTTAAGCATTCATCCAATCAGGATACATTTTCTCCCAGTCATTTGTAATATTCATCAAATGTGGCCACAACACCTTTGACACAAGTTGATTTCCTTTTTCCGAGAAATGTAAACCGTCTTTTAACAACTCTCCTAAATCTAATTCCGAATTCATAAATTCTTCCCATAAATTTACGAATCCACATAACTTTGTTGAAGCCACCTGAAAGGAAACAGCATAACCAGAAGTTCATTAAAAAAAATTGTAATATGTACTCAATTGTTTCTAAACACCCTTAAATACATGGGAATTTTTTGATTGATTTTTTTTATAAACAAAAAATTACATGCATTGTATATAATTTGGTATAGATATGAAAAAATCAGTATAAATGTCGATTGTACCGATCACATAATTATGTATTTAGTCGCAATAATTTCCAGAAATAAATAGTGTGAAATCAACGATTTTTATATATACTGGTATATAACGTGTGTCCACATAACTGATTAAGAATGGCTCCGTCAGTTAGTAAGTAGTAAGTGTCTTCAACGAAATATCTTTCTTTAGACTAGTAACTAAATACCTTTCCACAAGTATCAGCATACAATTTAACAAAATCATTATCTTTATTGCAAACAATGCCGCTTTTTCCATCTTTCAGAAATTTTGTCCACATCTAAATGTAAGCGCAGTGTTAAAAAAAATGAACGTCTTGTGAACACATCGCGCCCTATCTCCTAATCTTAACACACAAATAGATACTGTGCTGTGTGTAATTTTATTTTAACATTTTCGACATTCTTTGTGTCTTTCTTATCTGTGGGGTTTTCTGAAAACATATATATATATTATTAAAAAATGACCTAAATTATTACCTCGGGTTCTGTCGCTGGAGGAGACATCACAATGATCTGAGATGCAGGCAGTCCTAGTAGATGAATGAAGTGTTCGATAAGTTTATAAAGATTGCTCTCAAATTCTTGTATCGGAACATGCTACGAGAATCCGGGAAGGAATGAGTCGTTTGCTCCGAAAAATATAACGACAACATCCGATGGCTGTTGTAAAATGGAATTACGTAATGATCAAACAATTATTCATTACTCTGATTTGAATTAAAATGAACTAACAGCAGATCTGTATAACGATCAACACAGGCTAGAGGTTCAACGAACAGCACTTCTGAATTTGAATCCGCCGTTATGCTGCGTTCAACACAAAATAGCCTCAAATATTTATACTGCTGTCCTAATAATTGTTGTCTTCCCTTTTGTGTCTAACTCAACAATCATTTTCCAAGCAGTGGGCCACAAAATATACGTACGCCAACTGATCCACTAGGAAACATATCATTTAGCAGACCCACTGCATTTTTAGTTCAATACCATTCAAATACCTCTTTAATATATATATATATACTGTACTAATAAATGTTGTCTTCTCGTTGGTGTCTAACTCAACAATCATTTCCCAAACGTGCCACATAATATACTTACGCCAACTGATCCACTAGGAAACAAATCATTTAGCAGGCCCACTGCATTTTTCGTGCAATACCCTTCAAAACCTCTGTTCAAGACATCTGCTTTTCTCTGTAATTGATCAGCTATAGCTGAACCAAATCCTTGCGGCTGAAACGAATACTGGGTCAACGAATCTCCAAAGAAAATCACTTTCCGCCACGTCGGCATGATTGTATACTAGTATATATAACAAAATTACATTGCTGAAATACTACCTTATGTTGCCGATATTAGGCCAATGCAAACAAGGTAAATCGGGCAGTATGTTTGTCTATCGGTGGTATGTAGCCTATAATGCCGTCAGTTAGGAACCATCGTTTGCCTTATTTTGACCAAATAGCATAACGAGCACGTTCCAATCCCAAACAAGTATAGTACGATTCCGTGAAGTCAAAATTTTGTTGTAATGGCAGAAAAAACGTAAATAATGAAAGGGTAATATTCATCAACTGCTAAACTAGTTTTATATGCATAATAATATATACTTGAGATTCATCCAGGTGGTTTTATTGAAACGTGTGAACACGAATAACCCATGCTCAGTAATACAGCATTAGTTACAGGTAAAATTAGTTAGAGAAACGAGAGCTATGCTGAAATATATGGACACGTAGGGCCACCTAATTGCAATAATTTTGATGACATCATAGCAAAAAAATAATAGCCTTTTGAAGAAAACTTTTGTCTTGAAACACTGAAAATTTCAAAGCAATTGGTCCAGTATTCAAAGAGAAAAGCGATTTCTTCAAAACGTGTCAAAGAACAACATAACAACAAAACGATCGTTATGTCCACTAAACGTGTTCAAAAACGCAGACTTATAGCTAAATATATATAAATTGGTGTCTACATATGCCGTAAGAATGAATTTAATAGCTCTTGTCATCGGTAGTTTGCGACTATTCCATTCAATGTTCTTTCTAATCTTTTTCGACATAGCTTGCAAAACAGCCTGATAAACAACGCAGTTTCGCTGTCTATATACCCTAAGGAGAAATAACGATCAGGCGAAGAAAGCAATATAAGAACTTCGTTTCTGGGGCTGTTTTAAAATTGATTTGCTATCGAAGCTTGATTAATAGCTACCACGTGAAAGCAAGCAGAGAAATTCTATATGCGGATCGAGAACGGAAAGATTTGGTTGCATTACGTTCAGCCAGGCTTACGATTCTTTAGGGTATTATTAAATAAGAAGAATCAAAAGATCAACAAAGTACACCATTCAACAAAATTATAAATTGTATTGCGTAATCCAAATTATCAAGTAAGTTCGCAATCAAGTATCAAGTTTGCAAATAGTGATCTCCAAACGGTACATTTTAAAGTAATTTTAGTCATTCACTCATAAGTACGCAACCCCATCAATTGAGGTTGTAATGCCACCACGAATAGCCTCCAAGTTTGAGAAACCACCTCTATGAAAAACATCATTTATTTCCTCACAATGAATTATCTAATGTCTTATTCACCAAAACTCATTTATTATAAATCATAAAACGTTTGCCATTCTGCATAATTCATTTCCCACTCTTCAGACATCTTAAGTATATGCGGAAGAATTAGCTTCGTAACTAATCGATTCCCTTCCTCTGAAAAATGGAGTCCATCGTTCAGTAACTTGTTATACTCTTCCTCTTGCATAAAACTCTCCCACAAGTTTACAAACGGACAAGACATATCCGACGCAACCTGTTATGGAATATTAGCATTATTTAGCCGCCCTTATTGCGAATAATCAATAAAGTAATGATGAATATATACCCGTGAGCAGGCTTCGGCATATTTTTTTGTATTTTCGTTGTCTCTGTCAACCTCTGTTCCTTTGTTCTCTGATATTAAGTGTGCCAACCATTTCTGTGTGTGAGATATAAGAATTACAATCAGTTTGCCTGTACAGACCCTTGTTTGGAGCGCCGAAGGTAAATGGTATAAATATATTTCCATATGAAAGCATATGAAATAAGCTCTTTAAACGGGTGACCGTACATTTGAACCCATGCGTATATCCACGGGTTCAATCTATATGCCGGTGCTAAAACCCATGGGTTAGGGTTAGTATGGGTTTAACTATCCGTGAAACAAAAAAAATTCCATAGGTGCAATAGCATACAGGTGCAATTGTCATGGGTTCAAATGTACGTGGGTTCAAATGTAATGGAACCCTTTAAACGATATGATATTGCAATGAATGAGCTGTGGACTTATATGCGATGGCTATTCGTGGAGACGAATGCAGCAAAATCGATGTAGTCTAAATTCATAATCTGGTATTATTAATTACGATAAATAACAAGAGAACTATGCAAAAATTGATGACGTCATAGCAACAACAAAAAAAGTAATAGCTTTCTGAAGAAAATTTTTATCTTTAACCACTGAAAATTTCAAAGCAATTGGTCCAGTAATCAAAGAGAAAAGCGACTTTTCAAAAACGTGTCAAAGAACAAGAACAACAACATAATATTGAAACGATCGCTATGTCCACTACGTGTCCAAAAACACAACAGTCCCAATAAATGAGAAACCTACAATACCTCTGTATCAACTACTGGGGGAGATATGATGAGTATTCGCGATGATGGCAATCCAAGTCCTGTAAGGTGGTTGATAATTTTGCGACAGTTGGATTCATATCTTTGTATAGGAACGTGCTGATGAAAGCCGCTTAGTACAGAATCGTTTGCCCCGAAGCAAACTGTGATGGCATCCTCGGCCTAAGAAACGAAATACGGACATTGGCGATACAATTACTAAAAATCAACTGGTAAATTTAAAATCATCTGAATAGGTATACTAATCCCAATTAATAAACTAAAGCAGTGGTCTCGGATTTTTTTCACTAATTTCCTTCCACACTATGCTACTATAAATATATTTGTATGATCTTTAATGGGTGCTAAGTTAATTTTATGCCTAACTTACACTCTGGCTTTTGCACCTTAGAGTAATTTATAATGTTTGCATAAATATGTATTATAATAATGAAGAATACAAGTAATACTGCAGCAAATACAATGCGAAATTCCTCCTCAGAATCAACAAAATTGCTCTGTGACAAGGAATTCCACCTCGGTATGGAAACATGGAAATAAAGTCTTTAAACTGATTGGATAAACTTGTTTTGCGTTCACCATGCAAGATAGTGATATACTTTTGAATTACAATTTTCACGGGCAACTATTCAAAAGTATTGTGGTGATAATTCACACAAGCAACTACTGCTAGTGTGAGGTGTTCAACCACTCAATCGATCTGAACGAGCCGAAAAACAATGCCAGAATGCCTAGTATGGGTCACTACTCACTATGATGTCGCTTTCTCTCCAAGCTACGTTCTGTACACATGATTACCATAACATGGCCGACCATATCCATGTGTGAGTTCGCTCCATAGTACTCTCAGTACATACAGTATTATGATGAACTATTTGATGTTCGGCGTAGTTTTCCGAGACAACCATTCACAGAGCCGACATTATTGACTGTATTCCCTCGGGTGAAAGCGGGAAGTATACATCTTATTCAATTTATGAAACAGGGAAGTGGAACTACTGTGGCTTCGAGTCGACACCTTTCTTACCTTGAGAGAGCCAGTGGGAAATACGCCGTGCAACATTGCAACTGCATTGTCTGTGTTGTAACCTGAAAATCCTCGGTTAATTACGTCCGCCTTTCTCTGTAGCTCATTTGCGATTGCTGAACCGAATCCTTGAGGCTGGAAGGAATATTGCGTCAACGAATCGCCGAACAAAATCATTTTTTTCCAAGCAGCCATAGCCTACCTGTTACTACAAAGGACGGTACCACGCTGAACTATGGTACTTCGTAAGCCACTTTCATTACGCTTGGGGTCTTGAATAATGTATTGAGATTGGGCTTTGCGTTATCAAAAATGTACAACTCGCAGACAAAGTAAATAACAATACGCATTCAAACCAGTGCCTAGCGCGCCTCACTGCCTTCTGCAAAATTGAATTCCGCGGAAACCATCGCTGCGTAGATTCCGACAACAGGGTTAAAATAAACTTATCATTTTTTTCTGGTCGGGAAAAATAAACTTGACCTGACTTGACGCTCATGATATAGTATGCTGGCTGCTTTTGGGTGTACTAATACAATGGTATTCGCGGTATTTATAATATTTATTTTAAGCTTCGCCATGGTACAAAAATGAAAAGCGATAATCTTAAACTCAAAATTACACATGGTCTGGACACAAATAAATTATTTTTTCGTGCTATTCAGTTTTTCATTATTGCCCGTGTATTTTCGAGGATGACGGATGGAACTGCTTTCAAGACCGTTTTTTTTTTCAAAATTTGATGATTTAGGCTAGTTACCTGTAACATGGTTTACGCGAATCAGAATACGAATTAGTGTAAACAACGACTGATCTTTGTTTTCCTGTTTCGCAGGTTAGTGATAAACTTCGATAGCCCGCGTTAAGCTGTTTGTTTATTACGTGTTCAAATCATCGTAATCGGTGTGAAGACAGATGCTGCAAGTGCTGAAGTGGGAGAAATCAACTTACCAATTGCGAATAAACAAACAAAATGTTATCATGTCGCTCAAATCAGCGAATTGGCCTAGTTTTGCGTTTGACTTGCTCAGTTTTTTACGAGAAAGTCATTTGCGGTAATAATGTTTGGTCGTAAAAGGGCATTACAAAGATTGATAGCGAAAGAAAGAAATTGGTTAATTTCAGTAATTTAGAGTTTAGCTGCAAGAATTGTTATGTCCGTATGGTGGGTTCGTGTATCGACAAATTCGTACGCAAAATCAAAAATATGATAGCAAGGGGATGGACAAGCAGGTGAAGTGTTAATTTTATTACAAAATATAGACTATGTAATTTATAGAGCAGGAGAATAGCAGACACACTTTCAGGCACTTACGTGAGGACGAGGTCAGACCATGTAGCTGGACACGGAATACTGGAATAGGTGTATAAGACATCTGTTCTTATCTGCTAATAAATAATTGGCCAGGTTGAATAAACTGTTGGCTAAAATCGCTTTATTTCATATAGTCATATCTCAGATTTAATTAAACAGCGATAAACTGGATATAGGTAAGAAATATTTATAAATACAGAATCAGATGACATAAACCTGTAACAAGATATTATACTGTAGTAGTTTGAGAATGTATAAACTCTGTATTATACACAATAACCACTCGAATAAACAAAAATAATTATCATAATACTATTTATTGATTGAAACTTTTATTTTGATACTATTTTATGTTTATGACCCCATTTGAGGTATGGGATAAACTGGGGAAAATTCAACTGGTCTCTAAAGCAGTGAATCTCGTGAAAGTCAAACTATCAGTAATTAGGGTGTAGCTCAAATGAATATGTTTTTTTGGATTCGATCAGTAAATCTAATAATATTATTCAAAATATGAAGTACCGTACATTCATATAAATAAATTTCATTGTCTTGCAGAATTTTTTGTTACGAAATTTCTCTGTAGCAATGGGTGTTGTCCACAAACTGCTATACAGAGTTACCAATGCTAAATTGTACTTGTGCATTGGAATCGTATTATGTACAATGACAATGGGATTTACAACATACTTTCTGAGGCATGGATTAGATTCCAATTACAACCGTGTGATCAAAAGTGGTTTCCAAGGGAAAAGATCATTTGATATTGAAAACGAATTATTCGCTGAGGCAGAGTTGATGTCAAAAAGTAGTCTTTCTACGGCAACAGTGGTTGGTAAAGTTTTTGCTCCTCCAACAGTGAGGACGAAAAATTATATGGATAAAATTATTTACAACCGTGTTGGAAAATGTGGCAGTCGATCAATGTTGTCTTTGATCACAAGGCTTTCTAGCAGGAACAACTTTCTGTTTTATGCTTCACCTGTGTCAAATCGAACAAGAGTTCCTCTTCCAGAATCGATCAAAGAAGTTCAAGTTATAAATAATCTACCTTCCCCTAGCCTTTATTCTAGACATATTCACTATCTCGATTTATTCAAATATGGTATTTCTGGGGTTGTTTATATAAATATGATAAGAGATCCCATTGAAAGATTCTCTTCCCAGTATCATTTTTTACGATATGGTGATGGTATTAAGGCACAAGGAAGACGCTATGAACCGTGGGAGGGAGGTGATAAAGATATGGACATAAATGACTGTATTCTGAAAAACCATCAACTGTGTACTGCTGGCAGATTATTTTATGTAGTGCCATATTTTTGTGGTCAAGATTTTTTGTGCCATCGTCCATCAAAGGAAAGTTTGTACAGAGCTAAAGTTCATGTCATGGAAAATTACTTGGTTGTTGGATACTTGGAGGATTTCACAGGCATGCTCCAAGTCCTTGAGAAATTACTACCACAATTCTTTACCGGTTCTTTAAAACTTTGGAAAGATATTTCAGCAGACACAATGATTAATACATCAACATTAAAGAAACAGAAAATAAATGAGACTGCATATGCTGTGCTAAGGGAAAGAATGGAAATTGAATATGATTTCTATAATTTTGTCAAAACTCGTTTTAGGATTATCAAAAAACAAATGGAGATTTTTGACGATGATGAAGCCTTGTAAAATATTATCCGACATGCCAACCAACCCCACACTATTGAAATAATCACTTTATCTATATTTATTCTTCAAATATTGATGTCATTCATTTAGTTAAAATCCTGCCTAAGATTGTTATTTTTTATCCCATTGTTATTGTCTTCTTATTGAGATGTGGTATGAAGTACAGTTTTGCATCATTGAAATCATTTTTCACATATTAATATGCTGTGATATATAAAAATTCCCCCATGATGTGGATTTATATGTTAAACAGAATTTTGTAAAACAATTTTCAGAAATTCAAGATATTCATTTTGAAAGACATTTTGACTATTTGTTGAAACAATTATTGTATGACCCCATATTTGTTCCTCATTTTTCTTCAGTACAGCAAGTGAGTAATATTTGATTTTCTCATTTTACACCACTGTCATAAAATTTCGATTGGTTTTCACTGGATCTACCGTAATTTTTTTACTTGCTAAAATCTTCAAGGACTTTTTTGTCATGTGTACTCATCTTCATTCCATTTGCTGAGAAATTACTATTTTATAAATTTTTTTACATAACTCTTACCATTGCAGTATTTTTGCTAATTTTTTTGCAATATACTTTGCCAAAGAAACGAAGCGGTGGAGATGATACAGATATTGCTTTAAAAAATTATAAATGGCTCTAATGCTTGCTGCTATCTTTCTTTTGAGAATTTGGGGAAATATAGGTTTAAGAATAGTGGAAGATTATATTATTATTATTACATATATCTTGATCTGTTTTTAATCCTAGATCAACATGTCATGAGTTTTTTTTAAATTTTCATTCGTTTATATATATATTGATTACTCTAATCATATAATGAATTGTACTATGTACAATTGCTATGTTCTCTATGAGAAGATGAGACTGTTTTTACATTTCTATTTTGATTTAATGACTACCAATGCTAGACTAGGACTCGTCTTCGAGTATTGTTGATGCATAAAATTCGAAATTGAGATTTCATTGAATTTTTAAAACTGAGATCCAGTTTAAAATGTTTTCTTATATGAGATTTACCCTCAAATCATAGTCACAAGCTTCTTGGTATATTCTAGTATTTAGATTTGATGAGCACATGTTTACACTCGCTGTATATTTTGCATTGTATTTCTCTGTAATCATAGTCATTGTCAGTATTTTATACACTTTTTTACTTTATCAGAAACTACTTTCTACCTTTTGTCTTCAAGTTTTTCTGCTTTGAAGCACATATTTTCACTTTTTTCATGCATTCATCAAACTGTGGTGCTGAAGCATGATAGCTTACTAAATAACAAATGACGTGAACACAATTTATGCCTCAATATTTTCATTTGTTTTCTCTATCAAGCATAGGACTAAAATGGATTATTATATGTATGCTTTTTTTAAATATTTTTACTATGTAAAATTCTTACTAGCTTGTTTCAAGCCCTACTACACAGCATTAAAGTGAACTTATTATAGCTCAAATATTTTGCATTTGTATGTACTTGTATGAATATCTACTTTTGTAAGCATTTAGTTGTTAGAGTGGTTCATCCACCTATAATTCCGTGCGTATGAAACAAATAACTGGATTACTAATCCCATACCCGACATGGACTGGTAAAGCGGACGGGAGGCCGTTGTTCGCCATATGACCAATCCGTCTTATCAGGCTATGGCTTCACGTAATGTTGGTCAGTTACAGATCCAATAGGGGTAAATTCACTCGCCCCTGGGGAGAAGAATTTACAAGTATCGTTGAGCACATATTACCACGGCTTAATTATCCTGCGAGTATTTCAAGTGACATTCAACGCGAACGAAGCTTACATACAATCTTGGTAGTCGACAAGGTTGGAATGCTTTCGAAAACTTCATAGTTCGAGAATATCGATAGCAATATCTGTAACAGATATTGCTATAAAAAGTATGTTCGTAATTCCTAAACAAAACAGTGTCCTTCATCTTACCATCTCGGAAAGTTTGTCAGGGGTCAAAGACACGGAGAAATAAAATGATCCCTTACCCCTTTGAGAATAAATGAAAAAGACCGTCATTTCCTCTTCTATTGTTAGATATAATATTTCTTCACATAAACCAGATTATCATATAGAATAGAATAGTGAACCAGAATCGGACAATGTCTAAATCAAGTATTATCTTGATTTTTGTGGTATTATGTCATGGATAAAAGTAATTCACCATTCCGGAGGCTCGAACAAAATAAAACGTCCTATAATAAAGTCAATGTAATGACAAACCTTTATTAATTAATGAAACAATAGCCCAACCAACGCTTCACACAATAAGCTAAAACGTATCGTTTGTCACATGTTGAAAAGGTATCGTAGAGACTCGACCTTTTTGACATCGCGACAGAACAGACACAGCCTGCCTACGACCCAGGTCGCGTTGAGGCTGGGAAATTTATTGTATTAATATGGTTACATAGTGAGTATCAGACATTTGTTTCGTTGTATTCGAAGTAAGACTACATTTTAATGTTGGCAACATAACTCCGGGGAAGCCATCTAAGCTGTAATTAATTCAGTTCATCTGCTTATACCACTCGGTCGACGATCTTTAAAAATTACAGGATTTTACGATACGACTCCCAATGAGGCATAATTGTAGGTTCTCGAGCAGTTATAGGTCTATAGACAGACATTTACAAAAACGGGATTATTCGTCGCGATCCACTGTAAGTCAGTATTAAAAAAAACGCTTTGTTATATTGTCACATTGCGCTAGTACGAGAACGTATAATATTGTCAAATTATCAAAAAAAAACATACCTTTACAATAAGGAATGATATATACAATTTTCCATTTTTTTTTTATCGCGATTGTTCTTCCAGTTCGACGTCCAACATTATTAAATTTTATACAAAAAAGGTAAATTTGCTGCAAGTTAGCCTGATACCATATGTTTTACCTAATTCAGTGATAAAGTAAGATGAGTAACTTCGGCGAGAGAGAGAGAGGGGTATAGTTAGTCGATAATAGTATTCCATACTTATTCTCGGAATGTGTTCGTCCTACGTCTATAAAAAAGAGATATTGAGCAACTACGCGCATTGCAATTGTACCTTTTTTATTTGAATTTTTTCAAGTTTTGATTCTTTATACTATGGTACGCTACTACGCCTATTAATTTTTAGCCACCGAAGAAACGCATTGGACACAGGGTGATGATTTGTAGAAATCAGCTACTTACTAAATGAAGTACCAACAATATATTTGTAAAGTTGGAAAGAATACATTATTGCTTTCTCTATTTTCATAGAATGGTTCATTCAAATACGCTGGACCGTTTGTCACTCAACACTGATATCTTGAACATACGCGCCAATACTATAAATAAATTCGATTTTGATCTTCTTTTATTAACAACTAATTCTCACAGAGCCAATGATAATGTAAATCACGTTTTCATCTTACACAAACCTCCAACACGATGACTTTGAAGTGTAGAGTATTTCTTTTGGATGTATCTGAAGTACAATTTGAAGTGAAGAAGAAGGACAAAGGTGCGGTATTGATGCAAAGGGTGTTCCGTCATTTGAACTTAGTCGAAGAAGACTATTTCGGATTGATTGTCAAAGGAACTGACTTACAAAAAGTATGGCTAGATTCGGAAAAGAAAATAAAGAATCAGATAAGCAAGTAAGAGAGTGAAGTAAATGTGCAAATTTGTGAATGGGTTAATTAAACACAGTTGATATCTGATTATCTATTCCGGATGTTACAATTACCATGAGCATTTATTTTGCACTTTTGATACAGATAAGCTCACTATATTTGCATACTTTGTTATTGTTCGTTGCACCTCTGTAGAAGTAAGCATCCAACTCACAGAAATACAAATATATATAAATATACGTATGCTCAAATATATGGACACGCAGAACAATTCCCCAAAAATCATATGCGGTGACCAACGACTAACATACCGGCGGTGACTTACCAGTACCTGTATCGGGGTACCGTGACGGTACAGGGACTGTCATAGATATTTTAGGTCCTGTGACAATTGAAACATCAGTTGAAATATCTCGTGATATGAGTCAATTATGTACCGTATTATCGGATCAGGTACCGAACCACAGTCAAACATTTCAGATAAAAACGTTACTAAATAACATGCGTCAACTTAACACCAGCCGAATCGGGGTACAATTTTTGGTACAGTGACTGTCATAGCCGTTTAGGGCTGATGGACAATTCGACTACACGGACAACTCACCAGGCCTAGGGTGGTGTAGCCAGTCTGCGGACAATTTCATTCAAACCGCTATAAAACAAAAACCAATATATCTAACCCGTTAATTTTTTCACCGTGGGTGCATTGGCGGCATTTATTCTACACGCTAAACCTCGTATTAACTTTCTACGACAAAGGGTTGAAGCTATACAAATCCCCAAAGTACGGCACTCGAAAGACGTATTTGCGACCGAACGACCAGTGTGCGACCACGGATTTCAAAACGTTTCAGAACGTTTAGTGACGTCATAGCAAACAAAAACAAATCTTACAGAGCTAACAGAAATATTTGAAATAAATAAAAGTAATAGCCTTCTGGAGAAAAATTTCATCTTCAACCACTGAAAATTTCAAAGCAATTAGTCCAGTAATCAAAGAGAAAAGCGACTTTTTAAAAACGCGTCAAAGACCAAGAACAAGAACAAGAACAACATAATATTGAAACGATCGTTATGTCCACTACGTGTCCAATAATGCAAGCAAGTGATCACGCCGAATATTTTGCTTGTTACAGACGATCATGAGTTAGGAGAAGATTGAATGAGCAACTTCCCAAAATCATGTGGAGTAATTTGGCGCCGTTAATTTCATACATAACGATTTAATGTTAAAGAGAAATTTGTTTGGTTTGCATAAAAAAAACATCCACAATATTCCAACCTGGTTTTTAATTAATTGGATTTTTTTTTCTTTTGTTCTTTGATTGAGTTTCTCTTAGGCTAAGTTTCTAACACTGTGGCAATAACCTAACTTAGCCAGAGTAAGTCGCGGGGAGATAACAGGTTAGTACCACTGGCTCAAATAATATATTTGTTATATTGCTAGTTCACGCTGATGGTAGATAGATTACATAAAACGCAAAGTTTACCATCTGACATTGACGCTTATAGGCAGTTAAATTAACGGACACTGATTTTGTCTCAATATTGACGGTTGGAATTTTTCTTTTGCCTATTTGGCATTTCATTTCTTCATTTAATAACTCTCTTTTGCTCGTGATTGCTGCTGCGTGATATTAGGTTTGATGCAAAGCTCGTCGAATTTTACCGATGATTTTAGACAAATTCATATTCTTGCTATATACTACATTTTACTTGTAGTTTTTGAATATTCTCTTTCTCTCTACTTCCATTTCTACGGCTTTGTAGTTTCATTTACTATCAGAGAAATAAAATATATTAATATTTTGATTCTTTTGTCATGAAAGTTTGCAAAGTATTATTGGATGTTCGTCCGACCAATCGACAGCAAGGGCAATTATACCAAGGTATCATTCCACTTTTCAATAACATTACTGACATTATTTTGCTACACTAATCGACTTTCAGGTCGAGATAAAATTTTTAAATCGATGATTGGAGTCTAATATTTTCTGAACTTGAACAAGAATTTGAATCGGTCTGAAGTCAGAGTCGGGTGGAAAAATTTTCTACTGCACAATCTTGCTTATTGCAATATTATATGCCCCAGACCATAGTTTTCACCGCCCATGGGTTATAATTACAAAGGGAGGCATAAAGTACACTTCGCTCAATCGCATTGTAATCATAAACAAAGTCGTCCTCCCTAATGGAGGATCCAAAATGCTTTCGTTTTCGTTTCACAAAACTCAGGTTGCTACGCAAATTAGAAAACGCGTATAAATTATACGGTCTAGTATGCGACGTTACAGCGTCACGAAAACCTTCAATCTTCTGGCAGAACCAGGTTTATCATTTTTAGGAATGCTGTAATTGCGGTGAAGTCGGTGCACCCTCATTGCCAAAATGGCGTTGGATGTACGAACCTAAAAATGCAACATTTTAATATCTTAGTTATCGTTCTGTCCCGTAAATGTGAACCATTCTAAGAGTGGTAAGATTGACGAGTTTGAAAGTCATTGGATGGGGCCGATAGTAAAACGGGTAAGAAACCCCGTTATAAGTCAATTAAAGTATATTATAACCTTTTAGTTCAATAATTTATCTTTAAGTAGGCTCACCATACGTCCCGCTTTAGGCGGGACAGTCCCGCTTTTCAGCGTCTTGTCCCGCCGTCCCGACAAGTCAGCAAAAGATGGCGTTCAGCCATCCTTCATAATACACGAACATGTTCTCGTTACTGTTGCTGCTGTGTAGCGCAACGCTAGCCTACTTACTGAAGGTGAATGCGGTATTTTGTTCGTTTCCCGCTAACATTGTTAGCGAACGTATCACATTGAAAGTCAATTCTAATTGGTCCTGTTCGGACGTTCACGTGAATGTAACCTTGAACAACTTCGTTTTGAAATTGTTATCTACAAAAAAGCATGCTTGGGTAATAAGTAAATTTTCAATGCCTGAAAACGGCAGACTATTTCATTATTCTTTATTCCTTTTGCTGCACATAAAAAAAAATCTTAATTCGGATCATTTGTATCGTTAGCGTCTGTCTATTCCTTTCTATTTTTCGAACTGAACCCGATATTTAGACAGAGAATATGCGCATGAACTCTCGGTGACAATATGGTCCATGAAGACAGCCAAGATGGCTTTAAATGTATATAGGACTATCCCTATGTAGTAAAATCGGAAACTGTAAAGTTACAGGATCACAGCTAAGGGGTCGTGTCTTTAGAGGAGTCCCGCTTTAAGATCAAAAAAAATATGGTGACCCTATATTTATGTTCATTATTCTATTCCAGAAGTGGAAAGCTGGAATTTCAATTTGCCGTCAAGTACTATCCGACAACTCCTACAAATTTGAAAGAGGACATCACCAGGTAGGTAACGGGTGCATTAGAACTGATACAGTGCAATGTCTGAAAAAATTATGTACTATTGTTGTATCTCTGAAGTTATTACAGGTCAGTGGGTGCCTGTGCATATCAAATGTATATATTCTAGCATTTGCTCTTTTATATTAATGTTTCCAAATTATTCCTAATGCAAGTTAATTATTGTGTTTATAAGACAAATTTGAACTTTACCTGCGGTAGTGTTTTGCTGAAATGTAAAAACTGACTTTGAAGAAATTTGAGATCATACTGGTCAGAGCATAGACATAGCATAGATGATATGTATTTCTGCATTTTGTATAAGCAATAAATATTTCATTTGGAATATTCGTGGTATTCACCATAGCTAACATGTTGATACGCGCAATGGTAATTCAGTAATATGACATATGTTTTTTGTGGTAATTAGAGGGATTTAATCCATTGTAAATCTTTATCTTGTTGTTTTGATTTCATTCGAAATAACGCGTAACAGAACACCGATATCAGCGTACATAAACACGTGATCACTGTTCGAAAATAAAACTAGTAATTTTGTATTCATTTGTTATGCCTATGAAACAAAAGACCGAATTCCTTTTAACATTTTACGCGTGTCACATCATTGTGCAGAATAATAGAAATCTGCTATACCTAACTGGCATCCAACAGTAATCGAATTAAATAATTCTGAAAATTTACTAACATGGTTCTCTCTAACGTGCGCAACTGCGCAGTACCACCGTTTCATTTGCGCAGTAAAATGTCATTGTCGCGCACTTGCAACGTTTCCAAAGCGTGGCACATCATATTTTCTAAAGCCTAATAATCAATCAGCTACATATCAAGATCCAGCCATCAACATGGACAAAGTGTATAAACATTGGGAAAGCACGGAAACAGGGAGAAGCTATTATAACTAAATGTTTAATTTATTCTAATCCTGATAATATATTATACTATTTGTAAATAATTTGGGACTAAACCTTGAAAAAAATCATACTCACTAAAGCAAACATGTGCTCCGCGTAAATTTTCTCAAAGGGAACACTGTTTACTAGCGTATGGCCATCAACTCCACAAATACCGAAGTAACACAGAACACTGGAATTCATCAAATTTTTATGCAGGGAATTCTTGAATCAAACATTTGCCTTCGACTTAATATGCGATACGAGCGCATAATTTTGGTCAACATAATTTTTTATCGATGGGGTTCGTGGTCGTCCGGCTTTTCTTATTCGTTCACGACCAAAGTATGTCTTTTGTGGTCATTGGAACTTTATTATTCATGATTTTTAGGTATCAGCTCTGCCTTCAGTTAAGAAAAAGACCTTGCTACAGATTTGTCATGTTCATTGGATGACCTTGCTGATATATTGTCTTACTGGCTCCAGTCAGAATATCAAGGAAGCGAAGACAATGCACAAACTGTTAAAGACTGTCTCAAAGAGTTTGAAAGTCTCCCATCTGAAGTATCAACAAAAGAATTCACTGACAAGGTTCTATCTTTATATCGTAAAAGGCGGGATATGTCATCTGCAGAAGCAGATGTGCAATTTCTTCTTAAAACGTCCGGCTTAGCTATGTATGGAATTCATTTCTTCGAAGGAAAAAACACAGCAGGAGCCAAAATACGTGTTGGAATAGGAGCAAAGGGAGTCATAGAAAAACTCGGCAACAGATCCACAATATCCCATCCGTGGAATCGAATAAAAAACGTTGTATACAAAGACAATAAATTTAAAATAAAACTTTTACGACCGCCATCTAACGGTGATCCGCGATTAAAGAAATCGTTCATCTTCGACTCGGAAAAACAAGTTTATTTAATTTGGAGAAATGCTGTTGATCATCATGTGTTCTTCCGAATAGGAGAGAAAGAAAAGAAGCCCAAACCGACTGCCGGGAGTGGAAAGAAGCCCAAGTAAGAACACAGAAGAGTGTTTCGTAGCATGCCGCCTTTCCTTGTCCAGTAGAAAAACAGAGAATTAAGGAATTTTCGAATTTGAATTTTATTCAATCTTGGCGTTATATATATATCGCAAATTTTAATATTTAGCCACATGATCATATCTTTTTCCAATTGTTATTTGGTGAAAAAGAATCGTTCAATGCAAATCAAGGGCAAAAAAAATATTTAGAAAGCCAAACTTGATCACTAAAATTGTAATAACGCAAAAGATTATTAGTGATTGCAACATATTTCCGTCACTGCCCAACTCAAGTTTATGCTTTCCTACATTTAAAGGTGCCCATACAACCACTAATCAAAACACGTTAAAATATCTTTTACCTTTCGTTTTAACTTGCAGGAAACGACCATCATTGCTCAGAAGACTCAGTTCTAAAAAGAAAAAAACAAAAACCGAATCTGATGTGCAAGAAGAAAGATAACATAAAACGACTTCAACCTACGGTGGTAAAGAATGTTTCATTTATGATTAAACATTTATGAAAGTGCAGTGTCATTTAAACGAAATTTTCATGATATACTCACAAAACATATTGAGTTCTAACGGCAAAGGCTATCTCAATTCTAACTTTTTCAATTCTAAATTTTTCAGATCGCCAAGGCACATTGCGTGGTCGCCCCCTTAGTCAGCTAAGTACATCTCAATCATCAGTTTCTACTGAACTTCCAGCCGAAGCAACATATTACTATATCCCAAGAACCTCAAGCGGAGTCCGAAGTTCTTCAATTCCGAGGAAACAAAGCCACATGTAATCGATTTCGGGGCAAAAGAGTGACGTTCCGTGTGAAAATGCCGACAAGAATTCCACAACCAAACCGCAACAAGAATCAGAGAGTGTAGACGGGAGAGAATACAAAGATGAAGATTTAATGGAAGCTGTCATTGGGAAATGGACGGCACGGCAAGTGGTGGATCTTCAACGTTACTTCTTACAGAGACTATTCTTGAAGAAGATGAAGATCAAGACGCACATATAGCATTACCTTCGCCGCGAAAACGAGTTCCTCCTGTAAGCTACGCCCGACTGAAAAGCGACGATGATTCTCACGACTTTGCACCGTTACAGACTTCAAATGAAATGATGCAACAGATCCAACATGCAGGCAGTCTTCTAGAAACCGATTTAGACGCAGAGGTCGTGTTAAGTCCCAAACCACTTGAAGAACCCGGAAGCCTCAGAGAAAAAGAATTTGAATTTGAGCGCTGCAAAACACAAAAAGAAGAAATTCGTTATGGAAAGCGCACTGTACTTATTGAAGACACAAAAACAGAGGAACAGTACACGGAATATTGGGAAGAGATTGAAATTGAACCGACATCTCCCCATCACAAACATGAGGTTTTAGATGTATCGACCAGAACACCACAAAAAGACACCATTGTCAAATCACCAGAGGAAATAAATACGAAAACAGGCGATGTCTCTGATAATTCCTCGACTGCCAGTTCTCATGAAGGAGAGGTTCATTTCAATGCCCAAGGATATGTTCAAATGCCTCCAATATCTGAAGTCAAACCGAGCGAAACGGAAGAGGCCCCACTACCTGTTTTTGATGATTTACATAAAAATGAAACTTCGCCTTTGCAAGTTGAATATAGTATTGATCAGACAAAATTCAATTACGAAGAAGAGTCAAAAGACAAGTACGGAATAGAAACTGCATTATCAGATGAAGAAATGCATACCATGTCGGGGTACAATGAACGTTTCCTACAGATTGAAGAGCAACTTCCAGATAACGGAGAAACAACCAACTTAGTCCCAGAAATACAAGAAGTTGCGGAGAAGCAACAATCTTCGGAACAAATTGATGAAAAATCAGGCTTAAGATATGACACTAACCACATATACATTAGTTAACAACTATGGAGAAGAAGAATAAACATGGTTTGAGCAACACGACTCTTTTAGAAGACCTGTTAGAAACAACCGAATACAAATCGACCAACCAAACTAATCGTGGGCACATCCTACAACGAGTATGACAAAGAAGAAAACCTCCAGTATAGACGAGAAGTTCACGAGCATTAAAGAATATTCGTGCCGGACAAAAAAGTTACAATCTAGTGAAGAAGGTCTGACGAAGGAAAGTCGGTAATTCGGGAGATGACCATTTCAATCGATTACTTGGATTCTCAGGTAAAGAATAGGCTTTGAAACTGATGTGGAATTTTTATGAAAGTACCCAACAACAAGTTATGTCCCCCTGGGCCGATATTGCAGACGAGGAAGAACGTATTATAGTACAAAGCGAGATTCCGAAAAAGACGATTATCAAGTAGGTGAGATCAATGAATTCTTGAAAACGCCACAGGCTGAATACTATGTATCTCGTGGTACTTCTGAATATAAAGACGATGATATAAATATAGAATACCAAGCTTGGAGTTAACTTCTCCTACATCTACAATAGAAAGATTACAAGTGGTCGTATTTCGTATGTCGGCATGACGGAAGAACTAATGAAAGATTGAGAAAAATGATTGTAGAAGACATGAGGACAACGAATATGGAGAGATTCATATGAAAGTGATTCTACTGTAAAAGACGACTACGAATCACATGAATACTATGGTCTTCTAAGGTTGTTCTTGCTTCAACCAAAAAAGTTGCAGATGAAATTCCACCACCACCCGCACACGGAATAGGAGACGAATTACAAACCAGGGAAGACTTTGAACTCAGTTCCCTTTGGTATAGGAGTTTCATATAAAAGCATGAACGGAGCCAGGTGCCGTACGCAGCGGCAAGTACAACTGCTGCGACTATCGGGGATGATGATGAGCTTTCACTGAACGAACTTGACGATGAAATTTTATACGAAGAGGAACGTTCAAGAAGCCCAGAAGAACGCGGTGGGTTTAGCTATGAGGAAACAGAGAAAATTGAGTTTGCTGAAGAATCAGAAACGAGAGAAATTCAACAAAGTCCACAAGATTCAACAAGCAGGAGCACAAGTTTTGTCTGATATAACGGACAATACCGATGAGCTGCTCCAGCCTGATATTTTAGAAAAGACGTGGTCATATGGGGCTGGGCTAGATGAAGATAGTGAATTATTCCAAATATTGTTTCGAACACCGCCTTTGAAGAGACGTCAACGTAAGAAATCGATCAGAGATCAACCCGCACGAAGTTCGTAAAGGCAAGCATGAGGCGATCGCTTTTAAAAGTACATTAGACGAAATTCCGGTTAGTCCAAGGCGGAGAGAAAATTTGAGCAGAAGGCCTTTCATTCCAAGTTGGCCTTTTGATCCTGCATCCTTGTTGAATTCTCGTGATTTGGAGGATTTGGATAAAGAAGCCATTCTGGCAGCGATGGAAGCACAAAAAGAATTAGCCGATGAAGACAGAAGAATTGAAGAAATGGAAATGATGGAAGACGTTGAATTGTCCTCGCCAGAAATTCCAGACAGCAAATATTATTCAGCTCCTCCGGGCGATTCACATTTGCCGAATTATCGTGATTGTTTTCCACCATCGATTTCAAGTCGGGACAATTCTCCATCTAGCGATAAAGAAAAAGGGGAAAGTTATCAAAGACTTGATCACGCAAGACCGCTCATAAAATCTGACATTATAGAACAATGTGAGGAGAAATTTGATTTGGTCAGCAAAATAAAAATTCGTTCTAGGTCACCTTCTGCGTCTCCGCGTATGGTTGGTGAAGAATTTATTCCTGGGATTCCCGATTTTGCTCAAAGTGTTATTCCATATCAGCTAGAGAGCACGGAATCTATTGAGAATACACAAGAAGTTTCTGAAACAGCGATGCCTCAATATGTCGAAGAAGAAATTGACCCCGAATCTTTAAAATTTCCGAAGCCAATCCTCAAGTTCTCAGCCCCAGAAGAAAAGAAAGAATGCCTCAAATATCGTTATTCTCCTCCAGCAGGTGAGAAACAGAACCAAGATGACCAAAGTCTTTCTACATCAGAGGCTTCTGTGGAATCTGGAACGGACGAAACGCAAAGTATCACTATAATTTCACAACCTCTTCGTGAAAACATGCAGGCGCCGGCTGCAGATATGCAAACTTCACAGCATGTTACATCTTCGGGGAGAAGCACCCCACAGTCTGCTACGGGAGGAAACTCCAGTCAATCCGAAGGCTCGTCTTCGAAATCTTCATCTTCCAGTTTTCCACGATTCATTCACAGCGTTTTTCCTCTTCGACGATCCTCATCTAACGCAAAACCTCGAGGTCGCAGTAAGACACGAAAGAAGCACGAAAATAAAGTGACAAAGCAAAAAAATAAGAAAAAACCAAGATCAAAAAGCAAAGACAAAAAGAGCAATCAGTCCAAAATTCTACCAACTATCCAAGTTACAAGTCCTTCCAGCCCAGATGGTCTTTTAGCCTTTCCGTCCCCACCACACTATAAAGCTCTTCCTTACCAGCAGCAGACTAACAGTCTTTCTCCGGAAACAGCTCAGGTATAGTTAGTTTTACGCCAATAAAAATTTGTAACCTAACGTGAGTATATTACGTTCTCCTAGTTTGCAAATGGTAAAATGACCACTATGTTATATATGCTTAGATAAAATTTTGGGAGTCATATGGGTTTCATAACGAAATTTTTAAATAAAAAGGCCTCTTCGAATAAGGAATATTGCATTAACTGCAATGAAAGCTGTTGTGGGTTCTTACAAAACATTAGTTTTCTTGTCAAGTAGACTTTCCATAGGAATCTGTTATTTTTTCTGAGCCGATTTTTCATTTGTTTTCAGTCTACAATTTCGGGGGATATTTCAGCACAAATATACGTTCTAAGGTTGATAATAATAAAATTCGGTACTTCTGAAGTATGCGCACCAATCTGAACTCTAACTTGGTACACAACCTGAGTTCAGGTTGTGCGCCATCTTGGTGCGCATACTTCAGGAGGTTCGAAAAATTCTAATATTTCTTGTGCGCCATCTTGGTGCGCATACTTCAGGAGGTCCGAAAAATTCTAATATTTCTCTGAACAATATCATCTTACAAATGTGAAGTTTTTTTATTAAATTTTTGTTATTTTACATTCTTCCGGGTAAAACTCTTTTTTTCATGGTTAAATAAAAGCGCGTCCATCTTTTACGGCACATTCCTTCTCTCGGTATACTCCGTAATCGGAAAGCTTCATCGACAAAATATTTCAATTTCAGACTCAACTACACTGTCAATATGATCAAGAAAGTTTGGATAAAATAGTTCTCTCAGAAAGTGACGACGCACATTCAGATTCTGATGCTCCAGTGACCGCTCGAAAGATTGAAAAATAAGCGATTGATTCAATATATTATGTCCACTGTCCAAAATGAACTTTACCATTTTTGCTTGCAATATTTGCTTTATATAAATGCATAGCATCCGAGCAATAGCTTATATGCATGGCATGGCTTGCTCTTTTTATGTACATTCGTATTTTGAACACATAGGTTACCTATTATGTAATTAAAGTCGAACCATAAGTCCGCATTTGCGTGAATTTAAATAATATAACATACCTCTCCATCACAGAAACATCTTCATATGAATGCATAGCATCCGAACTATAGCTTATAAGCATGGCTTGAAATTGGCTTGCACTTTTTATGTACACTCGTATTTTAAACACATAGGTTACCTATTATGTAATTAAAGTCGTAGTCCGCATTTGCGTAAATATAAATAATATATCGTACCTCTCCATCACAGAAACATCTTTTTTCAAATAATATCAATGTTTTATATTTTATTACAGTTTAATTCAAAAAAGTATCAAATGATATTGATTGTATTGCTAAAGCAACAATAGCTTAGCAGATAATACTTGCCCCTTCGAATATCAGACTTTTCGAAATCATTCAAGCTCTGAACCTATTTGTTGATTACAATACCAACAGCCATCGAATATTAGACAAATTTGTAGTTCAAATAAGGTCAATAGATAGACATAACATTATACCATGAGCAGATATTGATTCATTTTCATATGTACTACCATACTATTCTATTATAGTAAATATTGTATATTTGTTGCATTCTTATGTATTTATAGTGAGAATAAACTATTTGTAGTAGATCGTCATTGAGAAGTTAATAAGAGCTTCAAGTATAGACAGCGCATAGAAAGTTTAAAGCTTCTGCTCATTGGGCCTTGAAAATTACAGTTATATATATATTTATAGATCGAAATCCAAAATACTTACTTCTGTGGGAAAATGTCTCTGAAGGTAACTAATCGAATGCGATTTATTTTTAGTGTGCTAGTCTTTTTAATTGAATAAGCGTTAATCTGATCTTACTAATTCTAAATCCATATCAGTTGTTTTCGCACAAACGCATTAAGTGTGTGTGTGTTTTACCAAACATGAAACTTAGACCTTCAGGCAACAACAGAGGTGGGTGTTCAGAGCCACTACTTAAACAACTCAGTTCGTAAACTGCTTAGATGCTGGACTCTAGTTGAACTTCGTGAACGAACATGAAATGTCCCAATTCGGATTCACAAGCAAAGTAGTACTACGGATTAACTGTGTGATAACATGCTCCATACACGTCGGGGTTAAATAAAATACTTGTACTTGCACCCTTCAAGGAGGTTAAGAAAGAGTTTTCGATGCACGAACTATGAAGTTTGGTTTGTAAATTTTCAGTGCGTTGGTAAACTGAATTTGCCGTTTTCGTTTGCTTGTTTATGTTGGAAAGCCAGTCTTTCATTCTTTAGCATCGGTTGTAGAAACAAACTTGTGGTTCCAATAATGCAGCCGATCACAAATATGCACAGAAAAATTCGATCGATAACCATGGCAACGTATTTCCAGTCATTGACGACCTTGAAGTAAATTAGGCAAAAGCAATTAATCCAAAAATATTGACGCATTACAAAACATCAATCACGAAGTGCATGGATAAATAAGCGTAGACTCAACAAAGCAGAGGGAGAAAGGAGCTTTTTGGTGACATTTTTTTTACAGTTATCTGCGATCTGCTTTTTATTTACTATTCCGATGAAAGTATACCAAAGCATGACTTACATCACTGGCGTCGTCCTCTTTTTGCATATGTTTAGCAATGTAAGTTACTCCGTCAATTGCTCTTTTCACATCCGCAGAAAAACAATGCTGTGTGGTTTCTTCGGACCGTCCTGCTTTATGTCCATCCTGTGTCGGCAATGATCTGATTTTATCTCTGTATGACTGAAATATAACAAAAGCGATGGAATTGTTGAAGTGAAAACCTTTCTCGGATCGTTATAGATCCATGAAGGTTTTTATTAGTGAGAAAAGTTTTGAATGAATGAAATAATTTCTTGCGACACTTAAAAAGCATGTATCAAACAGAATATATTTGAACTTTTTTGAGGGCGATTCACATGTTCACCAATGCTGAACAAAATTTTTACCCGAGGAGAATAAGTTGTTTATGATCACGCGCGTTTGCCCGATGCCAATCAGCATTTTTCGTAATTATGCATACTTCATAGTATAGTCGTACTATGAAGCAACAAGCGAGACTCCATCGTTTCGCCAGATCGCGTTGTTGACTATATAGCATTGAGATTTTAATTGAATTAAACTGCCATCGACTGCTTTAGAATAAGAAAAATCTTGTTCACTTTGTGGCGTGGCAAAACGATAACGATAGGATATGTACGGTGTCACGGTCCCGGTCGATAACTGTGGACAATGTAGTGTCTTTGAGACTGGGGCTGGATAAACCAATATGCAAAATAAGCACGTGTTTATAGGGCACCAAGAGAAAAAGAGGACACCACAGAAATTTCCATAGTGGAAATTTCAATGTTGCCTTAGTGGTTAATGAAAGTGAGTTGATCTGATGACGATTTTTAACAGTACCTCATTGCGTCAGTCGTTAAACATTTGAATAGCATTCCACCGTAACTTCAATGCTGTTAATAAGCGTTAGTCGTTAAACGTTTGAATAGCATTTCGCCCTAACTTCATTACTGTCAATGAGCGTCAGTCGTTGAACATTTGAATAGCATTTCACAGCAACCTCAATACTGTTAAAACCCGTCAGTCGTAAAAAATTCAAATAACATTTGTCTGTTTACGACTAACGGTTAAAAAGCGCCAGTTGTTAAACGTTTAAATAGCATTTGTCTGTAACTTCAATAATGTTAGAAAGCGTCAGTTGTTAAACGTTCAAATAGCATTTCACCGTAACTTCGTTCCTGTTCAAAAGTGTCAAACGTTAAATGTTTAAATAGTATTTCGCTTTACTGTTAATATCTGATTTCCCCTTAAATTTGGATTACAACGCGAGACTAATTCTATTTAGTCTTGCTCTATTATGCTGATAAATTTATATGCGTATAATAATGCAGGACGTATAATAAATAAATGCGAGCCAGGGCTGAATTAACCATCAAGAAAAACAGGCACAAATCAAGAGCACCAAGGAAAAGGCGGCACCACAGAAATTTTCAAATTTTAATAGTGCGTCAGTGTTTAATACTTTAATGAAACAATCGGTCAGTCGATTCAGACCTCAATATTGACCCAGTTGAAATAAATTTTGCTTATTTTCTTTCTCAAGTACCAACTTAAATAGCTTTATTAAGGTTTGTAGATGAGAATTGTTTTCGAAAAATATCATGTAACTTAATCCTAATTTGGTATTCCATCAGTAATATATACTGAAACTTACTTTTTCAATTTCAGATAGCCTGGAACACTAGTTACATTCTCATCATTTTTTTTTTATATATATGGCATCAAAGTCTCAAGTGCTCATTATCCCTTAAATTTGTTTCATCGCCGTATAGGGGCATCATTGCGTATTTTAATCATGTAAATTGTAAATGTTAGTCTCCATTCTCATTTTTCGAAACGTGATCTCAACACCAAAGCGCACATCAAACTTATTTCGGAGATAATGACTTATTTCAAATAAAATAACGGTTTGCGGGAAGCATCATCAACTTGTGAAAAACGGTTTTACCTCGGTTTGTAGAGTTCTTCGTCCGTTTCCAAGAGTTGCTTTTGCAAGATCTCGCAAAGCACTTCGCTTTGGTTTCGGGCGTTTCATGAGCAGTATCTAAATATTGGAAAGACAACTCTGTCAAATGGTTGAAATATTGACGTAATTTACAAGAGGTAATGCCCAAATATATGAACTAAAAAGTCAAATGTGTATTCAATATCAACAGAATTCTACCAATATTAAAAAATTAAAATTGTAAAAATGGCAATAAGTCCACGATTTATAAAACAACATCAAAATTTGAGGTAAAATATCGGGCCCCTTCGAATTCAGAGGAACTTCGAAAAAAAAGAGTCCTTCTAGCGACTTCATCAATCTTTTGGTACTGAAAATTCAGAATAGTTTGATCTATTAGTTTCGAGGTAAAACGATTTTTCACCACAATAGCAAATAACCAATCCAAAGACAATTTAGTCAGATATCCATAGGTCTACACCGCAATCCACAAATGCTAGCAAATTTCAGCGAAATCTCATTTACAGTCATCTTTATTTTCAGGTATGAAGTCCTATTTAGTAAACTACTGCAACACTGTTTCGTAACCAACCTTTGGCAAGATATCTAAAAACAATTTCTTCATCCATGCTGGCATTTCATGTGTATTTGGAGATCGATGATGAACGTTCAAAACAAATACAGTGACAACGATCGATAAAGTCACAAATATCATCGTGAATAACAAGTATTCTCCGATTAATGGAATTACCAATGACGTAGATGGAATGATTTCAGTAATGACCAGAAGGAAAACCTAAAATTAAGAAAGTCAACTTTTCAAAAAGTAAAGTTAAAGCAGAAATATGGATGGACGGGTTGGCGTATTCTTTTGTTATTGAATGTCAAGTATAATAGCAATTCTACTTTTCATAATTTAGATTTTCATTTATGTCATAATGAAATGCTGTTGTTGATATGATGAAGAATCCACCCATCAACACGCTGACGGCAGAATTGTCGGGCCGGGCTTCGGAAATCTTGGCCAGCCCGGTTCAAATTTGCAGCGAACGACTGTAAATGATTCTAAGTCGTCAAACACGCTGCCCGATTAAACAACAGTGGTCTTATGTTGTATTTTGTTACTTCGTGGGTTGATATGAAAAATAAGTTTTCGTCTTTGTCATTGAAACTTCGCGTTTGAATGAGTTCATAAGTTCATCATCACGTAAGGTTAACAATTGTTCTCAGCTGAAGTAAAATTCTACTTACGGTGAGTGAAAGTAATACAGAAATACATAATGTAATTTTTTCTCCACAGTCTGATGGTAAGTAGAATACAAGTACACTGAGGAAAGAGATGAGAAGACACGGAATTATCAAGTTGATCATGTAAAACAGTGGCAATCTCCGAATATAAAACGAATAGGTGATGTCAGGATAAATCTCTGGACAACAGTTATATTTTCTTTCGTGTCTATAGGTTGAAAAGAAGTTAATCATATGTGAGAACATGAAAAATGGAATAAACTCATACAAATATGGCATTGCAATATGGTATTAAAAAAACGAGCTCAAAATAGACGCCAGTCAAATGCCAATATGAGTAATTTCGTCAATAAAGGTAAAAGGTACGTCCTCAGTTTCAACGCAACCTTTCGATGAATTCGTAAAGATTATAATCACCAGGGTAAACAGACAATGCTCGGTCAGATAATGCATGGATATTTCTCCTCTCTCGGTTTCAAAATGTTTGGGTTATACACATGTGTGTGTGATTCATTTAGACAGTTATTGCTGCAAAAGGTTGAAAAAAACATATGTCCTTACCCGCCTCCAAACATAACTTACGATTCTAGATGAGTAATTTAAATATCTATTCACCATCGCATAATAAGAACTTACCTGTAACCAGATGCATCCAACACCTCCCATTCTCCACTTTCCCAATATTCTTTTCTGTTAACTTTATTACTATACATGAGCAAATCTAATCTTGCCTTGTCATATGTCCAAGAGCCAAACTTCATTGTACAATTCTAAATAAGTTTTATATTATTGTTTTATTTTGAAACATCTACTTACGGTTTATAGGATATATTATTTTAAGTGGTTACAGGTTCGCATTCCGCGGGAATTGTTATACGCGAGAGGAATGTTGCACTCTTTGCATGATTGTTCAAGCTACGTGCCCAAATGTATTTAGTTTCGGTAATAATTCCGAGTATTAAGTTTAACATGTGTTGTAAAAAGAATGAATCCGATACAACCAGTCATTTGATTTGTATAATATTCCGATTGATCAAACCAAATATGCGCGTGTCATGAGGTACAGATTCATGGATTGCAGAGTTACTGCTTTTCCTTTGACTTCGCTATTAAATCTATCCCTCGAGAATACCTTTAATTAGTATTGCAAGTCAATTGATTTTGTCAAAGTAAAGCTATGTCGCGTAAAGTTTAATATAAGGTAAACATTAATGGTAATATCATGCGCATGGTGCTTACCTGTGTATCAAAAGGAAAATATGAGACATCAATACTACATGAACTTTTAAAAATAGCTGGAGGAGTCCACGTTATGCTACCTGTATAATGTACCAATGCCTTTGTTGTCTGCTCTACTTGAAATCTACCAACGGCACTAAAATAAATAACGGCAAGAAATGATACAAGGCAAGAAGACGGCATTGGTTGGCCTTTGATATTGCAATCGCGTATTATATAGATTTGTACTGTTTCAATAATAGCATTTTACAATTTGAAAGTAGGCTATCCTAATCTTCTTCGTCAATGTTCTATTATTGGACACAAAATGAAACTATGGACCGTTTTATCAAATTGTAGTTGTTTTTAGGGTTCTTGTGTGGTCGGGGTTTCTTCGCAGCTAGAAGGCTATGATATATATTTCAACCAAAATTTTCACCAGTAATGTGTAGTACCAAATCAATGTACGCCGTTTGAACGATAAATTATGAGTTGAAAATTGGATGATTTCTTCCAACGTCAGACACTGTGACTGTAGTCATTTGACATTGGCTCCACGAGACCATGCATTGGCCATTGCTATCTTATTATTAAACGGGCCGTATTTTGATTAACAGAGGAAAAGCACAAAAAATCCTATTTTATATCTCAGAACTTAACCCTTTTGTAACACAACAAGTTGTTCAAGGTGGATTAGTTCGCGGTGTCTTGGGATTTCCATGCAATCATAATTTGATTGACAGTTTCATTCTGCTATTGGATCGATGAGTTTTGTCTCAGACCGCGATTACTATCAATTAGAAATCTTACACGAATTCTAATTAAATTTTAATTGACTTAGTATTGATCTTAATCCAAAGCTTCAAAACGTTTTGCATCTTTGTCACTGCTGACGAACCATTCAATAAAGAGCAAAAGATTTTACTTACGTGTTGTATAAAACAATATCAGGTCTCCATATATTTTCCGATGGAATTCTAAGATATCTGACATCACCATATAAACTTGGATCCCACTGCATTTTATAATCGAACCATTCTTGTTTTAACCATAGATTTGTCATCATAATCTGATTAATTTCATCCTGCAGAATAGGCTATTCATTTTCAAATTGGTCATTTATGTGTAGGATAGCAATCTGACTCAATCACATAAATAGCGAATGGGTTTATTATCCTTTATTTCTTTTCATAACAGTTTTTAGGTAGTTTTGAATGGTTAAAGTTTCCGCATGTTGGTGCTGTATTATTTAGCTGTATGCTTTGTAAAATTTAATAAATCTACATAAAAACCAGGTTGAATGGCTGCTCGACTTTTTGTGTGTGGTCATGACATATCAATCCCCTTATTGCGGATTTCGCATTTTAGAGGGTTGAAGATAATCGCCAGTCAGTCTACAATATACAAAACCAAATAGTTTTTTAACAAAGCAACTTTAACGTTTTTGCAAGGATATAAATAAAGTTTTTTTTACAATTGACGACGACTATTCCAGTATGCATGTTACATGTTAATATATAAACCCTTGAAGTTCCGATACATCACGATTATAATGAATGTATAAAATTAAATTTCTTACGACTTTTACAAGTTGGGACATGAACAATTCCAAAGCCACGACGACACTATCATTAGCATTTTCCACTGGTCGTATCCATGGATTGTAATCGGAAAACAACACTCGATATAACTTTTCCTCGTCTCGAGTTCCAAAACAACCTGTAAGATAACTTAATTTGAAATACATACAGCAGTGAATTGAGCTTTTCTACAAATGAAGAGAATATTTTTCAATGCTAATTTAGACTTGTTTGTTCTCAGCATCAAGCCGATCATAAATTAAGTATACTCGTATGATATTATACCTGTGATAAGAGTCAGGAAGAAAAAGATGTATTTTGAAATTCTCATGTTCCCGTGAGTGTCCAATGCTGCTCCGTGAACAAAAATTGACTAGTAAATAATCTAAAAAAAACAATATTTTGGTAAATATCGTCACAAATCTTCAAATCCTATATTGTCATAAAACATTGTTACTAAAATTGTTCAGTGAAAAGAAATTTAATCTTCCCTTGTTCTATTTGTGGCGAGTATTCCTGTCTTTTGGACACCTTTCAGTGCTTTCACACCTTCCTACAGCAACAACTGTAAAAAATTATGCAGTATCCTATTATACTCTAAACTTCACCATTCCACATACAATATACCCTTTTAGTTGTAACGAAAAGATAACTTAAAACTCAAACGAACTTCTTTTACATTCGCTTATTTTTAAACATATTTTACGCTAACGTTGGTAGTTTCATAAATCTCGTCCAAAGTTTTCTGCATCATTCCACCATAGTCAATCGGTTTTCAACTTCCCAACTATCGGGTAAATCCGACGTTTCCAATCGATTCAAATTTGTGTTCTTTCATTCATTGTGTCGGATTTGATTAATCCATGCTTGAGAGAACAACGATGAGGCTGGGAAAGTTAAAAACAATATTGATTGGACAAACTGTTTCCAAAAATAGCATCATTTTTATGACATAGATTTAACGAAAAGTATGATTAAAATCGTGCGCAAGAATTATTATGTAAAAAACGGAATTTCAAGCAATTATAAAAGTACAACGGAGCTGGGCAATTTAGGTCTCAATTGGAGAATAGTTTATGAGAAGATTTATCAGAAATTGTAATTGCGTTTCTAAGCTAAAATTCAAGAAGCGATCGTATACAAAAAATTACTTTACTTCTATTGCCGCAGTGATGAATTCTATACTCCACATATTGATCTGCGATATAACGAGGAGCAAGAAAAGTGTTTGATAACTGTTTGATCGATAATTCAATTACATAACTACAGTTCTATTCTCTATTAGACTTGTAAAAATATTTTCCTTGCGTTATACACATACTGATCTACCTGCGCAAAGGTATTGAGCAAGGAAAGGTTGTTAGTTTCACGCAACTCCGAATGCACTGTTAGTTATAACTGTTAGTTATAGGCGAGACGAGGCCGTTTATCTTTCAGTTTCGTAGCGCACATAAGGGAACTACTTGGAAATAATTTGAGTGGTTCCTAAACTTTCTACCCGGAACAGAAAAGAATAACATATATTTGCGTAATATAATGCAATGTCGGGCATTCAATAGTCTAGAGTAGACAAAAAGGCACACGTAAAAACATTTCACGTGAAGAAAAACTATCAAATAATGTGCCGGCCAAAAATTGAAATGGGTGAAACATAAAAATATTTAATATATTTGCGTAATGAAATACAGTGCTGGACACCCATTATGCGTAGGAAAGGCACGCATAAAACATCTCACATAGAAAAACATGTACATGCCAAATCATGTACAAACACAATTAATTCTAGTGAGAATTTTGTTGCTGTTTCGTTTCCAATGTCGGATTGCAAACGAGGCTTCAAAGAAGTTTCTGCAGCGTCATGCAGCCTATTTCTTTGCTTCGTTTTAATTAAATCTATTGATGAAAATCGCATAACGCAGTAACTGGTTGAAAATACGGACAACAGTTTGATTGCTCGATTACTTAGCGATGGGTATTCGTTATCAAGAGATATCCAGAATTGTGATTTTTTTTTAATCTGGACTGTAAAGTAGAATCACAATTTTAATCAAGCTTTTTTTTCATCAGGTTTATCATATTAATCCCTCCTCAGCTGATCGACGCCTCAAACGAATAGAGCTTACATTACAATAACAAAGTCGTCGGTAACTTGGCACCAGGCTCAAAATATTGGAAAAGATCTCTGCGACCCAAGCTTTTTTGCGCGTCTCGTGACCAGGGTCGCAACAAGTTCATATCTTAATGGAATGATATCCTTTCTTGACTGTTTTTTGATTTAAACCAAGAAATATGCACGTTTTATATGGACGGTCATATTAATCAGGAAAAGAACGCAGAACAGAAAAAGCACGCGTGTCGATTTTTAGGTTTCTGAATCTTGCGAGATATGATGGAGCGCATTCGCGATGAATCGGAGCCGAAAAAGCGAAAAGTGTAATTACTCGGCGCCAAGATGTCGTGAAAGACGTCGCCAAGATGTCGCAATATGACGGCAGAAAAGGAATTGCGTAATAAACCAACGCAACCTCGTCTTCGGTAAAGCGACTGAGACGGCATAAAAACAACAAAATTTCTCGCGGACCGACAAAAAAGCTTCGCGGACCTGCGGTTGGGAACCACTGCCTTAGACTAATAATAACTAAAAAAGACGATGAAAAGGCTATAGCATGTTTAATTGGTAAATTAATGTGATGTCAACGTATATTGCTATTTCGTAGACCGTCTCAGAACTGCTTGTCGCCCGTTCACCCTACAGTTTCAATGCCCACGTTAATGAAGAAACTTTAGAAAACTCTGTTTGATTTTATTCTCAGATTTCCACAATACACAGAATACAAATCTTAAAACATTTATCCAGAATAGCTTAACATTGAAAGATATCGAGTCGTATTTATACGTCGATCATAAATCTAATTGAATACTGTAAACATGAGCTCGTGATTCACGTTATAAACAGAAACTATTATCTCAATAAGGGTAATTATGTACCTCGCACGGATGAGAACTTAGATATATATAATTAGTGTTTAAATATCGTGGTAAAATAAATTTCAATTTGATAATGGCCGGACGAAACTTGTTATTTTCCTAAAACTGGTGTAATTTGATTCTTACGAAAGTCTTTGTTCGTTTTATGGGAAAAATTAACTTTGTTTTCATATTTTTAACATGAAATGGGGTACATTTGGGGGTTAATTGGTATATTATCTCCACCTCTGGATAATTGGAAATTTAAAGATTTGGAACCCTCTAATGAAGTGAAAATATACAGGAAAACACTACCCAACTCAACGCAAGATCGAGCAGTAATAACTGAAATTCATCCGCCCGCTAACAGTTGATCAAATTTTAATTGTTACGTCGTGCAGAAGTCTGCGTTCATTGGCCAATTTTGCCGGAAAAGTAGAGAATATAGGACAGATCCAACGACTAACATGGACAGATCGTAGCACATATTTCTTGCAGTAAAACAATGAGCATATATACAATGAGTGGAAACTTGCAAAGATTTGCTCATTGTGGCATTGTTCCCTGCATTTTTTACGTCGTCCAGCTAAATGGTTCGTTGCATATTAAGAAAACGCATTGCTCGCTGCCAAAATCCCTTGCTTCAGCCGAGTCGGGTGCGAAATTGGCCGTATTGAGGTCTTTAATTCTTCAAAACATATTTGGTTTTGGGTTTCGAAGTATGGTACGCTGAAAGCATACAACAATGAGCATATATACAATGAGTGGAAACTTGCAAAGATTTGCTCATTATGGCATTGTTCCCTGCATTTTTTACGTCGTCCAGCTAAATGGTTCGTTGCATATTAAGAAAACGCATTGCTCGCGGCCAAAATCCCTTGCATTAGCCAAGTCGGGTGCGAAATTCGCCGTATTGAGGTCTTTAATTCTCCAATACATATTTGGTTTTGGGTTTCGAAGTATGGTACGCTGAAAGCATACAACTATGAGCATATGCTTATTGGGAATGCATATCTATTAGACAGAAAACGTATCTACAGAACAGAATATGAACCAGTCGCCGAGAGGAGTATCTATACGACTATATAAAGGATCGTTAGAATTAAATAATATGCAAGAATCATATTGATAACAAAATGTATTCTAATCAATTTTAATATATCTAAAACAAAATCTTCATAAATATTTTTTGTAAATTTACAATACATGAAAATATGTGAAACAAACTCAGGTTCTCCGTTACATAATACACACATTTCATTCCCTGATTTTCTTCCAATTTCTGACTTTTGTTTTCAATGGCAAGATATCCCAGAGTAATTTATAGTTAAAATCAGTATTTTTAATGAGTAAACGAATAGCTCGCAGAGCCATGTGATTCATATGGAGGACAGAGCTATGATTGAGAGAGGCCGTGGTTCGCCATATATTTAGGCCTTCTTTTCGGCTTTCCTCTCCCCTTGGATAAATATGTAAATCCCATGTTATATTAATTAATAAATACATAAATAACCGCACTCCTCTCGGCGACTGGTTCATATTCTGTTCTGTAGATATGTTTTCTGTCTAATATATTGGTCGGCAACCAGCGGGCCGCAGCCCATCGTCGGTCCGCGGAAAGGTGACTGCCGGTCCGTAGAGAGGTGACGCAAAAGGCCGTACTACGACTAAAAAACAGCACCCAACACAACAGTCAACCAGACAAACACAACGCCAGGGGTCAGCAAAACTGCGGACCGTGAGCTAATTTGTTGCGGCCCTCGAACAACCCGACATTTAATACGTAAAACCAAAATTGATTCTAAATTTATTATTGTCTCTACACGGATTTATGTGGTAACAAGTGCTGATGTACAGTGCTTGTTTTGTAATAAGTAGCGTTGGTTGTATATCGTTCAAGCTAACTTTGATTTTAAAAAATTAAAAATGCCTGGGAATAGGGTTGCCACTTCTGGATACATTTTCGAATCGTATCTCGAATCAAAAATTTTCGAATCGAATCTTTCCGAATCTGATTCCATTGAGCTTTTTTTTTTATTGCATGCGCATGTTTGCTCAAAGTCACAAAAAACTCAAATCTAGGAGAGAAAAATGGAATACGCTATATAGCAAGGATGATAAGGGTTTTTCAGTGAATAAGCCACACTTATTTTCATCATGATAAAAAAGATGTAGGTCATAGATATCACCAATAAATGCATTGATGAAAAACTTGTTGCAACTTATCTGTGAGTCTTACAATAATTATTATTGTGTTATACTTGTATTAGGACTGAGGCAATTTGATGGAATTCATATGAGAAAATAAGCAGGGAACAGTTGTACTGGTATGTCATAAACACAGTAACAGCACTGCTTTCCCTTGTCCCACACCAGTATATGTGACCGTGGTATTTCACTTCTTGTTATATTGAATTAGGGCCGGCCTTATTACCGATTCTTTATCTTCAAAATCTTAGTACAATATTTTATATTTATGCTAGCAGCATAGAGTAATACGACAAAAACATTCTAATTGCATCTGAATTGCTATAAATGGGAAATGCTTACAAGAATATGATTGAAGACGATAAAATTAACCACGATTAAATTAAATTGATCCGACTACGATTGCGAGCAAAAATTTCCATAAATATTAGAGACAATATTATTTCTGGCTAACAGCGTTATTGGCTAACTCGGGCTTCATTATTAACGTGGACTACGTTTAATTTTGTAATTCAGAAAGTCCAAATGTGCATAATGGACGCCGCGCTGACGAGCGATAATTGGTTGACGCTTTATCTTGATCAAACATAGTCGCTGGGGCTAAAGTAAGACGACATTCGCAATGTATGCTTGGTCTGGTATGATATCTGGCACGTGTTGATGTAAAACAGTGCACAAGTTGCCATTCCTCAAGTATTATTTACTCCCACCTGTCCGTTATGACATTTGCTAGAAATAATCCGAAATGTTTTATTCCCGCTTGTATCGCGCTAACAAAATTAAAAGTAAATACTACTTTTTTTTGTAACAGCTGAGAAAAGACGTGTATGTACTATTACATTATGTCCCCCTGATTTCGTTTACCGCCACTCGAGTGGAAGCCTGACAAACGCAAACAAAATAAATATATATTTTAGGATGAGAAACATGATTGTCAATTAACATTGCCGGCCGATGAACTCATTCGTAATAGTTCTCTTCAAATGTACGCGAATTATTGCTCTCAGAACAAAGTTTAAATTAAATTTCAATCAAAATTAAATATTATCTAGACGTCGGTAGCTGATTCTTTATCCAATCATGCCAGGGCGTACAATAACTTAGTCGCAGCGCAGGTGTGCTGTTGAGAAAATTTTCATCAAAATTGTCACGAATTTTCAGGTATACGCTCCATTCAAATTCCCGCATAATAGAAACTTAGGCTATTTAGTGGAAAACTGAACTCGCAGTTTGCTGGAAATTACGCCACACATCATCTCGAGTGATGCGTAAAAGAGTGTGTTGTGCCGAACTTCAAACAAATGACAATAAACGCACTCGGCAGATTTAAAGCCGCCGAAAAGGACGATTTAACAAACGTTCAATGTTTTTTTTTATTTTCGGTAAATCGCTCTCTTTTTCCGAATCGCGTAAATCTGATTCGAATCGATTCGGAAAAAAGATGCGAATCTGAATCCTACCTGGGAAACGGAGCGACGAGGGTGGAGCATTCCAAAGTGCTTGAACGGAAAAATATTTTTCGTTCTTGCGCATTCCAAAACCGGTTTGCTCGATGTACCCAGTCAGCATCGCAGTTGTTAAGGGTTTTAATGTTGAAACTCGTTATGGAACGAGTCGTCGAAAATTCGACCCCGAGACCCGAGACTGCGCCACAGCTCATCTGTGCGTTAGTGCAAAAGGTGTAATGTGCACGGTCGGAAGAATATATGGCCTTGAGCAGCTTTATCCAAAATGCATTACACTTAGAATAAATTCCGTACTCGCCTGTCAGATCATCATTTGCCATAGTAGACAAGTTGCCATAAAAACATCATTTTTCACATTGATAATAAGTAAATAAAAACAATGTATTGTTGGATAATATATTAAAAACGCAACATGCACATCTCATTGGGTCAGGCTTTAAACACAGCAATAGACGTGCAACAATGTGAATGCGCCATTGAAGTTCAATTAATGTAGCGATTGTTCGAAGGCGGAAATAGAAATATTGCGGCCCGCGCGCTACCGGAAATGTGTATACTTGGCCAGCAAGTTCATGAAGTTTGCCGACCACTGCACAACACTATTGAGCAGCATGTCTGACTTCATAAACAATTGCCATGTCAGTATGTCGCAATAATGCTGGGTCAATTGTTTTCTCTACGCCCGTATAAGAAAGTCTCTCATGAGTCTGAATAAGATCCCCCAAACAAAATAATACAGGCATTGGGAACTTTCCTGAAATCTTATTAATGTGAGGCCTGGTTTTCAATACTGATAACTACAAAAACGAAATATCGAAATAGGCTGAAACACGGTACGTGTGTCAACCATATCTCCAATATGGGAGCAGTTAATAGCAATCAAACAAATACAGATATCGCGTTAAATAGCATCACCGTCGTTTTTAGTATATTGTCAACATAGATGTCATAGTGCGTTCAATTTATTGCATAGGCTTAGTTCGTTTGTACAATGATGCTTTACCGGTCCGTCACTTGAAAAAGGTTGCCGATCACTGGTCTAATAGATATGCATTCCCAATAAGCATATGCTCATAGTTGTATGCTTTCAGCGTGCCATACTTCGAAACCCAAAATCAAATATGTATTGAAGAATTAAAGACCTCAAGTTAATACGGCCAATTTCGCACCCGACTCGGCTGAAGCAAGGGATTTTGGCAGCGAGCAATGCGTTTTCTTAATATGCAACGAACCATTTAGCTGGACGACGTAAAAATGCAGGGAGCAATGCCATAATGAGCAAATCTTTGCAAGTTTCCACTCATTGTATATATGCTCATTGAGTAAAAGCGTCTTTTTCGTGAAAAAAAAGTGAAACTTTTGGAAATGGGAACAAGGTATTATTTGTTACTAAATTTCTAAGGAACATTTATAATTATTTCCAGGTAGTTCCCTTATGTGCGCGAAACTCATTTTCTAGGCGTTTTTCAGGTCCTCGTCTCACGGCCAAAATTGTGTATTTTCTTTTGTCATGTATTGGATATGGAAGAATCAATAGTAACATCGTTTACTCATTCAAGTCCGATGATAAGTTCCGAGTTGGATAATTCGTACGATACTCATCGTCAATATCAGTTGTTTTAAAACTCTAAAATTTCACTGCCATATCGTGTCCGCGGAAAACAATGTTTGCAGTGTCTAGGACTAGGTGGAGATAGAGAAATCGGAGAAATGTTCGTAACGCTCCACTTGGTGTATATTTTGCAGGGTTATTCTCGATTTAATTTCGTTGGTCGTTTTTGTTTTGATCTCTACTTTATTGAGTTTGCCCTTTCTGCACTTGTTGATGTTTACTGTTCACTGTCTCCATAATGACCACTAGGCTTTCCAAAACCATATTGGTATATGTCTGCGCGGGTGGATCCGCTTTGTTTCTGTCAAATTTCGGCGACGTTAACAAGCCACAAACAAATTTACTTTCGAGATTGAAAGTGAACTGCGCTACAGCTGATGCTTTTATTAAAACGAAAAAAATTGTAAACGAAAAAGATGCAAGCTGGGACTGGAATTGGGACAAAAGAAATCATCAATCACTTAATGACGTTTCAAAATCAGAAAGAACCAAGAAACATTACATTTTTGTGAGACATGGAGAGTATAACTTGAAAGGGTATAACGACGAAGAAAAGTATTTGACAAAATTGGGACAAGAGCAAGCAGATATGACAGGACAATGGCTGTCTGGCTTGGATTTAAATTATACGAAAATTGTGCAGTCAACCATGACACGGGCTAAAGAAACCTGTGGAATTATATCGAAATATTTGCCCGATGTTGAAGTTGAAACAACAGATTTATTAAGAGAAGGAGCACCTATTCAACCAGATCCACCCAATAGAGCAAATGAACCAGAGGTGAATAATTCATTTTTTTATTTCTTAGTCGCATATTTTGTCATTTCCGACTTTGAGATAAATTTTTAAATTGATATTGCACCAATATTTTGAATACAAGAATATGGCGAATAATGCATTTTTCTTTCTCTATTGCATTTAATTATAATTAATTTAAAGGTGGAGAAATGCCATATTTTCTGGCTAATAAGCTAAATTGGCAAATGAGAAGAGAACAATTTCAACCCTAAAAATGAGGGTTTTTTCATATTACTGTATTACTGTCCACTAAGCCAGGCAGAAAAATTGTGTTACTTTATTTCTCTGTTCGTCATTTAAACACCAATATGCATTCAATTTTTATCGATTATAATTCCCTCATTTTTCTCTCAGTTACACCCCAATGCACTCTCCCTCTCTTTGATGTGCTTACAAGTTACAATACACTATATACGACAGTATCAGTAATTACTTTTGCTAGTGATGCATACACAAATACAGCAACATCGAATATAATAATCACAGCAGAGATCTTCCAGATTCACAGTGTGAAATTGCCGATTCATGAAAACTGATGGTGAAGGCAGTAGGCACATTGTTCGGAGATTTCTGGTCCAAAGCTAATAATTAGCCGAAAAAGAAAATGAGCCGACCACAGAAAACCAGGCCCAGTATATCGGCTTATTAGCTGGCAAATACAGTAGTTTATTTTGGTTTTTACTACGACATATTCCTGAACCAAAATGAACCAGTTTCCTGCTGTTGTTTCATTGCATTAAATCTAATTCACTCACTAGGTATAATAGTATCACTTCGAAGTTCGAAAGTACTTTTTGTGAAAACTACTGGTTCCATTAGTTCGCTTATTTCAGGTTAGTTTGAATATTACCAGAACTAGTCGGATCAGAAAACTCTTTATAATTTGCATGGTCGTTAATTTTCTAAGTAACCAAACCTTTTTAAAAAGAACAGTTTTGACATTAAAATTGATCTATTCAAGAAGATGATATCAAGATAATTTTGACTATTGCTTTTAATTCTAATTGGGGTCTTTCAACCTTATTTATTTCACAATCTTTCCCATCATTTTTTGATTATTAAATTTTGTTGTTTTTGTATCTCTCAGCAAGTTGTATTCAAAAAAATCATATCTATTCCTCCCATGATTTTGAAATGTGAAACTTATATTAAATGTGCAATTTCCTTATTCCAGCTTAAATATTTCTCGGACTCTCAACGGATTGAATCTGCCTTCAGGAAGTTTGTTTTCCGACCGAAACTTTCAGATTCCGATGAACCAGTCGAGGTTTATGTTTGTCATGCCAATGTTATTCGTTACTTTCTGTGCAGAGTTGCACAGTTTCCCCCGCAAGGCTGGTTGAGAATTAGTCTTCGTCATGGCAGTGTTACCTGGGTTACTGTGTATTCTGATGGAGATGTTTGGATAAGATCCATTGGAGACGCAGGGTTTATGCCACCACATAAATTGTCTAGATAATTTTAAATCACTGTTTTTTTTGTTTATTCACATGCTGAAATGCTATAAAAAGGTGACAAGCTCTCACTCGAAAACAGAGAAATAGCTTGTAAAACGAACACTAATAAGTTAGAATGCATATGAATGATATATAAGGGTGGACTTAATTGAATGGAAATAAATTAAAGCAATTGAATCAAATATATTAGATTAGTGGTTCCCAACCTTTTTCAGCTCGCGACCCCCTATGGTGGTTTACACATACCTTCGCGACCCCCTTCCTCACTTTCTATACTTTACAATAAAATAAGCGGCAAATTTGATTTTTCATCAAGCTGCAGTTTTATTAAATGTGATGGCTGGCTTGGAACCGCGTAGCCAACTGCGTAATTCGTGGTTGAGTTTTTGACAGAGCTAATCTCATGTCATCCTCGACTTTCATTAGATTTCGTGCCTATGTTTTTATATGAAAAAGAAGCTGAAAATCCGATTTCATTTTCATATTGTCTCTTCTTCGCCATGGTAAATAAAATAACTGAATTATAACGTTACTGCAGGATGTATGATAATCTTCACGATGAAACAACATAGACAACCCCTTGGTATCGAAATCCCACAGCCTTGCTTCGAAGCATTGCGCGAAATGCTGTCGAGTTCGTGTGACGTCACAATGGCTAACATGCCATAAAACTCTCGCGCCGCTTGCTAACATTCTGGGGTGTCACGACAGCTAGTGGAAATCTCTCGGAGGCGAAGGAGAGTCAATTCCAGACTTCTTCGCGTTCTATCGCCAATATTTAATCTGCGGCTTTGTATTATTTTCTACTGTTTTGCAACAACTTCGCGACCCCCCTAGAAACCCGTCGCGACCCCCAGGTTGGGAACCACTGTATTAGATTGAGTTTTGAATGATATTTTTCAAAAAGCAAAAGTATTGTACTGGTATGTATAATTTGGCTGTAAATTGAATTGAAATAAATTTTATGTAACTTGAATTAAAGACTGAAGAAAACTAAAGTGTTTGCAGTTACTTATCTTTTGTATAGCATCATATGTATATTTTATGCAGAATTGAATTTTATTGCACAGACAATCTTAATCAATATCACTATTGAACAGCAGAAAATCGCTAACTTCATTTCAACTTTTTTTATTGGGTAGTTGTAATTGTATATCTGTAACATGTCATATTATGCACATTTCACAGTCTTTTTACTGTCATTTATTGCAGTGTTTCTATTATTGTGCCATAATATTTTTGATTCATTATAAAAAAAATCTCAAAAGTGCTGCTGTAATTATTTTATGCATTTCAGGCAATCTGTACATTTTTTCATCTAAACATTTGGTGCTTGGTTTTTTTGGGGTGAAGAGTTTACAAAGTTAAAATTCAAGTTGTGATGTCTATCCTACATGTTACAAAGGCCAGTACAAATGTTGTCCCTATGTCTAGCATACAAGCTCAGTGCAGTACAGTATTTGGGCTACTGATTTGAGCAATGCAAAAAACGTTCTTTTCTGAACTTGTTACTGACTGCTTCTTTGTACGTAGCCACTCATATAAATTTGTCAAAGCTATCTCGGTTTCATGACTCTTTCAAAATTTAATTTCTGAATGAAATGTTCTGAATAAAGTCAAAAAAATACTCAGGAGTGAACTGTGACCACACAGACTTGTTTTTTCTATTATGTGAACTCATATTCTGAAATTTACTATATTGTGAATGATTGCAAATAATAATTTAAAATGCCCATATTATGACGGATTTGTATTTCATTAAATTCTTTTTCTATAAGTTTTATTTCTAAATAATTCAACTTGTATTATCTATTTTGTATCATTGAATTAAAGATGTACGGTATGTGATATTCGTATGGCAAAAAATCATAACTTTATTTTCAAAATTTTTCAGTGTTCTCAAAAACAGTGATTTTGATTTGTATGAAAATGCTTGTTCCTAGTCAATGTTGACTCCAAATCTTAAAATCTAAAATGATGGACAATCTGAACTATTGTATGTGCACCAATAATATAATCACTCAGGAATTAAATATATATAATCAAATATTACCCTTATGTGTATCTTGTCCATAACCACTAGTGAAATGGTGCAAATTAGCAATAAAATAATTGTTCTATAATTCCTGTTTTATCAAAACTTCAGATGCTATTTAATTATAGATAAAATGACTGAATTTTGAATAACCAAAAATGGCAAGTAAAAGTACAACAAATTTAAGCAGTTTACATAGTGTTGGAGTTTTGTGCAATCTGGATGATCTAAGGAAACATGAAAACTTATGTGATGTCAGTTTGTGTGTCGGCGGTTGTCAACTGTCTGCTCATAAAGTTGTTCTCTCAGCATGTTCACCATACTTCAAGGCTATGTTCACTCAGGTAATTTCTGCTTGAAAAAACCTACTTCTAACATACCAATGGCAATGACCTTTTCAAAAATTTTATAGGTAGAATTTTACTCAAATTTTCGGACAGTATTTATTTTCACTAAAATGTTTTTTTTGGAATATTCCGTCTTCGAAATAAAGTTATTGGACTGAAGCAATTTATATGCCCTGGTAAGTTAGTAACTTTAAGTGAAACTTCATACAAGAATGGACCATTGGATGGACCCATGTTTAAAAAAAAATTATTGATCAACAAAATAATAAGATGAACTTCTATTTGGTTTCGGGGAATTATTTAGTAGCTTAAAATTAAATTTATTGTTAGAAGATGTTTTATGAATTTGGATGGTAAATTGATGTCGATTCAATTTTTGCAGATGAAATGTCAAGGGTGGCAAAGGTCATTGGAAGAAGAATTTTTGTCTATGATTTTTAAATATGTAATATTTTTTCGGGGGTTTTTAGTGACTGTCACAATGGCTTTTTAGCTTATCTATATTACAATATTGGGGGCTCCCGAAGTATGCGAACCAAGATGGCGGACATCGGAATGTAATATGTGTACTAGGTTAGGGTTAGGCCATAATTTTAGATATAAATACTACGGGAGGCTCATGGCTACTCTTCGAACTGATAATAGGACTAAAATAAGGAAAATTGGAAAAAAATTATCGCCTAACCCTAACCTGTTACCCATGTTATGTTCCGATGTCCGCCATCTTGGTTCGCGTACTTCGGGAGCACCCAATATTGTTTATTTACATTTTGTTAATTGCACAGGACATGGCAGAAAAAAATCAATCATATGTTACTTTTCACTGTGTAAATGTCGATGCAATGGAAATGATTATTGATTTTGCCTACACTGGCAAACTACAGGTATTAATATTAGTTTTATTTATCGCACTTTTCAATCTGTATCTTTGAAATCACTTCTAGTATCAAAAAAATTTTTTTAAAACAAATTTATATATATATATATACCGTATTTTACGGACCATACGGCGCATCATATCATAAGGCACACTGTCAATCAATTGCTCAGATTGAGTTTATATTCACGCATAAGGCGTATTAGGGTGTAAGACGTGACAGCTTTTAAAGCAATCATGCTACTGTTTTTTCAGTATATGCAATAAAGCACTACCTTATTAATACACTTCATGCACCTACCTGCTCATAGGGCGCACAATCAGTTTTTGAGAGAGAAAAAAAGACTTAAAATGCGCCCCATGATGTGTGACATACGGTTTATATATATATGAGGAAACATGTTCTTCTGAACACTTGCTCTTCTGAGCTGGAATTTCAGTGATTGTTCAGTAAATTTGCTCACAGATGAGTCCTGTGGGGACTGATTGTTTGTGAATTTTGAGATCTGTAATCTTTCATGGCAACACATTATCTTCTTCAATCTTGCTTCACTATTGCACCATCTTAAACAACTTCTAGGGATAAGTTTTTTATATTATATAAAATCAACACAACATTAGAATGTACATCCAAATAAATAAATTATTAAACGTCATCGAGTTATTTTCAAATGATATCCAGATGATTTCTTATATATACGTACTATATAACTTTCTGGCAATGGGCTGAATCGCATCTACGAGTTTTAATTCACATAATCCTTCATTAGAGAGGATTAGTTGAATAGCTGTTCCTTACGAATATTGAATTAAATAGGTATTAAGCTTGTCTGAGGCTGTCAGATCAACACGATCAATATTAGAAATTGAATAAATACAATATTGATCATGAATAGAGATAATATAACTGAATAGCTACATACACTCGGTGTTCTGGTATTACCTTTTCTCCATAAATCATGGTTTTGTTAATGTTAAAGCAAAATTTTCAGATAAAAAAGGAAATCAAATTTGAAATGACACCTGAAAAGATTTATTGAAATGCATCTATTTCATTTAAGAAAAATTCTGTATTAAATAACATTCTTGTATGAATATATATACCGTATATACCTTGGATAACTTATGATTTGAATTTTTGTTTATTGTGAAATCATTTTGCAGGTGACAGCGTCCAATGTTCAGAGCCTTGTTCCTGCAGCTTGTTTATTTCAAATGCATCTTATTATTGATGAATGTTGCCAGTTTTTGGAATCACAATTGCATGTCAACAATTGCATTGGAATATGGAGATTTGCTTATGATTATGGTTTAATTGAGTTGACTCAAGTATGTTCAAAATATAAAACAAATGAATTGCTTATAGACGAGAATGTCCAGAATGAATAAAATACATCTGACATCTGAGTCTATCTGATATGAATTATACTCCATATTTGAAATTCTCTAATTTTGGAATTATTTAATATATTTTCAGTTGAGAAATTATCATTTTGAACAATTAAAGTCTCACACTATGATTAAAAATGCCTCCATTTGGTTCTCAAAAAAAAACATAAAACCAACAAATTCATTATCTTAACTTCTCCTGCATTCCCGAATTCAAACTCATATCCCTTAACATGACGGAATTTAGACAATATGGGATATTTCGTATTCGAAAACATTATATTGAAAAGCGTTCATGATAGTGAATTGTTTCATTTTGGCTATGGGTTAGTATCAATTTTTCATCTTCTGTTTTTATTTTAGGTTTTGTTTAAATTCATCAATCAAAACTTTGAAGAAATATCAAAACTGGATGAAATACATGATCTTCCAGTTAAATATTTGATCAAAATTTTATCATCTGATGATTTGAATGTTTCTTCAGAAGAATCGGTGAGTCAATGGATGATTAATAGAAGCTGAGCTGTAGTGTTGTGGAGAATTGATATCAGTCTGAAATTCTAATTCCAAAAACTTTTACTCTGACTCTCAGAATGCCAGACTCCTGAGTTTTGCTTCTAGTGCATTTTAATGGGGCATCACAGATTGAAGATATCTCGTTCTAGTATTAGCCCAAGGAATCATAGATTTTGTATGACTGGTGGTGTTTTCATATGATTAAAATTGTCAACTTTCAAGCAAGCTTAGCTCTCGATCTTTGGTCTACTGATTATGAAGACGAACACTTAAATATTATGGAACTCTAATTGGGAACACTGTTTTCCCATATTTTAGTAAGATATTTGAAAACTCTGATTGATTCTTGATTGATTGATATTTACATTAATCCTACAAATACATAATTATGCAACACTGTGTATTTCAGAAATAAATATCTTCCAAAATTTTCATCTTCTTTCAGGTATTTCAAATCCTGGAATCTTGGATCATGTGGGATGTGGAAGCAAGAAAAATTAATTTACCGAGATTATTAAAATGTGTCAGATTATCTTTGTTAAGTGCAACATATTTGAGAAGATCGTCACTGTTGAATTCTTTAATTTCTTACAATTCGTTAGCATGGGATATTATGCATTCTTCAGTGCAGGTAACCATGCTTTCTCCTGGTATTTTAGGATAAGATTTTCATATCTATCCCGAGGAAGGGAAAAGCCCTACTCATATGCTTGACCACATCTTATCGTCCGCTCTCATGTAAATGTTGGGTATGGGAAAAGATATTTGTTTCATTCAGATGCATGAACTTGATAGAGGGGACAGCCGCTACAGACCAGTGGCTCTCAGCCTATGGCAGTGAGCAATCTTTTTGTACATAATTATTTTTCCTGAAATTCGGAACTGTGAACATGTGCAGTAATCAGAGATGCAATGACAAGCATGTTTTGCCAACAGCCGAGCCAGTAGAATTTTATCGTTTGTTTTCACTCATTATTTTAGTAATGTATCACTGACTTCTTAAAATAACCGGTAGGTAAAATTCTAAAAACTTTTCCTTGTTATAGTTAAATGTTAATTGAGTGAAATTTCCGTTCAATTCCGTGTCATGATTTGTATTACAATGTAGGCATTCCTCGACTAAATTTCATATTCAACGAAGAATAATTTATGATTTGTTTTACGAAGGCATATATTTTTGCGTGAACACATATAATAAATTCTGTTTAACATCTGAACCTGCTCTGTCATTTTGAAGCACAATGCATTCGTTTGCTATTTCCGTGAACTATTTGAACTCACCTGCCATATTATATATTGTGTTAGTATTGATAATAATGAATTCAGGAAGTTCCGTGTTTGCTGACTAAATTTTGTAAATCAAATCCTTCAGCGAGCAATATGACAAGCACAAATTACTATGCTGCATTTTTGAAGTGCAGAAATTGTCAAAAAATATATATTGTAAACGCTCCCATCTCAGCTTAGTTTAGTTACCGGTACTGTATTGCTTTACAGCAGTGGTTGGCAAAATGTATGTACTACTGTGCCAAATATGCACATTGACGGTAGCAAGCGGGCCGGATTATTTTTTGCCTATAATGAATCGCTGCATTAAACTTCCAATAACGACCCACCTACTGCTGTTTCTGTGTTACAACTGACGTTTCTTTGTCAAAGCAAACAAAATACAGTTTTCTATCATAATATGGTGCTCATATATAATCAACCAATTATGATTGTACTTACAGGGTGAACTAACTCTTGATCAACAACATGTTCGGCCAAGGTGTGCACCCAAGTTACTTTGTGCAGTTGGAGGGAAGAACGGATTGTTTGCTACATTATCAAGGTTAGCTTTTATATAAATTTAATACAAAAGAAGTTCTGAAAATGACCAGGGGTTGGGCAGTATAATATATAACTTTACTTTAAGCATATTTATATACCGTACTTTAAGCCTTAATTTTTAGCTTTGTTTGCACGCTATGTATTACTAATATATGATGATTTGCCTATAACAATGTATTCGGACATTGCAATCGTTCTAAAATTAGTCATTCGTAAAAATACTTAAGCATTAAAAACTCTTTGCATTTCAAAATATAGAATCTATTATACTAATTTTAATTGGATTTATCAATATAGGGATAACGAAAACCAAATAAATAATTATTTCGAATGCGTTTTGAAATGATATTTCAGAATATGAAATTTTTGTATTGGCCAGTGCGCCTAATGTATGGTCTTATGCTTATGCCTACACTCCAGCAGGTACCAGTACCGGTTGCGTCTTATAGCTCGGTGAACATTATGTATGGATAAAACCCCAATCAATTATAACCTGCTGTGCCTTATGGTTTGTAAAATACGATACTAAGCTGTAATTTAATAATTCGATCATTGTCTCCTGCTTAGGATGGCTTGCAAAATTCATGCTTTGTTTACATTCCCACCATAGACAGAACAAATAAGTTTGAAGTGAACAACACACACTATTCTATTATAATTAATATTTAATTTATCATGAATTGTTTACTAATCAAACAATTGTAAAAATTTTGTGAACTCAGTAGTTTCGATTTTCTTCCCTGTATTTCTGAAATAGCTACCTAAGTTAGTCGATTTCTGTTTGTGACATTGGTGTTTGATATTTCAATTTTTGCTGGATCAAGTGAATGTTCTACATTATACCAATTACAGCAACATGCTTATTATTCATTACTTATTTCAAATGAGGCTTACAAAATGTCTCGCTCTATATTGTGTGCAAACGCTATTTCAGAACATTACCTGCTAGTTTCTTGCTTGTTAAAATAATTTCAACAAAGTTTTTTTTCAAAATTTTTGCTTCCACTAGCTGTTGACTTGCACTCTTTCAAGTCGCTGCAAATGCAAGAAAAAATATTTTTGCAGGCTGTTTTGCACCTCACTTAATGCGAGGATCTGTACACTCAGCTACAAAGATCTTTAATAACCTCTTACACCAACATCATTGGAAACAATGCTGGGCATTCTTAGCATAATTTTTTGCTTGAGCAGCTTGAGCTTTTCTTTTATCAACTTGTTCCAAAAAATTTATGATATTTGAGAGTGAGACATTCGGTATGTTTTTATTAGAATCAGAGTCGAAATTCAGAGCGGATCAAGGTGATATCAAAGTCGAATTTTTCTGTAGAAATGCAAAATAAATTAAAAGGAGTAAGCGTTCCCATCAGTCTATTATGGAAAACTTTCATAACCCAATATGATTCCGAAATTTGATTATGTATTCAGTTTGGAAATCTACCTGCCAGCGAAAAATGAATGGAAATCAATGGCAGCCCTGCCTCAACCTCGATATGAATGTAGTGCTGTTGTTGCTGACAGAAAACTGTATGTCTTAGGTGGAATTGTTTGTGAACCATACAAGTAAGTTTTAAGATTATATTTCATTTGCATTGTGTATGTAATATTATGTAAGAGTCCAAACACAAAGTGGCCGTAAGAAAACAGAATTTCTTAATTACTTCTACAAAAATGAAGAAAGTTTATTTAACACTTGAAATACTGTTTGTGTATAAATTTACAGAAAAGAATCCATTTGCTTTACATTCGACTTATTTAACTCAGGGTAAGGTGTTATCGGCCTATTATATTGTAAGGTATTGGCTGATTTTATGCTTCACTAAGCGCAATCTTTCTCTCTAGACAACACTCAAACACAGTAGTAGTATGGGATCCTGATAAAAACAATTGGATAAAATCAGTTGAGATGTTGAAAAGCAGAAGCAGTTTTGCAAGTGTTGTATTGAAAGGTTGGTAATATGGATGAAATTATTTAACAGTTATGAAGGATGGCCAAAACTAAACCAAAACATATTATTGCAAATACATTTCGATGGAGTATTTTTGAATATATGAATTATCAAATATATTCTGAATTAGGCCATGAGTAATTAAAAGAAAAATTTGCACTAACTATTAAATATTCTTAAAAAAGAGGGTCAAAAGAGTGCTTTCCCCACCAATTTTCATGAATTAGCGTTCTCACACTGTGAATCTGAAATATCTCCTCTGTGCTTACTAGATTTATGTTAAAGTATTTGTTTGTACATCACGAGCAAAAGCAATTATCGATACCATCATGTGTAGTAACTTGTGAAAACAAGGCACTTTAACGCATGTACTAGTGCACAAACTGCACATTGAGGCATAACTGAGGAAAAATGAGTGAAATAAAACCAATGAAAAATAAAGCGTGCATTGGTGATTAATTAACAAACAGAGGAGAAAGTAATACAATTTTTGTTGCTCATTGGGCGGGCCGGTAACCCTTCATTTTAGGGCTAAAAATTTGCCAAGAATATAGAATACCAATTTCAATTCAATATGTTTCGGACATCGCTGGCAACCAGTAGTCTATTTTTAGTTCCAAATGCTCATTAGTTGAATACCTGTATTAGTATTAACAATATGCCTAGCACTGCACAATTGATTACACAATGCACTAGTTATGTAATGCATAAGGTGCATGTGATTAATTATAAGTTGAAGCCTCCACTATTGATCATCTGAAATCTTGAAGCCGGCTGGTCATATTGGAAAGATCTTTTTCTATGACTGTCGTATTAGTGGCTTCTTGTCTCAAGGCTCAGTCATGAAGAAAGCTTGATTAAACATGTTATCAGATATCCCAATTTTTGTAATAATAATACTATCATTATTTAAAGGTGAAATCTATGTTCTCGGAGGATATGATGGGGAATCGTATCTCAAGCATGTGGAGAAGTTTTCTCCTAGGAAATCAACTTGGGAACGAGTAACCGACATGAAACAAACAAGGATTTGTTTTTCTGCCGCGGCATTGCATGATTGTATTTATGCGATTGGAGGATATGGTCCTGCACACCAGGATAGGTTAGTTTGAATAGTTACTTATTTGTTGTTTTCATCACGATACAAGATCCAGAGCGTGTCAGACTCAGGCCCTATTCCTATTCAAACTATGATCCTCTCGGAAAATGACCAACAAGTTGACAAAAATTCTTCGACTTCTCAATTCAGGTTGGAGGAAATTTCGACCTCAGATTTGAACTCGAAACCAAAATTCAAATTACAATTTTGGCAATTGAAGCACCCCTTCAGATATCTGTTGAGAAAATGCTTCGTTGATGTTTTGACTATTGAGTGTCTGTGTAAATTTAAACTTAAATTATCACCATTGAAACCTGATATTCTAACTCAATTCCTAATGATATATTTCCTACTTCGCTTCAGTGTTGAGATGTACAACACAACAACAATGCATTGGCAGATGTTGAAACCGATGTTGAATAAAAGAATAAACTTTGGTGTCACAGTATACAAAGATTCTATTTATGTTATGGGGGGACACAGTGGGACAGCTCATCTCAGGTCAATGGAAAAATATGACACAGAAAAAGAAGAATGGGAATTATGCAATTCGATGAGAAGGCCAAGAACAGGTTGGATATAATTCTTTGTATCTTTCAAATAAATATTGGAGTGATTGGAATAATGCATGAAACAGTTATAGTTTGGCTGTTTTCATTGCCAGATTGAAATGATTAAAAAAATTGTTGTTGTTGTTTCAATAATGGTTTATGAGGATTGTATTATTTTCAAATAATTTATATAATAGAAGGAGACTATATTTTAATATAATCAATTTGTTCCTATACGACGCTTAATCAAGCTTTTCGGTTCAAACAAGATCCTGATATTGTAACTATATGTAGGGGGCTAACTTTTTCATGAAAGGGGAAAAAATTCCCACCACAAAAATAGACACTTTTACTTTGATATTTAGAATTAAATTACCATTCAGTAGGGAAAACAGCATCATTATTCATTGCTACTGCTATCAAAATTCAACTATAGTGTAACAAATCAATTTAATTTATCAATAACTCTAGCAATTTTTAATAGGTTTGTGGTCCACCTAAAAATGTTTATGTGGCCCAGCCAGTGAACCATGGCCTATTGGTTGGGAACCCATGTGTTAGGCCATCGCACCCAATAGTAATCTTAGCAATGTCTCTCAATACTGAATGCACTATATATAAAATAAAACTCTATGCTAAATCAAAATATAAATACTCGTATTATATGTAAAAATTCCAATTTTTAAATCTCATTTCATCTCATACCTTCACTCTGGTCAGGACTGTGTACAAGCATACATAGATACTTCAAGAGCTCTACTATTTATGGGATGATTTGAATGTTTGTAGTCATTTTTTCTTTATAAACTAATGTGCAGTGTAATTGGGTAAATAACTTTGAGGTTTCAATTCTCTGTTTTATACTTTGTTTGTTTAATTGACAATACTCAGTATAAAATACCATAATTATTTCAGGTATTGGTACCGCTGTAATAGATGGCAAATTCTATGTTGTCGGCGGACATTCGGGTCACGAATATCTTAACGATGTAGAATGTTATGATCCGGGCGATAAAACATGGGAGAGATGTTCTGGGATGAATTCAGCTCGATGTGCTTTTGGTCTGGTGGCATTGTGACATCATCATGGCCTTAACAGTATTATTAGTCTCCAATGCTTACATGAGATATTCAGTTATCATTAATATTCAAGATGCAGTGCTTTAAGGCTATGTCTCTCTAAGAATTTGAAGAGTGCCAATGGAGGACATGGAACTGAAATGCTAAGAACCTCTACGTAGTTTATTCCTTGAGACAAATATGTCAGGAAATATCGAGACTTGAAACAATTCACGTCAGCACTAGTGAGGAAAAATTCATTTAAAAAAGCGAAGGTCTTAAGCGAAAAATATTAACATTCATAAAATTTCGATAACTAACAGAAACCCCTAGGCATGTATAGAACTCGCTCCGGACCTGAAGCCGGCATGTTGCATATATATTTTGAACAAGTACCTATATACTCTGTATTGATTACCTTTTCATTTTATTGGTTAATTGTTAATATGTATTCATTCTCTGTATGTTCATTGTAAAAAGAGATTATGTGAAATCTTAGTATTCACCAGGAATGTGGAGTATTCACTCTTGTATTGAGAGATTACTTGACGTCTAATGAATATTCATCGTGACTGTGAAGTCAGCATTTGCATGTTTATATTGACATTTTCAAACTCTCAAACTGGGAGCCAAAAGTAGAATTCGAATTTCTTTCAACTAGGAGTTGAAATGAATTCGTTTTCTAAATTTCCGAAAGTTTGGGAGTATTTTGTCGATCTTCCCCAGACTTTGATATTCCCAGTCTTGGGCATTTAGTCGCATCACTCTAAGCAAGATGCTTGCTTAAGCCGTTACTACAGTATTCGAAGATGACATACCAATGCAGGAATACAATATTTTATCCCACATTTTTACATAAATGGATGTGTAAATCACTGGAGTTACAATATGAAAACAGATCAGTACAATATGCTATTGTAAATTTTATTCCCACCAGTATACTTCATTAATTTGAACAAAAAATATTTTTCCATGTAATAAATCTCGCTGGGAACTTTGGCTAGGGAAAGCTAAATCCTTTTTATAAGTTCACTGGCGTTATTTGGTCCATCTGTCCCAACTGACTAAATGTCCGATCTTTATTTTCAATAAAAAAATAAACACAAATCAGTAAGCTTTAATCTATTAGATGCATGTTTAAAATTATTTTCCATCCCTATTACAACCATATCCAATTGTCAATAGTTCAGCGTCCATATTTGTACTTCTGTATATATATATATATACTCATCACCTGTGTTCTTCAGACTTATTACTTTATATTTTGTTGCTGCAATATTTTTTTGAAATTTAAATAATGATATTGCCCAGATTATTGACTACCTAGTCGTACCATTTAAGTCTGCATATTTTGTGTAAAATAGACGTTTTTGGCGTGCTGACTTAAATGATATTTTTGCATTTCGAGTTTTGGGGACAGTTGCTAATGTAAATATATGAAATTACTCTATGCATGAAATTATGCTCCTGTTATTATTTTAAAAACTCAGTGCGTATTATGAGATAATATTGCTTTTCCACTTATATACGTTTGATAGCTTAATGTTTCATTCAACTGTGTAATAGATGCAAAATACTATATGTCTGGAGAATTATTATGACTGGCCTTGTATGTATTGACATAAGGGTCTTATACCATCTGTGATCGGCATTTTCGTTTCTCAAACAGCCAACAGAAACGCGCGCAATCGTTTCAACTTGTTTATGATATAATTTCCAATTTGACATAATGTGTACCATATGCACACGAAATTTGGAGGTTTACGGTGTCGAAATTAGCGTTTTTTTATCTGTCGCGTGGATCCTAAAACAAAACTTAATTTTGCTTTTCGTTTTATTTGCAATATTTTATAAAACTCTTTTTCAGTATTAGTATTTACTCTCTTATTTTCAGTCGTATATTTGAGTTGCAGGTTCTTTTACACTTGACGCACAGTTCCGGGCGAGAATAAACTAATTATCGAGGTCTTCGTGGCACAAGATGCGCAGCGAGATATCGCTATTGGCGACTTTTTCCGTCTTCCGGAAATTTTTGTGGAATACTATCGGAGTGTGGGGGCGACCCCGTGCACCTCCTGGCTTCGTTGACCTTACCCTATGCACGCTCAATAATTGATTCATAATCCATCTGCGATAGCTCTGTGGTTCAGCTGCTGATGAGGTGTAACATTTAGAGAATATTTATGTGAACGCGACTTAATTTCTTGCTGTTTTTCCACAACCACAAGTAATTATCTCTTTTTTGTCAGTTCAAGTGATCGAATCTATATATATATAGAGAACTTATATTTTAGAACGTATTAGACATGTTTGTAGATGTGCTATGTAACAAAATTTTAAATCAACTATATGTGAAGCATGGCAAAACAATACATTTTTTCGTAGTCAACTCCTACTAGGAATCACCGCTAACAAAACTTGTCCTGAGACAGTGCAGCGCTTATTTGTAATCAGCACTCTCGCAAAAATGAATCAAGTTTCGCGCCCTATTTGTTGCGCGATCTACAACACAACCTAAACGCGAGAAAGTGCATGAGCGATCGTTTTCGTTTGTCTTTGTAAAGGTACGCTCGATCTAGGTTATCAGGAAATTATGTGGCTAACAAGTTTCCTCTGTGTGTACAATTATTAAGTAGTTTTGTCATTATACATCATTGGAACGATTACTTAAATTCGAGATCCCTCGTTCCACCAGGCCTTGTGTAGTAAACGTTTAGTACAGGAAAATGAATACGAAGTTTATGAAAATTAGATAGTATTTTGAGGGAGAGTTTCAATGTACAAAGTTGAAGACAAAAGCGGAGAAAAACAAACATTTATATAGTTTACCTATATGTATAGACTATAACTCGGAGGTTATAGTATTGGAGTTGGAGTAATAACTCATAGGGAAGTATTTAATTAAAATACTTATACCGGTAACCGCACGCCGTTAGGTGATTGCTCCGCTAAAATTATCCGCCATTGCTTACCGTACGGTACTGTGGGGGTTCTTGCTTCACGAAGTTATTTCTAGGCTAAAAAAAATTCTCGTGAATTGTTGCTTAGGGTTTGCTATCAATTGAGTCTGTTTTCGGTATTATTATTGGAAATTACGAACGTTCTTCCACTTGCCATACTATGGAAATGTCGCCCGCAGTAATAGTAAGCGGGAGAAAAGTAGCTTTACTTCTAAAGTTATACAGATTTTTTGCAGGTGAGAAAAAGCATTTTTCTATTAAATCAAATTTGAGTATAATTAAACCAATAGATATAACCATTGTCATGGAATTTGGAGTCTAATTAGATTCTTTTACTTATTTACAAATCTTTCCGCGTTTCTTGTTTTCTTTGTATGTTAGAAACTTGGAAAATGACGATTTTTTCTTTAGGTATTTCTCAAAAACAACTTGCAAGTGTCATGTGTGAAATGTTTGGCGAAAATATCAAAGTATCAACAATAAGTAAATTTGAACTTGGAACTGAGGTAATTTTATTAACAGTAATAAATTTTAACAATGCTCACTACTTCGCGTATTTTTATGGCCCATCTGACGATATGACACGTGGTTTAGATATCTAGCTTCCACCAGAATGGCTCTTATTCTACCGGGTAATATCGTATTCTACCATTAACAAAGAGTAGTCTACTCACTGCTTGTGCTAGGCAGGTAGGCTAAATAACTAATATGCCACCGCAATATTAATAGTATCCAGTCAAATGTTTTGGTCTTAATTAAAAAATTATACCAAATCTTATATTAATTTGTGTCGAAGCCGAAAAAACAAATAATAAAGCCTTCTGGCTGAAACAATTTGTAAATCGAACATATCAACCTTATTCAATAATGTTTCAATTGTAGGCATGCATGCAAGATGTCAAAGATTTTTCATTGAAAGCAATGGTATGGCTGGAAATTATGGGAATAGATTGTCATTATCGCCTCGTTTCAGTCAATGACTGTGATAGCATAGATGGGATGAGAAAAAAAAGAAAGGTTGCAGAATTGCCTCCGCTCGAGAAAAGAGCTTTGGAAACACTTCGCAAAATGTGCTCGGGATTCACATTGGAGGTAAGCAGCTGTGCTGAATGTGCGTGAAACAAAGTATTATCAAAATCTTCAGAAAACCATAGGGGTACCCATCCGATTAAACTCTCCATGCAACATTCTCTCTCTTCACAACAAATCCTGTCTAAGTCGCAGAACAGTGCTCCCCGCATGAGCTTGAAAGAAGTTTCACGACATACCTAGAAAATGTTATAGTTAAGCCTTGGTACGACGATTGAGTTTCTCAAGATAAAATATAGAAGCCTATTATATTTCTTATAACAGCATCTTCAACTATTGGAAATAATATTTGGTGTTACACCAGAGGATCTACATAAATGGTCTATTCAACTACGACGCAGACAGAAAAACTTCAATTCCATCAGAAAAAGAAAAAGGCCTCAGAATGTATGTGATTGTTTTGTTCAAAAGTTGCATTTATATAGATTTTTACCCAACATAGTTAAAGAAATGAAAAGCTTAAAATTTCATAGTTTATAGTTAAAACGTCACAAATATTCCCTCGAGGGAACGCTGTTCTACGTCAGATCCACGGCGATTATGGTGAACTAATTTTTAATGAGAAAAAGTAGAATACATATATATGTATTTTGGCAAATTGGACAGACATGAGTTTGATTTCAAATTCGAAACTCAAATTTTTATATTGATGATTTAAATTAGCTTATATCTAATCTGTTTCACTACTGCTTTTTCTGCAACCATTTTTTTCTAAAGCAGGTTTCTGAAAAGCAGTGCCGGAAAGATTTCCTTTCAATCACTGCGAAAAATCATACGGAAATTCCTGACAAACATGTTGACAGCTTAATTGTTTCAGAAGATTCTGGAATTGAATCTGAAACGCCTGCTTCCCCAATCAAATACACGTATGTCGCTAGCTATCCATTGCGTTAATTTTATACCAGGTATTAAAGTGAACAAACTTTTGAACACCTAGCTAGACAATATTTGCTTGTAGTATGTGAACTAAGATGGCGGACACCGGAACTTAGCATGTGTACCAGATTAGGGTTAGGCCATAATTTCAGGTACAAATACTACGGGAGTCACTCGGCTAGTCCCCGAACTCGTAATAGAACTAAAAAAAGGGAAATTGGAATCAAATTATGGCCTAACTCTAGTCTGGTACACATACTACGTTCCGGTGTTCGCCATCTTGGTTCACATACTACGGAGGTACTAGATAGCGCACTATATGCTAAAGGATTTAATTAATCGAGCTTGAAAATTACACGTGAGTTCGCATTTCCGATTCAACATTTTCCCACAAGCAAAAGCATGATCTATCTCTGACTAATCGTTGTTTTAATTCTAGTAATGGGAAAACCTATGCACCCCTGCACCCAGTGACATCAGCAAAACGGAGAATAATTTACGAAGAAGCAATTGAAAACCACCGTATTTCGTATGAAATGCCCCAAACCGATACGGATGAGGATCAGTTTTCCTGTGCACTGCTTTAGGGAAGACATGAGATATTCTGTTCACAATATAGGCCTATCTATATAAACTATAATGAGGCACAAATTTTCTTACTTTTCACAAAAATAATAACACCGACACTTGCTTGAAATTCGGTTAATTTTTTACAGTTTTCTTTCATTTTGGTAACAAGCACAGCCACTCCACTTGCAAAATTTTATTTTTCTAAGAATATTCCGTTAACATAAAGTAATTGCGTTTAAAATTTTCATGTCCATAATTATTTAAAATTTCCAATAATTTGGACAAGGCATTGGTTTCGTTTATTTCCACGTAGTGAATTCAAGCCTCAAATTCAAAAAAAAACTTCGCACAAGTATCCGTTCAAAGATACGATATACTGGAGCTTAAAATAAAAATGTTTTTATTTATTCAATGCCAAATGATACACACCGTCGAAGGCTTCGGCATGTCTCTCTATCAATACATTGTTAATAATTACGCAGCCACTCCAATATATGAAACGATAATGAAATACTGTTTTCAAAATAGCACATGTGCATCCTTTACAGACAATCCCACGCTACCGATTTAATTGTCGCTGGAAATTCATTATCGATCTTGTAAAATTGATTTTGTTTTCTTTCGGTTGCTGCTGCATGAGTACGTACGCGATAAGTACAAATTGCAATGTTTGTATTATTTAATTTATCAGCAAGTCGCTTTTCTATTTATTTCGCATTTCTTTTTCGGGAATGCTATATTCACTCTTCGAATAAAGGAATTTTCTTTTAATATTTGTTGCTGGAGATCATAGTATTTGCACTTTTTTACATAGACAATCGTGGGAAATTTGTTTATCCCGTTAGATAGTTAATCCCGTTAGATTAAATTTCTCAGAAGCTAACACGGTTTTATGCAAGCAGGGATTCGCCGCAAGGAGGATCTTGCAACGACTGTTCGCTTGAAGCCACGTTTCCAAGTCTGGGAGAAATTTATCCTCGAAGAGAAATTTTGTCGTTTTTGGGGGGTACTTTTACTTTGTATTTTCTGCAGTATCTAATATTCTTTATAATTTATCTTAGCACACATTATAAACTACTTAAACTTTAAACAAAAAACGGGGATGCGACTTGCGCATAACACTAGCTTCATTCATTCTGGATACCTAGGATTCATTAAAAATCTAATAAATAAAGTAGTTTTTATTTATAGTGAGACAGGAATAAAGAGTTTCTACTATGCAAAAGTAGGAATTTCATGAAAAGGTTCGGAGCACTGTCCCAAGGCTCCCATCACCATCCGAGAATGCGTGTTATTTAGTCAACCCCGTTCAGACTTCCGATTTTCAAATTCGATCATATATCAATGCCAACCCTTAAATAAAAATATTCGGTTGATCGAACAGTATGATCACAAATAAACCAAATATTTGGATAGTAGAATAACTGATATCCAAAACAACCCAACTTATAACAACATCGCCATAATACTCTATTGTACAAACAGCCTGCAAACATGTTGACCTTGAATATTTCCTATAAATAATACACGTTGAGTTATAATAAGCATTTACATTATAGTAAACACTTGTGGCAAACACTTCCAATAATTTTCAACTTCAATAAAGGGAGACAACATATATCAGTTACGCAAGACGTAATACAAAAAGTGGGAAACGAACATCTGCCGCTCAGTGACGATAGTAAAGATATATATAATTTGTCAAACGGAAAGTTATTTTGCTCAAATCGAAATGATTCGGTCCAGAGAGTGACGAGTGAGAAGTTGGTCTCAACGATAAAACGCACGGTACGATTTAGCTTACCCATATTTGGGAGATGCTACTGATATACGAGGTGTGGCTAAAAAGAAACGAGACTGACGTCACAGATTGCGCAACACGATTAACCATTGGTAATCAACACTTTTACAGTGTGGTGTAATATGTGTTCTTTGTTCAACAGCTTTTTTGACACAATATCGCAATTATTTTTGCTCTTTAGGAGCCATAGGTGAATGTGATTAATTGCTTGTTGAAAAAAAAATTGCCGTGCGAGATCTGATTGAGTTTTTTGGCGATAGGGGGTTCAATTGCAGAATGACGATTGAGCAATGAATTTACATTAAATTTTGTGTCAAACTTGGAAAAACGGCGACTGCGACTTTGAAGAAATTGTGTGATGTTTATGGAGATTCTTCCATGTCCAGAACAAGAGTTTTTGAATGGCACAAGCGATTTGTGGGATGCAGGGAGGATGTGGAGGATGATTCGAAGTCAGGAAGGCCTTGCACTTCCACAACTGATACCAACATCGAAAAGGTATCAGTTGTGAGTTCAGTTGTGAAAGGCAGTTGATTCGCAGCGACCGTCGCTCAACAATTCGCGTCATTGCGAAGTTGGAAAAGACAAAAAAAAACGGTTCGCACCAGTTTGGTTGACACTTTTGGCTTGTGAAAGGTGAGTGCCAAAATGGTGCCAAGGCTGTTGACTGAGGAGCAGAAAGCTCAACGATTAAATGTTGCCCAGTTGACATGCATTTTTCCAAGTTTGACACAAAATTTAATGTTAACTCTTTGCCCAATCGTCATTCTGCAATTGAACCCCCTATCGCCAAAAAACTCAATCAGATCTCGCACGGCAATTTTTTTTTCAACAAGCAATTAATCACATTCACCTACGACTCCTAAAGAGCAAAAATAATTGCGATATTGTGTCAAAAAAGCTGTTGAACAAAGAACACATATTACACCACACTGTAAAAGTGTTGATTACCAATGGTTAATCGTGTTGCGCAATCTGTGACGTCAGTCTCGTTTCTTTTTAGCCACACCTCGTATATGCTTAAATGAAATACGATTAGGTAAAAGAAAAACCTGTTCCTATTCCACAGTTATAAAGTAAGTGAATTTCTAGCCCTCGTTCGCCTTTATGTACACTTATACACGTTATAACTCACATCAAATGGTAAATATTTGAGCTCGATTATATAAAATAAGCACATTTTAATTCAGTTGACAGCTAGAGCAGTAACAAGTACGGAAGTACGCAGTCGTTTGCCACACCTGCACTGTTTTATTGAAATTTATCCCCGGGTGATTTCAAGTTTCAGTGGAGTTTAAGTCAAAACTTAAATATTCCACAGAATTACTACACGAATTTGAGTACAAAAAGATAATTTCTTTCATAAACTAGTTTCACTAAGAACGCGGAGTGAGTGATCGTAGCAGTACTTACTTTATATCATTTACATTGTGCATTTGAACTGCATTTCCATTCTAGCTAAATACCAACCTAGTTGTAATTATTGCAGTTGTCATTTTTGTAACCTAATTGTAACTTTTCTGCCGCCATCTCTTGATCAAAAATGTTTCTCAGAATTATATTGTTCTACTGCTGTTTAGCATTGGTGACATGCTCAGTAGAGAAAAATTTAGTAATCAATTTAGTAAGTACTATTTATTTGTGCTAATTTGACGTATTTGTAACCCACCCGTGCAGGACGCGGTAATACTGCACCTGTTTTTCTAGGAAAACGGAGAAATATGTGCTTTTGGAAGTCAGTGTTTGAGTGGATGCTGCAAAAGGAACGGAGTCGTACTTCGATGTTCAAGTCTTAGCAAGGAAGGTGCTCAATGTACAAGAGACGTGAGTACCGGAATAGTTTAATCGATGTCTAGCAACAACAAAAATGGGTAGTCAGACCTGAAGATTTTCTTGTCTCGGGTTTATATCGTTTTTTCGAACTTCACGCAAACAGCAGAAAAATTTTAAAACCCGGATTCGACTTGAAATCCGGAAGGCGAAGCTGGTAATTCTGGCCCAATTTCAAGTACTCAGCATTGAAGTTTTTAGCTCGTTCCTAGTTTTAAGAAAGTGACCTTTCAAACGTATTTTTTTGAACATCTGTTTACAAGTTGCATCTTTAATAAGATAATAGTAATGCATATATTTCTAAATATAATTGCGCTATCATTCAACAACGTACGTGACCAGTAATCAATCAGGATATATATAATCTCATTTGCTGATAGACTTCCTGCACGATTATCAACCTGCATGACCTGACTTCAATAAGAAAGTTCTTTTCTAAAGTTCCTCTTAAATCTGTACCAATTTCGAATTTATTTTATTTTTATTAGGTGGCCATTTGTAAGATTTGATGGGTAAAAAACAAATCAAGAAAGTAGCATTAACTTTCTTGAGCACGCAGCGCTCACGTGACGGAATTTATAAATCGCAGAATAATCCATAAAAAAAATTATTTTGTAGGATATGTTGGACACCGAGGTTTTTCATTGCCATTGCGAGATGGGATTACAATGCGACAGACAAACAGACGTATGCGTGGACGGGAACGCATAAAATGACATCTCTGCAAATACTTATTCATAAAATTCAAATGATGGAATTTAATATTACATCGATTTGTTAAAATTCAAAAGATGCTATCAAGATTATAATAATTTTATATAAATAAAACAAATGGAATTTGATATTGATGAAATTCTCTGTGACACCTTCAATAAATGTACTGAATACCTATTTCTTCCTCAATATTTCTTTGTGAGCAAATTAGCCGGTCAGTGATCTGTTAATTATGTATTTTTTATACAGCATTGAATTTGAAATGTTAAACATAACATGAAGAGTGAACTGTGCTCAATTACATATATAATATACACATTTCGAAAGGACTTATGTAAATTTTAGGAGTTCTTCTTATTCTAGAACGTCTTTGATGGTTTCTAAATTACAGTACAACCCAGTATTTAGAATATAAATATTTTTCATAAGGGTTTATTTGTCTGGGCATCTGATTTGATCCAATGTTTGTGCTAGATTTGGTTCCAAAGTAAATAACTTGTTCAATGTTAACTGGACAAGACTATTCTTCAAATCCATCCACTCGTTTATTGTATAACTTTTCCATTTCTAAAGCAGCGTCTTTACTTTCCATCACATATGCATGACTTCCTTTGGAATGAATATACATAGATTCTTTCAATGGAATGCCGGAAAAGAAGAAAAATCTTGCAGGCTTTTTGTCTTTGGTTTTATTTTCGAACTTGATAAAGTCTCCACCAGAGATATCACCAGTATGTCTTGCTTTGATCGTAACCCCTCCGACTACGATAGTACCTTGCATTGTGTAAATGAAAGTGGTCCATGTTCTATCGATTGGCTGAGTATGCGAAGACCCCGAATTCAACGTGATATCTAACATTACTGTTGGCTGCTGCGTTTGTACTCTTGATTTCATTCCTAGTGAGTTTCCCATTAGCACTCTCACTGTTGCGCCCTCATTTTGTAAAGTAGGTGTTTGAGCCTTCCTAGAAACTTGAAAATCACACGGAGTTCTCTTTTTATCATGTGGTAAATTTACCCATAAATTAAGGCCGTTTGCAACCCCAACGGGCATTTCTCTGTGTATTATACCACCAGCTGCGCACATATTTTGAATTCCGTCGGGTCCCAGAACGTTTTTGTTTCCAGCGTTGTCACCGTGAAAGAGTTCGCCTTGAACAACAAAAGTAACGGATTCAAATCCGGTGTGAGGATGATTCGCAAAAACGGTAGGCGCTAGAAGATTAAAATGATCAAAAAATATAAACGGATCCTTTTGCACGAACTTTTGGTCGACCAAACCAAATCTCACGAATCTTTGCACTGCGTCATAAACTTTGGTGACCGTTGCAGCAACTTGATCCATTTTTAACTATTTATTGTCAATTGATTGGCTAAACGCGTGCTGGTAAAATAATCGACGCATAACAAATTTAGTAATGTCGGAGCTTCGTAATACGATACATGAATCCTGTACAGGTCTTGCAAAAATAGGAATCTGGGGCCGAGGAATCGGTATGCCTTGACTACAAGGCTTAAACTAAATTGTCGAGCCAAAAGTTGTAACCCGAATAAAAATATGTTAAAGATGATTCAAAAGATGACCTGACCAAATCATCATTTCTAAGATTCATTACATACGGTTAGATTATTACTTGAACTATTTTACCCCATTTCCCAAAGTAACCCTCTATCTATTCTTTTTGTTCAAGACAAGTTATTTTTGCTCGTGCTTCAGTAAGCATCAACAGCTTGAAATCTCCTCTTACTCCATTGTTTTTGCACTTTTTATCCTAAACATAATCATAATTAAGCTCATTATAAGCAGACCCAGTTCTTTGTGAAAAATTATGATCAATATATATAATATCTATTATAAACGAATCATTTGAAATATCAAAGTCGTACAGTTTTTTTTGTTTTTCAGGCAAAATTGAAACAATACTATTAAATACAAGTTGAGTAATCGCACAATTGCAACGTAATTTTTTTATTGGATATTCCAAAAAAAGAAAAGGATTTCACGTCAAAGTAACTACATCATATCCAAAGCCAGTATAAACATGTAAATCTCTGTGTCTTTCACACTTCCTACACTAACTGAAACTGAACATATGAATAATCTTCATGCATCACCGTTGCGTATCAAACGGGAATGATTAGAATGATTGAATTACATGCACATGATGATTGAAGGCTGACTTGAGCTCTTTTTGTTCAATAACTGAAGTGAGTAGAAACACTGCTGACTATAATCATCAAATGTATGTTGCATGTAATATACAAATTAAGGCATGTTACTGAAAACTTACGGCACATATAAATTATGTTTTAATGATATATCATAGTCGTGACCTGATCGAACCGTGCTTCAAAATTTATGTGACAATAATGATACATATGAAATACCACGTGCCTTATTAATCATAGATCAATTGATATTATTGATCATCAATACATTATATATTTTCTTTTGGACATAGATGAAAAAATTTAGTTGAGCAAACTCATAATACATGCCGACACACTTGTGACGCAACACGGGGCATGCCGAACTTTTCTGCAGCCCAGTGCGAGAAAACGATGCGCTTATACCTCACTTCAAAAATAATATGGGAATAAACAAATTGTAGATGTTGGTATACATGATCATGAATCAATGAAAAGACGAGTAAGAGTGGGATGTTTGTATTATTAAATAAATCATCAAACTAAGCAACAATTTCACATATCTAAAATCCAACTTATAACGCGAACTCTACAGCTTGGATCTGCTGCCGCCTTCAACGTTCTGCCCGGGGCGGCTCCCCTTATGGCCATCCCCTACGTCCGTTCCCTGGTGTAACAGACTTAACAACACTTAGTCTTCAAGTTCGAAAGAACCGTTTGTGACTCAAAACTTTGTCCTTTTTCGAGAAAATTCCCATACCGCCAACAATGAAGTATGATAATGCGCACTTGCTCAATGTTGATATATATTTTCAAATCAATATTAAATGATTATTGGCGACTACCAGCAAGCTTTTTAGGAATAAGTTACCCCTATCCTTCGAAATAAAAAAATAAAACAAAAACAAGCATGTGCCAAGCAATACCATTTGTTGCTCACGTATATTAATATTGTATTATATGGACATGAAGTGGACATATGAATCGTTTTGTTATTATGTTGTTCTTGGTATGTTTCTTCTTATCGTTATGAAAAAACCGCTTTTATCTTTAACTACTGAACCAATTGCTTTGGAATTTTCAGTGGTTAAAGCTTGTATTTTTCGCTAGAACTTTTTCGTGTTCATATTGTTGATCATAACTCTCTTGTTAGTGATAATATAGCACATATTACCTCGTTTGCGATTGGTATATATATATATATATACTTATTTGGCGTTAACAGAATTCCAATATTTTCAATGCATACAGTGTTACTTGTATATCGCGCGTTTTGAGTATTTTGGAACGTCCCTGTTGTTTCTAAATTACTAACAGTACAGCCCAGTGTTTAGAACTTTAGAATATACATATTAATCATAAGGGTTTAATTTTCTGAACATCTGATTTAGTCCAATGTTTGTACTTGATTTGGTTTCCAAGTAAATACCTCGTTCAAAGTTAATTGACTTATTCTTCAAATCCATCCACTCGTTTATTGTATAACTTTTCCATTTCTAAAGCAGCGTCTTTACTTTCCATCACATATGCATGGTTACCTTTGGAATGAATATACATAGATTCTTTTAATGAAATGCCGGAAAAGAAGAAAAATCTGGCAGGCTTTTTATCTTCGGTTTTATTTTCGAACTTGATAAAGTCTCCACCAGAGATATCAGCAGTATGTCTTGTTTTGATCGTAACCGCTCCGACTACGATAGTACCTTGCATCGTGTAAATGAAAGTGGTCCATGTTCTATCGATTGGCTGAGTATGCGAAGACCCCGAATTCAACATGATATCTAACATTACTGTTGGCTGCTGCGTTTGTATTCTTGATCTCATTCCTAGTGAGTTTCCCATAAGCACTCTCACTGTTGCGCCCTCATTTTGTAAAGTAGGTATTTGAGCCTTCCTAGAAACCTGAAAATCACATGGAATTCGTTTTTTATCATGTGGTAAGTTCACCCACAAATTAAGGCCGTTTGCAACCCCAATGGGTATTTCTCTGTGTATTATACCACCACCTGCGCACATATTTTGAATTCCGCCGGGTCCCAGAACGTTTTTGTTTCCAGCGTTGTCACCGTGGAAAAGTTCGCCTTGAACAACATAAGTGACGGACTCAAATCCGCTGTGAGGATGATTCGCAAAAACGGTAGGTGCTGAAATATTAAAATGATCAAAATATATAAACGGATCCTTTTGTACAAACTTTTGGTCGACCAAACCAAATCTCACAAATCTTTGCACCGCGTCATGTATTTCGATGACCGTTGCAGAAACTTTTTCCATTTTTATCTATTATTGTCGAAGTATAGTTAGATTGGCGAATCGCATGCTGGTAAAATAATCGACACATAACAAATTTAGTAATGTCAGGGATTTGTAATACATGAAATAAATAGAGCGAAAAGTGAATCATATGACAAGATAATGACAACATGATTGTGACATAACAGACTTACTAACACTAAGTCTTCAAGTACGAAAGAACAGGTTGTGACTAAGGATGCTAAGTATGAATAATTACAAATACTCGATTCTTATCCGATTCCTAAATTTTCGATTCCGATTCTCAATTTCGAATCTCGATTCCTCGACATATCTTACCGAGAAAACATACCCACATAAGCAAAACCATATGGAATCAAACAAGACAGCGATGTTCAAATATATGGAAGAACAAGAAGGCCAAAACTAAGTAGTAATCTTTCACAGGAGACAAAATCGCACAAAAAAAAACGAATCCCTCAGAACCCACAAAGATTTTAGAAAAAAATAGAGGTAAAAGCTTCCTAGCGAAATATATATATATAGTGAAGTTTGCGGCGCCGTAGCAACTCAACATAGCAGTAAAGCAGTTTATACATATATGTGAAAGAATTCCCACAAAACGTTACACATTGTTTGCAATCCGAGTTTTAACCTCGAGAATCGATTCCTATGCATTGGAATCGATTCTAGTCGATTCCGCGAAGATTCTATTCTGTAATCGAATCCGGACTTGATTTCGCCATACCCAGTCGTGACCCGAAACTTTGGTCTTTTTCGAGAAAATTCCCATACCGCCAACAATGAAATATATTTAACAATGTGCACTTTTGATGTATTTTTTAAATCAATTTTAAATGATCATTTATAAACAGCAAGCTTTCTAAAATTAGTTACCCAATTCTATGGTATAAAAAAACGGTGTAGCATTGTAAGTAAGTAAGTAAGTATAAGTGTTTATTTCGATTTTCCAAACAATACATGGCAAAACAAACAAATGTACGGAAAATGCACGAGCCCACTTACCCCAAACAGCAAACAACACATTGAAGTAAATTAAAAAAAAAAGAGAGACACGAAAGATAATTCGGGCGTAAATACTTGAGTGTGGATGTGGAGTTTTAACATGAAGTGTGATTTTCTACTATATCTGTACAAGGAAATAATGAGAATTGTAGAATACAACAAACAAACAAGCTGTGCAATATATGTGATGGAATTAATTTAATTACAAACGCACTCGACTAATAGTCTACCGGACGATAAACAACAATAATAAAAGCACCATAAAAGAAAACAACAACAAACGAAGTAAAATATGGCAAGGTCATTTCACGCCCTGGCATTCCAACATCAGTTTTAATCAAAATTCATGTGCTTTGTGTAAGTAGTCTTTTTTATGGAATCCATCATCAAATATCCGTTATATTTGACGTTTGACTGTTCATGTTAACCCTAGCTTCGATCAGTTTCCCATGATAAACTCCACGCAGGCCAGTATGATCTGATGTGAACTGATCCTTATCCCATCGGTACTGTATCCAACAGCATCGTTTTGATTTAGGTTTGTAAGTATCTTTTCAGTAGGGTTTATATTCGTCCGGCTTTTCAGGTTTTCATTCAACTATTTCTTACTCCAGTATTCCACCGTCGATATTTCACGTTCGCACCCGACGGCGGTCTGATCAGATTGTATTAATAATAATATCGCATTTGCGAAATGCTGATAGCAGAGTTGCTATATTTGGCGTTAACCGAATTCCAAAAGTTACGCATTTTCAATGCAGATAATATTACTTTTATAACCCGACGAAAAATAACCCGCGATGTAAACGTAATTGATGGCAATGGTTTAGGCACTAGTCCAACATTTGGTAAGTTATTATAAAATGCAATGAAAATTTTACAGCTTCGTCTTTTTTTTTATTATCTTACTTATCTCACATTTCCACAAAATCTTTCTTGTCTCCATCTCTTGAAATATCTATGGCCTGACTGTGTTGATTCACAGCAAAAAGTAGAGCGCTCATGCAAATTCGTATTTAAAATTGCCACATTCATTTTTGTATTCACGAATCGTGATAGACACAGAATATAATGTTGCCTCCTATGACTCGATTACTCAACTGAAACTTTGAAAAACCATGCTGCATACACTCAGAAGTATATTGATGCCTCTCATCTCTTGTTTTGTATATGCATCGAATGAGCAATCGCGTGAAACGAGGTATTCAATTCCCAGTCTCGCAAGAGCAAATGCACGATCAAAACGGAAGAGCCTAATATCACCTACTTGCCTTTCAGGTCATTTTCAGACTACCAAAAGCACAAAATCCATAATGTTACAATACCAGATTGGATAAATGATTTCGATTGCATGTGACGCGTGAGGCTTCGCATGAGTATTTGGGAATGATGAATGAAACTATCATGAAAGAGGACGGAAAATTAGTTACCGCCATATTGGTTTCTGGAGCGCCAATTTAACAATGTATTCTTAACAATGTATTCTTCTGTAAATCGGAATTTTTAATAGATGTGAGTGATTTGCACTTTTTAAAATCGCTCTTGTAGTAAAATGAGTTGAAACTTTTGTTGTTATTTCCGATATAGAATTGTGATGTTGCACTGCTTCCCGATGATTGCCGACCACTGTTTCAAACTACGTACAACGCTTAAAATATATTTTAACTAGATTTTGTTGTGATTTTGAAAGATTATGCAATTGGAATTTGACGAATTACGACAGTGTGCCTAAATTTCGATATCCTCCGACCGAGACAATAGAAGAATATTATTAAAAATTTTTGATCTGAACAAATCTGAAATCAGTTGATAACAAAAATCTCTGATTATATAGATAGAAATGTGTGATGAGAAAATAGGATTTTTATGCCACCCTTATGCGCGCAGGGAGCGGTATGCATGTAACAAGGCCGTCAAATATTGGTAACCGCCGATTTTCTGTATTTTTTAAAACATAAATATACAAATTGGCAAAGACAACACATTTCATTTATATAGCGTTAACGAATAAGTTCCATTTGTATTGTTTACGATGATAAAATAATATTATCTCATCAACGCCTCTCACCCAGGCCTTAAATTTATTTGACACAAAGAAAGCAAATCAACGAAAGCTAACTACGATTACTCGTTCGTTCTATCGTCTATTTCGATCCACATGGCGGGGTCTTTGTAACCATTTCCTGTGATTGTTAGGCCAAATCCAGAATCAACGTGTAATGGAGCGTTTATATATAGTCAAAGCATGATTTTTGATGAAACTACACGCTGACGATTTTTAACCTCGAAACGAAAGCACTTCAATAATCACAATATAATGGAAACCAAAGTGACTATAGTGACTTTGATGGAAACAAGTGGGACACGTGGTGTGACAGGTGGGACAAATGGGGCACGACATTTTTGCGAAACCCCCCAACTGTCGTAATATATACGAAATGGGAAACGATTCCGATTGCATGTGACGCGTGAGTATTTGGAAAGGATGAATGAAAATAGCATGAAAGAAAAAATCCATTGGTCAATAAACGAAATTGGTACTCTGATTACAAAACGAAGTTTTTCAAGTCATTTATTTAGCGAACTTTAATGCGATGGATGTGTTTTAGAGCAGTGGTTTCCAACCGCCGGTCCGCGAAGCTTTTTTGCCGGTCCGCGAGAAATTTTGTTGTTTTGTTGTTTTTATACCGTATTAATCGCTTTACCCAAGACAAGGTTGCGTTGGTTCATTACGCAATTCCCTTTCCGCCTTCATATTGCGACAGCTTGGCGCCGTCTTTCGCGACATCTTGGCGCCGAGCAATCTCACTTTCCGCTTTTACGGCTCCAATTCATGTCGCGCTCCGACAAATCTCGCAAGATTCAGAAACCTAAAAATCGGTACGCGTGCTTTTTCTGTTCCGCGTGCTTTTCCGGATTTTAAAAAAAGAATTACTTGACATAATTTTAGATATTTTTTGGCAACGAATACCCATCGCTAAGTAATCAAACTGTTGTGCATATTTTCAACCCGTTACTGCTTTATGCGAAAGAACATTTTCATCACTAGATTCAATTAAAACGAAACAAAAAAAATCGACTGCACGTGGCTGCAGAGCTACGTGTTGTAGAAACTTCTTTGGGGCCTCGTTTGCAATCTTGTATTGAAAACGTTACAGCAGCAAAATTCCCACTAGAGTTAATTGTGTTTGTACATGATTTGACATGTACATGTTTTATTTTATGTTCCACCCATTTCGATTTTTGGTCAGCACGTTATTTGATAGTTTTTCTCCGTGTGAGTTTTTAAGTGTGCTTTTTTTGTCTAGAAGCATATTGAGTGCACGTAGGGTGGGGAAGAATGGACATGTGGGGTAAATCAGACACCTTTTTCTATTTGATCTTACTGCGACATGAGAGCTTCGGTCGAGGTTTTACTACTCGTACAATGCCTAAAAAATTGGTCATAGCACATTTAATTTTTAACTTGCAAAAAGGCTAGTATGAGAAATATTTGGCCATATCCAATCATTAGGAACTGATACACTATAGTATTCACCCGTATTACTATTTCTGCACAGGTACGTTTCGACAACCTACTCGACGATGTTTCCAGTAAGGAAGCTTTACAGAATTTAGTTCTAACGCATATTTCATGTCGTAGTCGAGAAAACTCATGATCCCTTTGATTATCTGTCTCAATGTGATTGATAACATGCAAATGTATGGTATGGCAGTCGTTGAGCATGGACGACGCGGCCGAATTGCGCCACCTTCTGATTACCAACGGAAGAGGTTCTTACGTCACAATAATTATTATGAGATCATATAACAATAACTATTTATCACAATGGCGCTTTGAAAAATGTGATGGTGCCATAGAAACTCTTTCGGATTAGAATTTCGGGTTGCAGTTGGTTTGTTTTATTGCAGCGTTTTTTTCGAAGTTTAAGGCGTGTAAAGTAATTTACATTTAAAATAACCGCGAAAGCAAGGAAACTCACTCCTAACAATTATGAATTCCTGTATTAGAAATGTAAGTATTCTATGCGCTTTTCATTATTTTAGAAACCAACAGTCTGGGTCAAACGAGTTTTGGACGGTCATTGGCATTACTAAAGTAGTTTCTTCGAATCTTTGCATGTTTGGGAAATATATTCGCAGAAAATCATTTTGAGGGATATCAAGTCTGTAATTAATGGTTGTTATTTTACTTCAACACAAGTGCCCACCAGTGTATCCTAACTAAATTTATTGCCTGACCAAATGTTTGGTTCAAATAAATTTTATACCGGTACTGTTGTATCATGCTTATGTGCGACACTGCGGGTCACAATATTTGAAAGTAATTTGTTACTTTTGCGTAGAGACTGCAAGAAATGGGATGCGTAGCCTGTGCATAAGAATGATTAACTTATTATACACTTTGAAAATCAGATTCAGGTCAAAATTTAACTTAGTAACCGGCTAACCGCAAAAATCTTTGAGTTATAATTTATTTATGTCCTTCAACGTCTTGGATAACCCTACACGTTGAGATTGTTTGGACTGTTTTCTAGCATTACTGGGCTAACAATTTGTTAACAGATTCGAATACCTATTTCAGGCGCTTTTCTTCTTATTGCTGGTGTGTGGTACATTATCAAACCCAATAACAACTCCAGAACCAGATGATGACGGGACAACAACAACTGATAGCAGCGTTACTAGTCCAGAACCTGTCGTGAAAGAGGAGGTCGATGTAGGAGACAACACAGCCACAGAGCCAGCCGAGGTAGAAATTCAAGCGGAAGAAGGTGGCGAAGAAACTGTCGTAACTGAAGAACCAACTACTACAGCGGGTAAGAAATGGGCGTAATGTATCAGACTTACCTAATCAGTAACCTAGAGTTGATTATTATAATATCAAATATTGCTATAACGAATTCCGCTTTAGGGCAACCATATGTGACGTGTACCGGCAGTTAATGGGACTGAATTTTTTTCCTCTTCTAGATTTCGCAATCCAATCTCTTAATTGAAATACCAGGTTAGGGTTATACCATAATGTTATTCCAACTTTCCTTATTTTAGTTCTATTACGAGTTACGAGACTAGCCAAGTGACTCCCGTAGTATTTGTACCTGAAATTAGGGCCTAGCCCTAACCTGGTACACATACTACGTTCCGGTGTCCGCCATCTTGGTTCGCATACTACAGGAGTACCAGTCATATATTATTCTTATGTTAAGGATGTTAATTTTAAACATGAATTTTACTATTTGCAGGTGCGGAATCTGTCAAAGCAAAATTTGCAGCAATTGTATTGGCTTCAATGTTGCCTCTCTTGTTGTAATTTCACATTCAAAAACACGTTCATTTTTTCGTTGTCAATTTTAGGTGATTAACTTGTGAACTTATGAAGAACTTTTGTTACTGAATTGTTCACTTTGAAATAATAAAAAAATAAAACCAAATAAAAAACGACTAAACTCTTTGTATCTATTTTGAATGAAGCTCTATATCAGTGTTTCCCAACCTTTATTCCAGCGACCAAAATTTTTTAAATAATAATTTTGTAAAATCTAACGACTCAAGTATACCGTGTTTTCCCGAAAATAAGACCTAGCCTGAATTTTAGAAATGATTTTAATGTAAGCCCTTCCCTTAAAATAAGACCTAGTCAAAAACGCGAATTTTTTTTTGACCTCGTCGATACCAAGTATAAGGGCTATTGACCCTTTCTTCATGTCCACACTCCCGTGTTATTGAACACACGTTAACAGAGTGTAACTCCAATCTGACCATTGTTGAATGCCGATGTTGTTATATTGTAAAGATACACAATTGGATTGATCCAAATAACAGATAACGAAATTCACTTAAAATCTTAACGCAAGTATATGTGATGAAACCAAATTTCTGACTAACAAAGAACGGCAAAGACAAGCAACACTGAGCGAGATAAAATATATCATAAAGGAAATGAATTAGAGCAACGGCCTTGTTTCAGGCGAATAACATGCACTAATAACAATACGGTGAAAATATTGAAACATACAGTAACTTTCCTTATGTACTCGCTACACAAGAAATCTCTCCTACACGTTTTAAATGATTGAAACCCTATGTTTGACAGTTATTTGGAATTAAAACGTGTTATTTATAAGTAAATGGATGTCGGTTTTCATATTTTGTATATCTCTTATTTCTCTACTCTGTAATTTTGTTTTTGATAAATGAAAATATAAGACATCCCCCGAAAATAAGCGCTAGTGTTATTTTTCGGAAGAAAATTGAAATAAGACCCAGTCTTATTTTCGGGGAAACACGGTATTCTCAAATGCTAAACGACATGTAGCTCTTTTATGGCCGCAAAATTGAATTATTAATGCATAACTATCTATATCCAATTGAGCAATACTGCGATGCAAAATGAAGTAAATTAAATGAATAAATTTACTAGGAAATGAGATAAACAAATAAAATTTTGTTAAAAAACAAGTGAACCAAGAGGATATTTATGCGCCATAGGTTGGGATGCACTGCACTACATTACTTTTTGTTCGAAGATGGCAACAGCCTAATTTTTTTTATTATTGCACGTTATTCTGATGGCGGACGGTAACAACACGGTAATAGCATAAATTTTGTCACCCAAGATATCACTTTTTCGACCCCTGCACTAGAAAATGCAGTATCAAAGTGGTCATATAATGAAAGGATTTGAGAAACTAATCACCGGCTTCGATGAGTACTACTGCATTTTTATCATGCAAACTCCAATTGGGCCTTTGGAATGAAACGATAAAATTTGTCATTAAAACGGCAGCCTTTAGTCTTGGTCAGGGATATAACTCCACACAGATACAGGGATATTTCGGTTTGGGTTCATCAGGGAATAATTCAAATTCGTAATAAGAAAAGTCAATAACGCAAGCTACTTTTTTGTGTTACTATCGATGACGAAGGCATTGCGCAGCTGGGTATGCTACTTCTTACGCCCGCTATTCGTTAAGTTGCCAATTAGAGTTAAGTTAGAGCAAGTATGCCTTCCTGTTGGCCGTTTATTGTATCCGTATCAATACTTAACTCTCTCTGCACCTGTCTCGAATATTAATCAATAAAGAAGAATTATAAAATATAGAGTGCCGATCGCGATGATTATTAAGTTACTATGAGGAAATTTTACTCGCTAAACATACAATTTTGTATAGGCGCCAGGCAAATATATTAGGTTGTCGATAACAGCAGCCAGCGACGGAAGGGTATCGTGCTCATTCAGCTGCGAAGAATAAAAATCCTGTTATATATTCCGAGCTCAAAATTCGCAAAAATACTTCAACTGTAAGCGTCTTACTTTGTTGTTAGAAGTTTAGCGGTCAACTCCGAGAGAGGGATTGAGCGAATGAGGTTACAGTTGCCTGAGAATTTATGGACACGACAGAAGATATAATATATATATATATATACTAAATGCAGTAATCTAATGAGTCCCAAGTTGTCGTTGATTAAGACATATATACTATACAAATTAGGTATTATTGTACAATTTGATGTATTGCTAGGTTCCAGATATAATAAACTAGAGTAGCCTAATAGGCAGTACAGTATTGGCAATCTCGCTTGGGGTGACAATAATTCTACCTGAAACCTTTATTAGTCCCGATAATCAAGTATTCGGATGACTAGGTAGGAAGTAGGTTAAATCAGAGACGATAACGACGATATCCATATAACTCCACATAAAATAGGTCACTATTACAAACATCGTTGCATATTTAACCTGGCATGAATACGTGCTCGTTCTTTTAAAGTACTACCAACGGTGTCAGTTCAAATATAAATTGGTTTTACTTTATGGTCACCACGCCTCCAATTGTTTGGCCAATCACATGGTTGACGTCAAATTTGTTGGGTGAAATCGCGTATTCGTATGTAAAATACCGTTCAGTTCCGCTTGGGCAACTCAAACATCTGACGGTTAAGTCCTTTTTCTCACTATGTAAATATAAATATTATCAAGTTTTCCATTATCATATATTATATATTTTCGAATATTTCAACGCGATTCGAATCGGACTTGGGACCGGTACACGCACATCGAAATAAAAACCACAGTACAAAAATGGCGGCAAAAGGATCATCGTCAGTTTTTAATCTGAAAAACAGTGTACATCTTGGCGGTAACGATCATCTTTATCATATTGGATTACTACAAACTGATGATTTAGAAACAAGATTTCACGACATCAAGGTATTGCTTATTTTCTACTAAAATATCCATTTAACAACTTAAGCGGATCACAAAAGCGGTTTTATTTTAGCTTTACACTTGCAGTGTACAGGGTATATAATGACCTATTGTCTGATAGTCATGCCTTACCATCTCGTGCAGATTTAATTTCGATCCTAGGTGTGAATTGAGTAAGCAACGTTTTTTCTAATTAAGTTGCTTATTCCAGTTCGACTCTACTCCAAGTGTAGTTTTTTTTTCGCGCATTAGAAATGAGACTTCTGATCCGATTTCTATTTTCATACATTTTCAGTATGTATGCATGGGTGGAAAAGCAGATAGAATGAAAGAATTTGCTGAATACATGTACGTTAAGCTCGGAAAACCGGAAAATTGCGAATTTGAGACTGTGAATGGGACGAAAGGTAATTTCTGAGAATATTTTTATCCTTTATCGTAAATTTATATATTTCTTTTTGCAATTTTCACCCTTACAAGTTACATTTTCGCGAAAGTTACCTACTTTCATATGTATATATACGTAATAAAACTTTTAATTCGTTGAAATGACCGCCAGTTCTAAATAGTATAATATTATACCCAGCAATTGTTTAGCGTTGTTTATCTATTCCCGACCAATGACTATGTTCTGATTCTTTTTAACAGTTTTGAGGGACGTTGGAAAATCTGCTGGCCGATACAGTTTCTTTAAAGTTGGACCTGTGGTATCTGTTAGTCATGGAATTGGAACGGCGTCACTTTCTGTCGTTCTTCACGAGGTAGAAATACTTAAGATAGTTTTATGATCTAGGCTATGCCGCTATAGAATAGATTGACGTAATCTGAGTTTATTATTCTTCAAATTTTATATAGCATTGCCGATCTCCGTGGTAATATTTTGAGTTGAATTATTGATTTAGCTAGCAATAGAACAATATTGCAATAACGCTAACTCTCATAAATCTAAGGAATTTGTTCCGAGTCACTTTGAACAAATTATTGCTCTAAAATTTGTTGATTGATGAGTAAAGAGGTAGCTCAGTTTATGGTTATCTTGGTTACAAAACGACTAATTTTATCAAAGATGATTACTATACTAATTTGGTCATGCGCGGGACTATTTGCAACCATTATTTTTTGTTATGTTATACAATACTTTTTAATATTATAGGTATTAAAACTATTGTACTATGCAAAATGTAAAAATGATGTTGAATTCTTCCGCGTTGGAACATCGGGCGGCTTGGGTGAGTTAAAATTAAAAATTATCCATTTCACTTTCAAAATACTTTTCGATATAAATATTCGTCATTTTCATTACAGGTCTTGAACCAGGTACAATAGTTATTACAAAGCAATCGTATGACAGCCAACTTTTTCCGTTGTTCTCACAGGTAACGAATGTTATTTTGAAGTGCTTAGATTGTCCCGTGTAGCCGGTCAATCCCGGTCACGTGTATCATTTCGTCATTAAATTAAAACAGATATGATAAGAGTCATCAGTAATCGTAGCCATAAAGTATGCTTTATACAAGTCATAATCATGCAAAAGTTACGGCAAATCAAAAACCGAGTCCAGAAATCTAACCTGAACACGTAGTTTTGTATTTTTTCAAGGGTTCATATCCCATGTCCTCCAGAGTGTAATAAATGGGGTAGGCAATGCCCAACCTGGAAAAATTCCGGTGCTCTCAAACTATAGTACCCCCTTACCCACAGGGGCTGCTTGTGTGAAGCCTTGCTGGAAGTGAAATGCGTATAATTACGTTGTACAAAAATCTCTATCTCGAAACACCCTAGTAAATACTCACATTTCAGTGAAAAATCCTGGTCGGCAAATTGTTTAGTTTTGAACAGCCTTTCACTCTCACGACTTGTGAATATTTTATATTCAGGTTCATTGCGGTGAAGTGGTCAAACTAGAGTGTCGTACGGATGAAAAACTCAGAAATGCTTTGCAAGATGCAGCTAACAGAGCTAAAGTTCCCGTTTTAATAGGAAATACGATGTCTACGGATGACTTTTTTGAAGGTTTGTTGTAAAACATACTATTTGAATAGAATAAAATAGATCAACAGAAAATTTTTGCATGGTTTACTACGCAGCGTACATTTCTTTAGCGAAGAAACATCCTCAAAGGAGCCACTGCTTAAGTGTTTTTTATTTCACCAAAAGACGTATTCATAGAAGTGTAGTTCTCCTTTCCTAAACAAATGTTAGGTTCTGATTGTAAAATCCGAATTGTGTTACAATTAAGTTTTATAGGATCGCGTGTTTCTCATAAAATAACAATCCCAACACCCACCCTTTGCAGTCAGAGTATAGGCTACTTTACTGGCGTGCAAAGGCTAATAATATTACAATGGGATTTCAGGTCAAGCGCGAACTGATGGTGCATTCTGCGACTACTCCGAAGAAGATAAAATTAATTTCCTCCGAAAAGCTCATGATGAACACGGAATAAAAAATATTGAAATGGAAAGTCTATGTTTTACAGCAATGTGCACAAGAGCAAATGTGAAATGTAAGCTGAAACGTATTGCTGAGAATATTGACGCTAAAACTAGTAATAAAGAACTAGATCCTGAAGTCGTATTTGTGCCTAGTGAGGCGGCACATGAAAAATCTAATAATACAGTTTGAAAAATGACTGCCGCATTGTTGCTGAGGTAGCTGTTGAATGTAATTTACTCACAGTTTTAAAAAAATAGTTATTGATGCGCGACTAAGTCGGTCAGTAAATTCCGGTGAATACTGCGATCTGCGTTGGATTGCTTTTACGGTGTCAGCATATACTGAAGATGCAGTAATGATAATGACTTTTTTTTTCATACAGGCGCAGTTGCATGTGTCACCGTTGTCAATCGCCTTGAACATGATGACGTTACAGCAGATGGAAGTCTTCTTCAAACTTGGCAGGAAAATTTGTATAAAATGATGGCGGAGTATATAGAGTGGCATGAAAAAATCTCAACCAAGTAGAACTTTTATTGACCTGCGCATTTTGCGAACATTCCAAAGATACGCCGAATGAAAAAAAGGTGTATAACCGAGATGTTACTTGTAGTTGATTTATATTCTTAACAAACAAGACAGTAGAAAGTATAAGAGTGGAAAGACTGGCCCTGTTGCGCATTAGTATCATCCATTCTGCAGTATTGGAGGCTTTTCGCGGTCCACATCTACTCCATTTTGAGAACATTTTAGGCATACATTTGTAAATCAGGCGCATGCTTGGGACCCGCCGTTTTTATGTGCTAACAAAAGCACTTTTTCCAGTATTTCATCGCGACCTTAATACATCAAAGACAAGTGTGTAGGCAGCAAATTGCCTGAAACCCTACTAAACAATTTCGTCACGAATCAAAACCAACCTACTAGGATTAGATTACCTAAGCAAAGAGTAATTGTGCGATCTTTGCGGTCTGCGTCCTCGGGCTATTCATACGGCAATCTGTACGAAGAGTCCGAAATTAGTTACAATTGCCACTCCTGTTAAAGATTTATCATAGACGGTATCTTACCTATACTGCTGTCAAACCATTATATATACTCCTGACAGACAATACATTTCAATGAATTATTTATTTCATGAACTAAGAATGATGAAACAATACAGTATTGCACTAATAAATATGAATGATATACAATTAAACTTGGGTTGTGTCATTGAAATATTGTGGTGAAACAGAACATTTATTAACATCCAAATTGGTACCACAGGGTACAAATATATTTCAAATTTCAGAGAGAAAAACATTGCATGGAATAATATATAGGCATGCAACCGGTTTTGAATATACAAATATATACTTTATTTTGACGAACAACAGGACAACAAATAATTAAAAATATTTGAAAACTAGAGATCATGAAAACTATATCCTAAAAACTCAAGTGGATCTTGTCTTGCAAAATTACCACATTGGAGACAATATTCAAGTGGTATAGCAGTTTTTAAACAAATTTGATATTTCAAAAGGTACTTTGTATGTCGGGTGTGGGGAAAGCCAGTTTAGGTAAATTTAACATAATGCAAAAAAGGCCAGACACTGGGTAAGGTCAAGGCGCACTTAATTTGTTAATGAAAAAGCCACAAACCCTACAGTGAGTTGAGTGCAGCACACCAATTGCCCCACTGGCATTTGATCCTATTCTCAGATATAGATAGGTTTGTTGATTATATTTAAGATTTAGGAACGTGCTTGCAACTCAGTTTTGAACTCCACAGAAGTAAATTATGTGTGAAAAGATGGAACTCCTTGTCATCACAGGATGGTACATTTTCCTCCAACAAATACCGTGTTTCTCCAAAAATAAGACTGGGTCTTATTTCAATTTTCTTCGGAAAAATAACTCTAGGGGTGTCTTATATTCTCATTTATCAAAAACCAAATTACAAAATAGAGAACTACGAAATTTTCAAACATACAAAATATGAAAACCGATATCCATTTACTTATGAATAACACGTTTTTTATTCGAAATAACAGCACAACACAGATTATCAACCATTTAAAACGTGTATGAGAGATTTCTTGTTATCGACTAGGTCAAAAAATACTTCGTGTTATTAAATAGGTCTTATTTTAAGGGGAGGGCTTATGTTGAAATCATTTTTAAAATTCAGGCTAGGTCTTATTTTCGGGGAAACACTGTACATACATCCGCAATAACTAACCGGTTAACTATCCTCACAACCAACACGGACTGTTAATGAGAAAAGAAAATATCATTGGGTGGGTCGCTAGGTTGTCAACCTAAGGTAGCATGTTTTGATTCCTACTATAAGATGATAAAAAGTTGAGATTTTTCCTAGTTGATCTTGGGGTATTCAAATGTTGTTTGCATTCCGGACAGAATAACTCGGTGTTGAAGCATGAATAACTTCTTCAATAAAACTGCAAAAAAATATAATAGGTATATTACATTCTAACAAGATTCCAACTGTAATTTCACAACACAATTATGCTTATTTCGTAACAAATTACCTTGATGTATTGTGTATAGCAGTTCCACCCAGAACGACTCTGATTCCAACATTAGCAGAATTTAGTGTGTGAACACACATTGATTCTTCATATGTGCACCCACCAACAATAAATACAATTATATCTTGTGCTCTAAAATGTAAAAAAGCTTAATTTATTATAGATTATATACTTATACAAGGATTCGGGACCCTTCCCGGGCCTAAACAAGCGTAGAAAATTTTGAATTCGGGCTTGAAATGTAAGAAATTCCGAAATGGAAAGAGCATAAAGTGGACTAAAAATGATCAACAGATAATTATTGTAGGCAACGTTTTTGTGGGCAAAATTTAGTGTTCTTAGGGTTGGGAACTGGACACTGGAGTCAAGCTGTTTTACCCATGGGTTTTGGAAATTTGGTGTAAATTTCCCTGAACTTTGTAGTCAGTTAGGTTAAACCATTCAACCCAAAGTGGAAAAAATTCTGTAAGTCATACCAGATTGAAAAGACTCAGACCAAAATGTGTTTTATGTGCCATTTAGTCAATCACAGGTTACAATTCATTTGTATCGAAAGATCTCATTTCCAATAGAATATGAACAGTGACTTTGATTGAAACGCATGCTCAATTATTTAACCTATCTATACCTTTCTTGCATGGTAGTAGATCCAAGATAAGGATATTCTGATTCTTTCAATCTATTTCTTGCCAGTTGTTCAATTATATCTTTCAACAGTGGAGTGTGTTGTGTATACACATTTTCAACTCCCTGTAAATAAGAAACAAATTTAAATCTTGATACAGTGTTGTGGCATGGGCATAACGGTTTAGTGCAACATTCCATTTTTTTTTATTTGTATTCGCTATAGTATTACTAAAAAAATTTGTTTTATTATTACATACAAAACCACTTAAACTGTAAAAAAGGGAGTGTGACTTACGCATAACACTAGAAAGTGATTCATTAAAAATTTAACAAGTAGTTTAATGCATATGGAGGGAGGAATAAAGAGTTCCTATATAGGAAAACAGAGGTATTTAACAAAAAAGGTTGGAAATCACTAATTAAGTGCTTAAATCGTTACAATTAGCTATGTTGGCATTGCAGGCTCAAATCCAATGCCAACCACCTAACCCAGGGTGCAATAAATTGGGTGGACAACATCGGACAAGAGAGATTTCAGCCCCTGTAAAACAAAATAGCCCCCTAAATAGCAGTGGTGGATCATAGTAAAGAGCCCTGTTTGGAGGAAAAAGCGTGTTATAAAGAAAACAAGAGAGCAATGATCAAATATATGGAAAGTCCAAAACGGAAATAGACGGACACAAAATCTTGAACAGCACTGGAACTGACACCTCCAGACTTGACTGACCATCAGAATGCAACAATTGCAAACGCAGAACTGCTTAAAGGAGCGCAATTTTTAATTTTAATATCGTCATCACTCATCACACAAAAATGTCACAAACTGTGAAAAAACGAATCCCCACAAAGTGAACCGTTGTTATTACGTTGTTATCATTAGTATCTTTCTGCTTGTTATGAAAAATCGCTTTTCCTCTCAACTCCTGGATCAAGTGCTTTGAAATTTTCAGTAGTTAAAGATTGTTTTTGTCGCTAGAAGGCTATTTCTTCATATATTCCTAAACTAATTTTCTATGAATTTTATAACATCCTATATTTCATCCAAATTTTGCTGTTTTATTCATGCAAACACCATTTTTATTTCGCCAAGAGTGGAGTTTTGATTTTGCAAACTCACTGATACTGCTCAGACACATTTTTGTATGAGAAGAGTAGGCTGCGTCACATCAATTAGGTATTGGACCTCCACGTCCAAATATTTGAGCTTTGCTCTTTTGTTTATATGACATCAGCTTCGAATTTCTTATGAGAATACCCATGTTTCGGCATAAACATAAGCACGGGAACCCCGTAGCAGATCAGTTTAAAAATATAAAAACATTTTTGTCACAGCAATACATACTTGCAATCCTTTGAAAAATTTCTTGGTAAATGAAATTGCGTCTTTAGATCCGAATATATCACTTGATCTTGACGACGAACCTCCATATTTTAACAGAGCATTTATCACCTGATGAAAACCAATTTTGAAAAATTAACTAAATTTTTTTCTCGCTGCCCAAATCATTCATTACCTAATGAAAAAGTCTTCAAGTTATGCCATACACATATTGGGGTAGTGATGGGAGTCATGGGACAAAGTTAAAAAGTTGAGGCTCTTATAGTAAATCACTAGTAAAATTTCATAATCACTCAAATCATAGAACATTTTCCTAACTCTCGAGTTAACTCGTTAGAGTTAAGGTCTAGTCTCTTAGAAAATTGGGCATGAGAACAATTCTGGTCAACCTAATTTGCGCCTCTCAACCTGACAACCAGGCTATCATCCCGAGTACTCATTTTAAAAAGAGATTTCGCAAATCACAATAGCACAGAAATCGAATATTTTTTATTACTATCCTGTATCATAATACAGGTTGCACAAACATAATTTGAACATTATTAAAACTAATGATATAGAATTAAAATACAAACTAGGACTAAACTTTTCACAACCTTGCTATTCTTTTGATCATAATGTGAAGATGACAGTTGATCTATCAATGATGTAGTTGCATTATTTGCATGAGTTTCATATCGTAACGAATATAAAGCAACTAATCGTAAAGCATCAAGATCAGACGTCTTTGAATCACGAATTAATTTTCGAACAATCTGAAAAGTGAAAAATTGATGAAAAATACTAACAAAATATAACTTTTTTGTCATATATACTACCACTATGCAGAATCTTGAATTTAATCAATCAGAGACACAAAAAAGTAGGGATATAAGCACATTGCAGATTAGGATGATTTGAATTAAAACCTGTATGCATCACGAGAATAGATAGTTTACAACCCAATGCATAAAACTCTGTAATTCAAAATTGTAAAATATGAAATAACGAATACCTGAAGTGCGGATGAGTGTTCGCTTCTTGATACTAAATCTTGTTCACATTCTGATATTTCAAGTAAATTTCTTACAGCAACAGTTCTTGATAGTTCACCAACTACAGTCACATGCTTTGCAACAGTACCAGACATCTTCTTGAATTGTGGATAGTTCTCTACAAATGCCTGAAATGAAAAAGCAGCTTTACCAATAATGGTCAAAATAAAAAGCCAAATGCGCTACAGAAATATATTTCATATAAAATAGTCAGATACCAAGTGATGGGACTAAGCATGTCATACTCAAGATTCTTACATCTGAATGATTTCTTCCGATGACCATTGGTAGACTTTATGAAATATATGAATGAATGATTATGGATTTTAGCAAAAAAAACCATCTTATTAGCTGTGCAAGATAGCAAGATACATCAAGATACATGCAAAATGAAAATATATTGTAATCTACACACTTTCATATCATCAATGGATTCAACTTTCTGATGTCCTTTCGATTTTTCTTGAAAAGCTTCCATTAATTCTTTTATACTGGTACCAATCTCTCCAAAATTTTTATACATGTTCTAAAAATGAATAGAGTTAGGAATTATTCGAATAATTGGAACAGAGTAACGTCGCAATTTTGACAAAGACTAGTGTAAGATTAAAATTTATTTGATACCATTAATTACTGATACCAAGCTCAACCTCGCCCAACAGAACTATACTATACTATCAAGCAGGATTGTTAATATGAATCCTAGAGATTTAAGTCAATTTACCGTATTTTTTTTCCGGACCATAAGGCGCACTGTCGATAAATCGCTCAAATTGGCTTTATATTTTTACATAAGTGGTATCAGCGTATAAGACCCAACAGATATGAAGCAATCCTGGTACTTGAGTGTAGGCAATGAAGAATAAAGCACATCTGATCCATGCATTAGGATCACACGCTTAGTTATGGGGCGCGCGATCGTTTTTTAGGAAAAAGGGATTTAAAGTGCACCTTATGATCCATAAAATACGGTAATCAAAATATGGCAAACCACTGCCTCCCGTCCACTTAATAGTCAGGATGGGAATTTCAACCAGTAAATTGGACTCCGGTGGTGTAGGAAGTCATGGCAAATGAGTGTCGAAGTGAACCATTCAAGTACTAGAATTAAGATATGTGAACCCACACAGAGAAATGTAATGTGATTGCAATTTTGTTCTTCTTAATCTTAATAACACCAATTTGCCAATCGTAGAATAAAATTGAACTGTATCACCTGCTATTCGTGAATTAAAATGAATCTAAGTTGACCCAATTCGAAACCCAAATCGGATTTTGAAATCAAAGGTTCAGAAATTTTGTGAAGCAATCTCACAATTCAAACCATATGGATACTACAAATTTAGAACTTGGCTAAAATTTTGAAAACAAAGAAGAGAAACAATACCTCTGCATAGAATTGATCGTGTAGACTCGATAAAACAACTTCTTGCAAATCTTTACTAATACCGGGTACAGATGACAAGTCAACTCTATCATTATTAATCCCAAGTAGTTCATGAACCATTGCTTGATATGTCCACTGTACAAAGAAAGGCAAAATTAAATATATTGAAAATCTGCAGGAAATGGTGCAATTTAAAATATATCAAGATGAACTTGAGAATCAAATAGAAAAGTAGAATACAACCATTTATCTTATAGATAATTTGGAATTGGATTAAAAAAATAGTGATGCGAAAACTTAAATGAAGAACAATCTTCTTTCCCATCAACTTGATAAAAGAAAATATTCACAAAAAATGACATAAGCACAAACTGTAAGATCTAAATATAGTAAAAAATTCGGAAAATTCCAATTTACTTTTATTTCATTTATAGTAAATATGTAATTCAAAAAAAAGTTAGAAAATTTTTAGTCAAAAAATAATCATTTCGAGCAATTGATGCATTTTCTGCAAATTTAATAGTTTTTGGCCATCACTGGATATAATCACAAACTATTCTACCTGATTTAGTAATGGAGTAACAGGATCGTTTCTTCTATCTATTATTAATAATATAGGTGTTGAATCAGTTCTTCTGAAATCGAATAAGGATGCTTCTTTGGTGATTAAAAGCTGCAATTTAGAAGGAACAAGATTAAAATAAGGGAGAAGTCAACGTTTCTCAACAGGGGAGTAATTCCTTCCCATGGAAGAATTTTGGCGGTTTGGTGAAAAATTTTGCTTTGACTTTGTATGTGTTGTAGTATTCTAATATTCTTTAGTTCTTTAGTTTATAATACTCATTTATGCTTACCGTACATTATAAACGACTTGAACTGTACAAAAGCGGCACAGTGACTTGTGTAGAACACTAGCTAAGTATCCAGAGCAGTTTTTATGGATAGTGATGAAGGCGTAAAGAGTTCCAAAATAGGCGGAAAGTTTTCAGATTTCCAGTAAGTTCAGCACAAATGAATTTATTATTGATACATACTACAAAGATATACACATTTTGGAAAAAAAAACAGATAACATAGATCATAATAACCAGTATTGGCTACATCATAAAATCTTGTAATTGGATTTTTATATTTATAGAAAAAACAGTTAGATGACCTAATCGTATGGCGAATCATGAATTCCAGTGCTGTTACCAGTCCATGACGAGTATGGGAATAGTTAACCATGTATTTGATTCAGATACATGGACTTGGTGGGGGAGGAAGCAGTAACCGGCAAGCTTTTGCATGGACTACTATAAGAAATGAGAAACCCACTAATCTTCTCGCCCATAATTATCATTTATGAAATCCAACTTGGAAAACTGCAGAGGGTAATCTGAGGTGCAATCGCAACCGGGAAGTGTGTATGATCCATTTTGTATCACGAAATTTGAATGTGTATTCCTAAAATTCAATCTCCAGATTGATAAATTATTGATTAATTTCATGAAATTATCATCCAACCTTGACATTCTCTGCTAGTTGTCTTGCCATTGATGAATTATGTTGATATCTGATGATGGGACATTTTTTCAAGGCAAGTAGGACAGAAGACACACCATGAGTTGTTCTCTGCAGCAGTGGATGTGACCAGGTGAAGCCCTGTAAAAAGAAGAACCTAAGTTAGCATTCAGTATACATTTTGGAGGCAAGAGTGATTAATATTTTGCCCTGCTTGGATCATTGTATATAGTGCAGCCTGAGAATATATAACATATACTCACCCTATAAAAGGTGTAATGCCGAAAAAATAAATTAAGTGGCTATGCTAGTATAAATTGACCTGACCCTAATCTTGAGATTCTTCTACTGCCAACTGCTAATTCAGTATGTAAATAAAACAAGCATTTTAGCTTGTCCTCATGCAATCATTTTCACCCAGAAATCATACAATGAAGCTTTGCATACCTTCATACAGTTATTTATATTGATTGTGAATAGATGAGGAGATATAGCAATATAATCTGCATAAAATTCATGAACATCTTGCACAACTTCATGTTCATCACTCTCTGCAATTAACTTCAAATCAACTTTACTCAGAACATGACTGAAATCTGAACAAAAAATAATGATAGGATTTACAATGTAATTTTACTTTCTGTACTGAATAGGAATAAGATGAGATTTATTTCATAATCATTCAGATGAAAGACAATGAATCAATCACAGTTAAATATTAACCTTCGGTTGATTGCAATTTTTGCAATTAATTGTGATATCACATCAAATCAGAGTTTGCACTACCATAGTAATAAAGTACCGTATTTAACTGAGCTTTCCCACAGTTTTAGATTTTAAATTCCTTCAGAGTTCTAAACTTAGGAAAATTTCAATAAAAAACCTACATTTATACTTACACAGATAATATTGCCCATATTTTGGTGATTTTCAATTCTTGTGACAGAAGTCGTACATTTTCCTAAAAATAACATAATAAAAATAAAATAGCATATTCAGTAATAAATGCTTTAAAAGTAAGAATGACAAATTTCACATACCACTGTAGGTCGAACAAACACGATTGCCTTCAAACTTTTAAGAGGATCTCGTTTCATTGATTCTAATCTTTCAAACATGTAAACTTGTTGTTGTAGAATCTCTGATTGTGCATAAACCATGCTTACAATGCTTGTCTGAAAATAGAAGCAAAGTTTTCAAAATAAATCAACAAGACCAAACAAACTATAACAAAGCGAATTTTATCCAGTCTTGTAAAAGATATTGCTAACAGAAAAGTGATGAGATTCAAAATTGTAAGATCTGGTTCTCTTTTGTACCAAACTCACTAACAACATGTTGCCACATTTCAGAAAATATATGTATGTCACTAGGGAAGATGCATTAACCTAACATCTAATAGACTCTACATTACTTTTGAAATGCCAAATATAATGCAGCTGTCTTCAGCTGCGATGCTTGTTAGCCATTATCTGTTATCTTTTAACATCTACGAAAAAACGAGACAGGGTTCACATGATCCCTCCACTGGTAACAGAATATATTTTAACAGTCCATATTTAATCTGATGACCGCATATTGAAATGAGCAGTTTTGCATCTTTTGTCTGTGTGTAGGCCTACTAATCTTAAATTTCTAGGGAAATATCAGAAGTAGCATAGTTATAAAAATTCAATATTTAAAGTAAAATTTACTGTTTACAAAAGACAAAACAGATTTAGTGTTAATCAAGTCTAACAGAGCTGTCAAGACAAACTGACCTTAAATTTGTCTTAAAAAAACATACCGTAATTCTGTAAGTAGCATTTAATCAAATTCCACATTTAAATCTCCAACTTCAGAACTCCTATATCAGCTTACATTGTCTTAGTCTATCACAGAAACTGATATTTTTTTCATTCCTTTTGTCAATACAAAAATTTGATACCAAAAGAAATCCTGACCACATTGTCTCACCGTTTCCTTGTCCATGAGCAACATCTTCATTCCTTGTCCAGTGTCTTCAATCATTTTTGAAATATACTTCTTCACAGCAAGAACCACATTCATTTTTGCAGAATTTGTAGATCTTACAGCTTATACTTAGTCGTACACAGTCGAACCAATGACAACAGAAATACAACTATCACACGTCTCTGCGCAAGGGTACTAGACCTGTACACTCTGAACTTGCACAAGCCAGCAAGCGGACAAAGTCGAGAATAAAGAGAGCTACTGTATTTAATTTAAGTTAAATAACAAGAGAGCTATGCTCAAATATATGGACACGTAGAGTCACATAATTTTGATGACGTCATAGCGAAAAAAAAAAGTAATAGCCTTCTGGAGAAAATTTTTATCTTTAACCACTGAAAATTTCAAAGCAATTGGTCCAGTATTCGAAGAGAAAAGCGACTTTTTAAAAACGTGTCAAAGAACAAGAACAACAACATAATATTGAAACGATCCTTATGTCCACTACGTGTCCAACAAAGAGATGAGAGCTGAATTCACGGCGGTACCGGTACCTAAAGTAGGTGCGGTACTGAGTTAGCAGTCAGCCAGCATCTTACCTGTACACTGTGGGACATATACGGTAATTGATCACAGAACAGTTGTTCCCTTGCAAATTTTATGTTGTTTACACTTTAGGACAGATAATTGATCACAGAACAATTCTTCCCTTTCAAATTTTATGTTGTTTCCAGTAGACTCTCATCAAAATAAACAAATATAGGCTAGTAGGCTACAAGTGCTACAACGCTTGCATTACTGCACTGGTAGGACCGTGAAAGAATAAGTTACGTAATTTCATTGTGGTAAGACACCGGTACCGGCACCAGTACCAGTATCGTACTTACGTACTGAGCTACCAGTACCGGTTAGCAGTCAGCCAGCATCTTACCTGTACACTGTAGGCCAGGGATTCCCAACCGGTGGTACGCGTACCACTAGTGGTACGCGGGAGCTTTTCAGGTGGTACGCGTGCAGCTTTCTGTTGTATTCGATATATATGACATCACAATCATGTTATTTATTGACGCTTTTGCAAGAGTTCTTGTTAGAATAGCCAACTCGTCGCCTGTGATTGCTTTGCCAAAGTTTTGGCTAAGTATTTTAAAATGTCGAAGCGAAAGTATAGTGAAAATTATATTGAGTATGGCTTCATTGCTATTGAACATCGAGGAGATATCTTACCTCAGTGCGTGATCTGTATGAAAACCCTTTCAAATGCAGCTTTGAAACCAAGTTTGCTTAAGCGACACCTTGAAACCAATCATACAGATAAGATGAACCGAGATAAGAGTTATTTTGAGCGACTTGGGGAGAACGTGAAGAGACAGCGCATGGATCACACAGGCCAGTTTTACCAAAAGAATGCGGGGATTGTAAAGGCATCCTACGAAGTATCTCTTCTGGTGGCCCAACACAAAAAAGCTCATGTCATTGCAGAGTCTCTTATTTTGCCTGCAGCTAAGATATTAGTCGCATCGAGGAAATGTCAGTTGATATTACTGACCAGGTGATTGCAGGAGTAAGAAATTCGAAGTTTGGATTTGCCTTACAACTTGATGAATCGACAGATGTCACAAACTGCTGCCAACTGCTTGCCTACGTCCGCTTTATTCAGAACGATACTGTAAAAACGGAATTAATGTTGAATCATGAGCTGTCTACTACATCAAAAGGAAAAGATATTTTCAACTCTTTGGATAATTTTTTCAAGGAAAATGAATTAGATTGGGGAAATCTTGTCGGATGTACCACGGATGGGGCTCCCTCCATGCTCGGCAGAAAATCTGGATTTCAAGCCCTTGTCAAAGCAGTGTCACCTCGCGTCGTAAGTGTTCACTGTTTCATACACAGATTTGCTCTTTGCACAAAAGTTCTTCCTGCAAATTTGTTAATGTGCTTGAACAGGGTCATCAAAATCGTAAATTTTGTTAAAACATCAGCTTTAAATACTCGATTGTTTAAGGTTCTTTGCGAAGATCTCGGCTCTGATCACACTTGTCTCCTTTATCACACAGAAGTACGTTGGCTCTCTCGAGGAAACACAACTAAACGTCTTTTTGAAATGAGGGATGAATTACTTTTATTTTTCCAACAGAAAGACCATGACTTTCAAAACGACCTGCAGGATGAGGATTTTATTGCGAAGTTGGCTTATTTGTCAGATATATTTGAAACATTCAATCACTTAAATTTGTCATTTCAAGGGAAAAACTGCACAGTCGCAGACTTTGTTTCAAAACTGGGAGCCTTTATCAGAAAGCTGAATTTATGGAGAAAAAATGTGGAAAACAAGCGCTATGGTATGTTTAAATTTCTGTCAGCCCTTGAAATAGAAATCAGTGATGACTTGTCCAGAGAAATTACCCAGCACCTCTCGCTGCTAACTGCTGAATTGCAGCATTACTTTCCAGATACCTCATGCTGCCCATACGTCACAGATCCTTTCTCAGTGGACCCAGCCGACCTACTTGTTGGTACAGGGGATCAAGAGGAACTGATAGACATACAGGAGGATCTGGAAGCAAAAAAACAATGCAAAGAATATTCTGCAATAAACTTTTGGCTTAGTATGGCTTCTTCATACCCAACGCTAGCTTCTCACGCTATTCCACAACTACTGATTTTTCCTTCTACTTGGGAATGTGAGCAGGGATTTTCTATTCTTATGAACATCAAATCAAAAAATCGAAACCGACTAAGTGCCCCCGGACATGACTTCAGATGTGCTATTAGCAACGTTATGCCGCGCATCGATCAACTGGCGCAAGACAAACAAAAACAAAAATCCCATTAAATTTAGCCGTGCACTTTTCGTTGTTTATTCTGATTGGTAATTTTGGTACATTCGTTAAATTTACATCCTGATTTATCATGTTATCATAATAAATTGGTTTTGTAAAATTTGTATCAAATTAGCTGTTTCGAAAATAGTGGTACATGTTGACAAATCGTGGTGCCCAAGTGGTACGAGAACGTAAAAAGGTTGGGAACCCCTGCTGTAGGCCATATACGGTAATTGATCACAGAACAGTTGTTCCCTTGCAAATTTTATGTTGTTTACACTTTAGGACAGATACCGTAATTGATCACAGAACAATTCTTCCCTTTCAAATTTTATGTTGTTTCCAGTAGACTCTCATCAAAATAAACAAATATAGTAGGCTACAAGTGCTACAACGCTTGCATTACTGCACTGGTAGGACCGTGAAAGAATAAGTTACGGTAATTTCATTGTGGTAAGACACCGGTACCGGCACCAGTACCAGTATCGTACTTACGTACTGAGCTACCAGTGCCGGTACCGAACCTGTAGGTCTGATATTCCGTTCCGCATACGATAGGCTATAAAACTTGCATTGCAGCATTAGTAATACCGCGGAAGGAATAAGTCAATTTCACTGCGTTACGGTACCGGTATGGCAACTTACCAGTACCGACCTACAGTAGCTGTAGTACTGAGCAAGACAATCGATCGCGAAACCGCTTGAAATAAGTGTAAAACAGTGTTCCCATGAGTAAAAATAAATACCGCGAAAATTTGTTTGAAATATCATATCTCATAGGATTCATATAAAATTTAAGAATAAATAAAAGTAATAGCATTCTGGGGAAAAATATAATCTTTACTCACTGAAAATTTCAAATCAATTGGTCCAGTAATCAACGAGAAAAGCGATTTTTTCATAACGATACCAAGAAGAAGACAAATAAGAACAAGAGAGCTATGCTCAAATATATGGACACGTAGCCCAGTGGCAATAATTTTGATGACGTCATAGCGAAAAAAAAGTAATAGCCTTCTGGAGAAAAATTTTATCTTTAACCACTGAAAATATCAAAGCAATTGGTCCAGTATTCGAAGAGAAAAGCGATTTTTTAAAAATGGAGACGGAGACAAATAACAACAAGAGAGCAATGCTCAAATATATGGATACGCAGAACAATTCCCCAAAAATCATATGCGGTGACCAACGACTAACATAAAGGCGGTGACTCACCAGTACCTGTATCGGGGTACCGTGACGATACAGGGACTGTCATAGATATTTTAGGTCCTGTGACAATTGAAACATCAGTTGAAATATCTCGTGATATGAGTCAATTATGTACCGTATTATCGGATCAGGTACCGAACCACAGTCAAACATTTCAGATAAAAACGTTACTAAATAACATGCGTCAACTTAACACCAGCCGAATCGGGGTACAATTTTTGGTACAGTGACTGTCATAGCCGTTTAGGGCTGATGGACAATTCGACTACACGGACAACTCACCAGGCCTAGGGTGGTGTAGCCAGTCTGCGGACAATTTCATTCAAACCGCTATAAAACAAAAACCAATATATCTAACCCGTTAATTTTTTCACCGTGGGTGCATTGGCGGCATTTATTCTACACGCTAAACCTCGTATCAACTTTCTACGACAAAGGGTTGAAGCTATACAAATCCCCAAAGTACGGCACTCGAAAGACGTATTTGCGACCGAACGACCAGTGTGCGACCACGGATTTCAAGCCTTGATCATCGTTTATGCTGCGTCGAGACTATCGCATACGCAGCCATACAGCAATCAAACAGACAAAACACGGTGGTCGCAAATTGGTTGACAATTGTTGATCTTGTGACAGCGTAGTGACTGTCATAGCCGTTTAGGGCTGATGGACAATTCGACTACACGGACAACTCACCAGGCCTAGGGTGGTGTAGCCAGTCTGCGGACAATTTCATTCAAACCGCTATAAAACAAAAACCAATATATCTAACCCGTTAATTTTTTCACCGTGGGTGCATTGGCGGCATTTATTCTACACGCTAAACCTCGTATCAACTTTCTACGACAAAGGGTTGAAGCTATACAAATCCCCAAAGTACGGCACTCGAAAGACGTATTTGCGACCGAACGACCAGTGTGCGACCACGGATTTCAAGCCTTGATCATCGTTTATGCTGCGTCGAGACTATCGCATACGCAGCCATACAGCAATCAAACAGACAAAACACGGTGGTCGCAAATTGGTTGACAATTGTTGGTCTTGTGACAGCGTGAAAACATTGGGCTTCTAATTGCATTTCTGACCGTCATATATTTCAAGAACACGGTTATTTCGAACAAAACTCGTTAAATTATAAACAAAGCACCACATCACAGCAATCAAACAGACGAAAACACGGTGGCCGTAAATTGGTTGACAAAGATATTATCGACGTATCGGAAATGCACACCCCCTATTCCCTCTCCTTCAAATGTAGAAACGCGAAACTTTCAAATATGGTTAAAAGAAACACAACTCTACCCACCTGCCAAGTTTCATCTTTTTATTTCTCATATTTGTATGGATTTTCAAGCTTTTGACAGCTACGAGTTAGTTCAGTGTCACCGCGCTCCTTCAAATGTAGAAACGCGAAACTTTCAAATATGGTTAAAAGAAACACAACTCTACCCACCTGCCAAGTTTCATCTTTTTATTTCTCATATTTGTATGGATTTTCAAGCTTTTGACAGCTACGAGTTAGTTCAGTGTCACCGCGCTGTGTTACGGTACCAGAACTCCTGTCTTGTGACAGCGTGAATTGTAATTGCAAGATGGTCCGTTGGACACAAAATGGCGTCCGATATCCGCAGAACGTTTAGTGACGTCATAGCAAACAAAAACAAATCTTACAGAGATAACAGAAATATTTGAAATAAATAAAAGTAATAGCCTTCTGGAGAAAAATTTCATCTTCAACCACTGAAAATTTCAAAGCAATTAGTCCAGTAATCAAAGAGAAAAGCGACTTTTTAAAAACGTGTCAAAGAACAAGAACAAGAACAACAACATAATATTGAAACGATCGTTATGTCCACTACGTGTCCAACAAGAGAGCAATGCTCAAATATATGGACACGCAGAACAATTCCCCAAAAATCATATGCGGTGACCAACGACTAACATACCGGCGGTGACTTACCAGTACCTGTATTGGGGTACCGTGACGGTACAGGGACTGTCATAGATATTTTAGGTCCTGTGACAATTGAAACATCAGTTGAAATATCTCGTGATATGAGTCAATTATGTACCGTATTATCGGATCAGGTACCGAACCACAGTCAAACATTTCACATAAAAACGTTACTAAATAACATGCGTCAACTTAACACCAGCCGAATCGGGGTACAATTTTTGGTACAGTGACTGTCATAGCCGTTTAGGGCTGATGGACAATTCGACTACACGGACAACTCACCAGGCCTAGGGTGGTGTAGCCAGTCTGCGGACAATTTCATTCAAACCGCTATAAAACAAAAACCAATATATCTAACCCGTTAATTTTTTCACCGTGGGTGCATTGGCGGCATTTATTCTACACGCTAAACCTCGTATTAACTTTCTACGACAAAGGGTTAAAGCTATACAAATCCCCAAAGTACGGCACTCGAAAGACGTATTTGCGACCGAACGACCAGTGTGCGACCACGGATTTCAAGCCTTGATCATCGTTTCTGCTGCGTCGTAACTATCGCATACGCAGCCATACAGCAATCAAACAGACAAAACACGGTGGTCGCAAATTGGTTGACAATTGTTGGTCTTGTGACAGCGTGAAAACATTGGGCTTCTAATTGCATTTCTGACCGTCATATATTTCAAGAACACGGTTATTTCGAACAAAACTCGTTAAATTATAAACAAAGCACCCCATCACAGCAATCAAACAGACGAAAACACGGTGGCCGCAAATTGATTGACAAAGATATTATCGACGTATTGGAAATGCACACCCCCTATTCCCCCTCCTTCAAATGTAGAAACGCGAAACTTTCAAATATGGTTAAAAGAAACACAACTCTACCTACCTGCCAAGTTTCATCTTTTTATTTATCATATTTGTATGGATTTTCAAGCTTTTGACAGCTACGAGTTAGTTCAGTGTCACCGCGCTGTGTTACGGTACCAGAACTTCTCTATCTTTAGAAGGTCCTGTCTTGTGACAGCGTGAATTGAAATTGCAAGATGGTCCGTTGGACACAAAATGGCGTCCGATATATCAGAACGGTTAATGACGTCATAGCAAACAAAAACAAATCTTACAGAGCTAACAAAAATATTTGAAATAAATAAAAGTAATAGCCTTCTGGAGAAAAATTTCATCTTCAACCACTGAAAATTTCAAAGCAATAAGTCCAGTAATCAAAGAGAAAAGCGACTTTTAAAAACGTGTCAAAGAACAAGAACAACAACATAATATTGAAACGATCGTTATGTCCACTACGTGTCCAACAAGAACAACAAAAATACCAAAACGATCGTTATGTCCACTAACGTGTCCAATAATAATAAAAATGAGATTATTAAATGCACAGACCAGGGTTTGCCAATTCGAACTGCAAACTTTATAGCATGAAGGTGGCATAAGTATTTAATTATCGCAAAGATACGCTTTTGAGTTCACGATGGGGTTGGGTCTATTGCGCTGAGTGAAGCGGAAAAACTAGTCTCGCATATCTAGATTATTTCATGTCGCTAAAGTAATTTGATTATAGACAGTCTGTAAAAGACTGTTTCCGTAAATATCAACCTCTCAATCGTTGTCGGAATCAGTAATTTGTGCCCTCAATTTTTACATTATGAAATAAATGGGTCTATTACTATAAATATGTGAAATCCCTTTCAGATGTAGCTTATGTCTGACCAGAGAGTTACCACACGTCAAACAGCTTTACGAGTCGTCGTTTTGATTAAACTCCAACTCCCCCTACTTTCGACGTCTGAGCGATATTGTACTAATTTTACGGCAGCCAATAGGTTTTTCTTTTCTGCGCCCCCATTGTTTATTCCTTTTTCGTTGCTCGATTTGATTTTTTTCTGAGCTATATTTTGCGAAAGCAATACGTTTTTCATATATGCGCACCACTTTTCTTCAGTATCAAAAAATATTTTTATTGTAAAGTTTAAAAAAACAGCAATAACAATGAAAAATATGAAAATTTTGATCCATTTCAATCAAGATACCAACTAAAGATCAACGAAATACTGATGGAAGAACAATTTCCCGCCAAATACATTCAACTAGCAAACAAAAATTATAGATGATTAGGTAAAGTGAAAAGTTCTTGAAAAATCGGTTTTCCATGAAAACAATTCCACACTGAGTAATCTTTAGAAAAATGTCTTTTCAAATCTTCCAAGCTCTCTAGAACTGCTGAGTGGATGGGGAGAGAATGTGACATTCGCACCGCTTCGCCCTGGAAGTGCAAGCTCATTATAATATGTATAGAAATTCTTTGTCCTGAATATAAAAAATGTGATACAACTGCCCAATCTAATGGATGATCACAGCCTTTGGTCTAGATAGCAGTAGAGGTTGGTAACCGGTATCTCAATTGTTCCCAAAAATATCTGTGGTACTTGACAACAAAAATTTCAGAATCTATCAATCATCCAAATTATGTATCCACATTGTTAAAGACAGTCACCAGTAGAAATATTTCACACGCTTCACTCTGTCCTTAATTGCCATATTTAAGTACAGAATACAGATATAGAAAAAAAATTCTGACACCATTCTTATAAATAGACGCAGAGATGGGATTCAGGTGGTTTGTGCGAACCCCCCTTTTTTCAGTTCAGCATGGTTTTCTGAAATAAGAGCACCCGTTGATAGCAAGTTTGTGCCAAAAAGAACCTATTCTTATTGAATCCCTCCACTAGTTGAAAATTTTTAGTACAAGTCAAGTGATCAAGCTCTAACCACCCATAACCACATACGATTTTACGATCAGTCTCAGGAAACCAAAAAGGTTGCAGTCAGTCGGAACCTCCGTTAGTTGTCACCTCCATATGATGGTCCAAATTGACAGTGTATAAAATAGAATTAATCCATAACTCAATTAAGTTTTGCACCTGCAAATACTGAACAGCTTTAAAAGGTCTAGTCTCGTGGAGTGATACTTCTTCAGATGCCGGAAGTTTCCTCAAAATGTTTTTCAATTCATCAACTTTATAATATGGAATTGCATTGGACATTTCACAAATACGTAGCATTTTTGTCCCATCGCACTCTGTGCAAAAAAAGCACTTGTTATCTACAACATCAATAAATCTTTCCATCCTTATATGATAATTTGAGATGAATATTAATGAGATTATTTAATTACCCAAACCAGGGTTTGCCAGTTCAAATTCCAAACTTTGTTAACTTTTTAGCAAAAAAGGTGGCGCAAGTAAATAACTATTGTAATGATTTGGATAGTTATGCCAAGAAAAACTATTGAATTATCCATATTTGAATTGCTTTTTTGATCTAAACATATAAGTGTATACATATATTGTGATTTGTGAACAAAGGTATACAGCATTTTTTTAAGGTATAAAGCATTCTTAATAGAAAGGGGTACAACACAAACATATATAAGTTACTTATTGATATTGAGCAAAAATGAACTGAGAGGAAAAATGAACTCATACTAAAAAATAACCACCTTCAAAAATTTTCATCTTGAATCCATTTTTACAAATTCTTTCATCAATGCATTCAATATCAGGATTTAATAAATCAGGTGTTGAAAATTCAAGTCTTTCAAATCCTGCCATCTCCTCTTTTGTGAGGGAAGAGAGTGATAGAAGTATAGGATGAGAAGTTCTCTCATTTGTAATGTATGATTCTCCATGAGGCTGCAAGAGAATATGTTGCAAATTGTACATTGCATTGTGGGAGTGCCAGAGGAAACGCAAAAATAATAATCTAGTAAAATTTATATATTAAAAATTTCAGCAAAACAAAGTTCTGTTTGATGATTCTGATTGACGCCATACCTCCAAAATACTTTTGATTCTTGTAATCTTAGTAGATTGACCAGCAGTAATTTATGATTTATATTGTCCAACAAAACTCCTGCTTTTACATCTTTTAAAGTTCCAATTGATGAGTATGGATTTCGTTCTGCAAATTTGTAATCCTGAAAATTTGCAAAAATAGTTTATTTGCAATTGGTTTATGGAAATAAACAATTAGCACAATTTACATTTGCTAGGTTAATGTTCGTTATAAGGTTAAATAAACGTCAAGCTCAACCTCAATCGAAAGCATATTAAATGAGATACCTTATAAGTTAATCAGTAAGATTCTTGTCTTACCAAGCAGATATTAGCGATCCGCATATAAGTGGACTCATTCGAAGCAAGGTATAGCCTATAGAACTTGATGAAAAAGGTATGCTTTCCAAACAAACCTCTTTGAATGACAAATTCTCTTTCATTTCCGAGAAATCATATTTCAAATTGATTTCCTGTCCTTCCAGATATCGTAATTCTTCATCACCAATGCAATTCGTCATTTTAGGATTTTTGCTTCCAATATCGATGCCCATTCTGTTATTAGCGATGCATTTCGTATGTCGTCGGTATGTTTATCAGGTGCTTTCCTTTTTCTTGATGGTGTAATGATAGGACTAGGGTTTGTTTTTCGATATGAACTTCTTAAAGGTGATGGTGTTGACGTGAATGCTTTGAATCCACTCATGTTCAAATTAGACTGTTTCATCTTTACAGGCTAAAAATGAAGCATTTGGTCAATAGAATATTATGAAGTGGTCACACATTTGCTCTAGTCTAGGATCTTTTACAGCAGTTTGTTATCTGGAAGTACTAGCAGCAATATGTTTTGGTGCAGAGACATTTGGACATCAATATGTTATTGGAGTAAAATATTATAATAAATTTTGATGCAAAAAATTAACCGTAATATAATGTTTTCCACGTATGTAATTGTAATATTGATGTGTAAATGTGATATTGATTTTTAACGAGTTTATAAAAAATAAAAAACGAAGTTAGTAAAAAACAGCACAAAATCACCTTTTCTTGGGTTTCAATTGGCACAGTTGTTTCATCTAGCTCGCTGCATGACGAAGTATTATTGAACAGATTTGAAACGTCACAGATTGGTTTTGAAGAAATATCTGAAAATTAATAAATATTTTATTGCTAGATTCACAGTTATTGAAGTTAACGAACATTATCTATGCATCTGCATCATTTAATTACTGGTTAAGTATTTTAATACCGAACTCGAGCTCAAAATCTTAATTAACCTAGATCTCTATGTCATCCCAAATTCTTTAAATTTTTGCGCGTATTGAGCCACCACATGGCATTACATCAGGCCAGTCTGCCAAGTGTCATCTTTTCAACGAATCCAGAAGCTTCACCAGTATCAATGTGAATTTCTTAGGTGGTGGGACTAAATTTGTAATTTGGATTTGAAGCTATCCATCTTTGTTTCATGTGCATGAGGATAGCTCTCTTGTTTATATGTTTGACAAAGTTAGTCTCAAATACCATTTAAAGGTAAGAATGTAATGCACAATAAACATACCAAGTTTATCATTGCAATTATTTTTGTTGGCCATGGCTTGTTTACCATGAGTTCCAGCTAACACTCTGACAGGTTGAATTGTTGAACCATCATCATCTACAACAGCATGTCCTTTACTCCAGTCTGAGGCAATAGGACTTTCAGAAATAGGATTCGACCTATCAGAACCTGATATTATAAGAAACAGAATGGAGAGCCATTCAATGAAGGGCATTTAAGGAAAGATATGGCATTTTTGGCTGGATTTTGACTGACAATTCATTTACTTTGTGCTCTTGGCAGCAGGAAACTTTTTAAATGCAAATGATTTAAATCATGGATTTCTAAAAATGAAATGAATATCACAATCGATTTAAAAATAAATTTATTTGATAATTTAAGATTCTTGATTTGGAGAATGATTTAGAACAGGGGCGGGCAAATTACGACCCACTTGTTTCTGCTGAATTCAGCACTATAGTTTTTATGAATATAAGTTACGTTGGAAATACCGATGAAAACAACGTCATAAGGACCCTGATTGTTACATTGTGCTTCTTATTACTATAAAAAGTCAGCCTATCTGTTGCCCTAGCTTTTGTAAATAAATCGTTTTCATTCATAATTTTTCATAACGAGTTTTCAGCCTCCGGCCCAGTAACCAAGTCTATTACCCGTAACTGGCCAATCCAGAAAAGTAATTACTCATCCCTGAAAAAATCTAACAGGATGACCATAAAAACTACAAATAGAAGAGAATCAATCAAATGACTGTTTATCATGTCATGACTAAACAGCATTGGTCTTTGCTCAACAGGCAACAATTCAGAATATATAGCGTAACGAGAAAAAATATTATGTAAAATGTTCATTAGAGTAGACTATACAGTTTTGGCCATCCCTGATTTAAAATACTCTGTTAGATAATCTCAGCTAAAAACTTACAGGTTGATGTATTTTGCAGATGAGAATTTGAGATTGGAGGAGAATCGTCATCAGTTTTTCCCATTTGTTTGATATTGTGATCAGTGTGTTCTTGAATACTAATTTCAGCATCTAAATTATTCAAATTGATAGTGATAAATTCAAATGCTTGTTATGGTTATGCAGATAGTGATGAAAAAGGAATAGGCCTATTGATATCTACTGCAATGCCAAGAACTTATACAGGTTTATAACTGTGAATGAAACGCTCGCAAACACTGACTGACACAAGACTTGAGGAACTCCAAATCGATGATCGTGAAAGCAGCTTCGAGGCAATGAATTCAAAATAACTAATATAATTTAAAAACAATGAGTTCTAATAACGAAGTTAAAATTATAGCAAACACAGATGAAGTCAATAATTCTTTTATTATTACCTTCAACAAGATTCTCTTTCTCATCGTCTTTATCATTTATTATGATTGTTGAGTAGGCCTCAGATAACATATTATCTATTGCTTTGATCACTAATTCCTTATCACTGATAAGAACTCGCCATTTATCTGATTCAACGTATTGAATCCACTCTGTCCAAGGGAATCTATAAAAAAAAATTAAACTTTGTTTTTGTTGAATTTCTCTTTTTATAATTTCAAAAGTTGAAGAAAGTCTATATTATCTGACAATTAGATGTCAAACAGTCATAATAATAAACATTTTACTGATAGTATTTCATATCTGAATTCTTCATAAAATTTCATATTTACTACATATAATATCATCAAATTCAAATGTATTTGAATACTTGATTATTTTGGACATACCCAGCTCCAACTATAACGGTTATAGTAAACAAACCAATACCATAACTATTAAAACTAAGAGTGCCTTTTTGTCAAACTTGAAGAAAATAACACAAATTATTCAACTTGAACCTCTGGAGTAAGAGAACATACCTGATATGTCCCAAAAGATTCACTATCACCCTAAAATACAGTGTGACTCAGTGTACTGTAAAGTGCTTTATTGTGCTAATATTGTGTACAGTGTTTTAATATTATTTTATATGGACAGTAACACATAATTTCATTTCAATCTTCTTTTCCAACATGTATCCTTTCAGTAACACAACATTATGGCACTTGTGCCATGCCTTGACCTTTGCACCCCTCCACCTGTACATGGCAATGAGCTTCCTGTCTGCCGGTACTCTGGTACTAGACTAGTCTTGTGCACTGAACAATCTGCTTTAACTATTAACCTGTAAATTACAGATAAAACAGTAGTTTACTGCAGTTAGGATTATATTCTTTGTTACTGATAATAAAAGCTCAGTTCTACATCTGTTGGTCTGTTCTTAGTCAAGCCAGGCTATCTGTCAGGAAGCAATCAAGCAAGCACAGCCCTGAACTTATTAATGGCGACGAGGTGAAACGGAGGAACAGACACTATAGTAACCCATCTCAGACATCACAACAGATAATCCTGACTGTAGTTTTGAATTGGAACAATGGCTACTGAACAATTTGAATCACCATCCAGGTCAATCGGAAAGTTTGACCCAGAGATGCACACCACGAATGTGCATGACGCATTCTGTGACTTTGTCAACCAGTTTCATTATGAATATGAGGCTATTGCGAGGGATCCCCCTCAAGGCACGGAGGACACAAATGCATGGGTCCAGATCAACAAAAGAAAAATATTTCTTGGCCGATTCGCATCTCGCAACTTTCAAAAAGACTTTGAAGACACTGTCGCAGAGACTGATCGCTCGCTTCTCACATTCACAAACCTCATTGCAAGAATGAAGGCCAGATATGAGCCCACTCGCAACTATACCTTGGCCAATCATGAGTTTCATCGCTTAAATCAAGATCAGGACGAGAGCTTCAATAACTTTGTCCATCGTTTGCAGCATGAAGCTCGATCTTGCAAATTCAGCTGCAGCAATGAAGGCTGCGACATCCCAGATATCATGGTACGCGACCAAATTATAGTTGGAACGAGACATGATGACATTAGAAGGAATGCTCTAAAAAATCAGTGGGGGCTTAAGGACCTGATAGAAAATGGGCGCAAGATAGAGGCTGCATCCCACACAGCACAACGCCTCCTGGAAAACTCGACAACCGAGGAAGACTTCACCAGCATATCCAGGATGAGACCAGGGAAATACTCTCGTAAAACAAAGAAATCCAAAGCTGATTCAGGACCAAAACATCCTCTTTCCCAGTGCACCACATGTTCTTCGAAGACATGTCAGGGTGGAAAAACATGTCAGGCACGCCATTCAAACTGCTTCGCTTGTGGTAGAAAAGGCCACTTCAAAGGGTCAAAAATATGTAGAGGAAACCAGCAGCAAGAGCACACAGGGTAAAGCCAAGAACTAGATCCTCAGAGCCACATTCGGAAACTGACAGCTCCTCTGAGAATGAAACAGAGGAAGAAAGCAGTCCACCCAGCTCCAAAGAAGGAGTGCGCAGAATGAGACGCATACATAGAGTCCAATGTAAGAAGGGAGTATCAAAGAACAGCCGTTCGAAGAAGCCTGCCTTCACCCCAGCCAATTCGCACGAAACAGGATCTACTATTCGCAACATAGCAAAACCTCGATACAGAGTGGAGATAATTGTAGCCGAGAGACGCATCAAAGGTTTCGCGGACACAGGAGCAGACATCAATGTGATGTCAGAGACTTCTGCATCCAAACTGAAACTGCCTCTGTGCAAAACAAAGATAAAGCTCAGACCGTATGGCTCCAAGCCAATCAGATGTGCTGGATATTATGAAGGTAGTATCATGTTCAAAAACGCAGTGACCACAGCTCGATTTTACATAGTCCCAGGTGATTCAGAAACACTACTCAGTGGCCAGCTTTGTGAAGAACTTGGAATCATCAAATTCAACAACTGCACAAAGGAATGTTCAGGCAAATTACGAGCTGTAAGAAAGCTCCATTCATCTGAATCAGACATTTTTGCAAAATACCCAGAGGTCTTCATGGGTGTGGGAACACTGATCGATCATGAAGTGCATTTCTATATGAACAATAAAATACCTCCTGTTGCTCAGGCAGCGCGTCCAATTCCATTTCATCTCCGGGAGAGATTCCAACAGGCTATTGTACAAATGGAAGAACAAGGAATCATCGAAGAGCACAGCGGTCCAGCACCTTGGGTCTCAAACCCGGTGCTCACACCAAAAGACAATGGTAATATCAGAGTAACCATAGATCTTAGAGCTGTAAACAAAGCAATCAAAGCGACAAACATCCCAATTCCGCGGGTGGAAGACATCAAAGCCAAGCTGTCTGGGTGTGCAGTTTTCAGCAAACTAGACTTCAAATCAGCCTTCCACCAACTTCTCCTAGATGAGAGTTCACGCATTGCAACAGTATTCCATGCTGGACAGCGTCTGATGCGATACAGAAAACTAACAATGGGAGCTAAACCGGCATCAGGCGAATTAACTAAAGCGCTGATCCCAGTCTTCGCTAACATCAAGGGTGTACATATCATTCATGACGATGTTATAGTGGCAGGCAAAGATAAAATAGAGCACGACAAATCCTTGCACGAAGCGCTCAATAAAATACATCAAGTTGGCATGACACTCAACCCAGACAAATGCATTTTTCGCAAATCAGAAATCCCGTTCTGGGGCATGATCGTTACAAAAAATGGGGTTCGGCCAGACCCAGTCAAAGTGGAGTCACTTAAAAAAGCAACAAAACCCAGTCAAAAGATGAAGTCATGTCCTTCTTGTGCTTTGTACAATCATTTGGTGACTTCATTCCACACTTGTCAAGCAAGACCACACATCTGCGCAGCCTAACAAAGAAACACAAAGAATTTAGGTGGTCATCACAATGCAACAAAGAATTCAAAGCTCTAAAACAATCTTTGCAAGCAGACACAGAGCTAAGATATTTTGACATAAATTCCTTAACCTTCGTGTTCGTGGATGCCCATACATCTGGCATCTCAGCTATCCTCGCCCAAGGAAAAAGCATCCAGGAATCCAAAGCAGTAGCGTTTGCAAGCCGTGCAACTAAGCCGGAAGAACAACGCTACCCTCAACTCGATCTCGAAGCACTAGCTGTTGATTTTGCTTTGCGACGATTCCGCAACTATATCGCTGGAGGCCCACCAGTGAAAATCATCACAGACCATAAGCCACTGGTCAGCATTTTTAGCAATTCGCGCAAAGGCTCAATCAGAACCGACAGAATCAAAATGAGACATCAAGACATACTGTACGAAGTTCAATGGGAGCCAGGCAAGCACAATCCAGCAGATTATCTCTCACGACACTCAACTCCCTTCCATGAAACACCCGAAGAGTGGCAGAAAGAGGCTGGAGAGCTTGAAAGGACTGTATACTGGCTTCAGTACGGGCCTTACATCGAAGCAATATCTATGTCAACCATCGCGCAAGAGACGAGCAAAGATAGAGTTTTGCGGAAGCTAAAAAAATACATTGTCAAAGGACAGATTCCTGAGCACAAATCGAGCTTTAACGAGTACCGGAAATTCCAGGATCAGCTAACACTCGTTGATGGACTCATTATGAAGCAAGACAAGATAGTGTTGCCAGAGACACTCTGGGAAAAAGCCATTGAAAAAGCACATCAAGGAGGCCACCCAGGGATTAATATTCTCAAGCGACGAATTCGCAGCCATTTCTGGATTCCAGGCTTAAACAAGCTTGCAGAAAACAAGGTAAAAAATTGTGAAATGTGCCAACAATTCACTAATAAGACAACCAAACAGCCACTGAAGTCAATCATTCCATCCAGATCAGCATGGGAAGAAGTCAGCATAGACCTTTTTGGTCCTATGCCAGATCACAAACATGTGGTGGTAATACAAGACATGAAGACGCGATTCCCAAATGCAAAAATTGTGAATTCCACAGCAGCACGTCATGTCATACCAGCTATAGAGGAAACATACACCTACTATGGGCAACCTAACACACATAGAACGGACAATGGACCACCATTCAACTCCAGAGAGTTCAAGGAATTTTCAGATAGACGTGGCATTACTCATCAGACATCCTACCCTTATCACCCTCAAGCTAACCCGGTGGAAACACTGATGAAACCTCTCGGTAAAGCAATGAAAATCGCACATGCTGAGGGCAGGGACAAGACCAAAGCCCTAAACAACTTTCTGACAGGATTTCGATCTACCCCTCACATTGCCACGGGGCAATCACCAGGAAACCTTATGTTCAGAGGTGGCTACCAACAAGATTTTCCCCGCAAAGTACTCACTCCACAAGAAGTTCAAGATGCGGAATCTCTGGACATACAGCAGAAATTGGAGCGTCAAAGTTCCATCAACAGCTCTATCAAAAGAGCACCTTCACAGTTCAGATATGGCGATATGGTACTGATGCGAAACAATAACGCTAAGAAATTCGACCCAATCTTCGGTCCAGATGTTCTCAAAGTCATCAACATTGGCTGTAATGGACTGGCACTAGAGCGTCAGTCTGATGGCAAAAGATTTCGAAGACATTTCGACGATGTGAAGCCATATTTCTCCGCACCACAACGTTCACGACTTTCTGCCCAAAACCAGACACAACCTCCTAGCTGGTGGCAATGGGATGATATGGCTCAGACTGACAGCAATCCCATTTCATTGGATACCCAATACCCAGAATACCAGGTGGATCACAGGCCACAGTCACACCCTGCGGTGCCACGAGCACTGAGTCGCTTAGCTGACTTCAACAATCCAGGGTACACAGAAATGTATGACTATTGAAACGAGTATAAAAGAGGGGAGTAGTGATATGTCCCAAAAGATTCACTATCACCCTAAAATACAGTGTGACTCAGTGTACTGTAAAGTGCTTTATTGTGCTAATATTGTGTACAGTGTTTTAATATTATTTTATATGTACAGTAACACATAATTTCATTTCAATCTTCTTTTCCAACATGTATCCTTTCAGTAACACAACATTATGGCACTTGTGCCATGCCTTGACCTTTGCACCCCTCCACCTGTACATGGCAATGAGCTTCCTGTCTGCCGGTACTCTGGTACTAGACTAGTCTTGTGCACTGAACAATCTGCTTTAACTATTAACCTGTAAATTACAGATAAAACAGTAGTTTACTGCAGTTAGGATTATATTCTTTGTTACTGATAATAAAAGCTCAGTTCTACATCTGTTGGTCTGTTCTTAGTCAAGCCAGGCTATCTGTCAGGAAGCAATCAAGCAAGCACAGCCCTGAACTTATTAATACCTCAATGCTAAGAAAGAAAGAAAACTGGCCATTTCATTGGACTGCTTGATGAATCTGCTCCAGTGTGTTGTTTAATGATTTTTTCAATCTCCTTGTTGCGAATCGGTCGATTGTTGACATAAATGAAACAACGATCATTTGATTTTCTGTAATGTCTTGTTACTGGAAATAAGACGAAAATTAATCTAATGTAACATATGGGACGAAAATTAATCTAATGTGACATATGGTGCAATGCGGGTATGCTTGAGTAATATAACTCAGCAATTAGAAAGCTAGTAAGGACAAGAAAATGTATTTCATCACTCGCAAATTTCGCCCTAATCTGAGATGCTTTTTGAAAATTCAGATGTCAGATTGTCTTTTTCTTTGTAAGATTGAACAATCACATTATTCAAGAAACAAAAATGCTTTAAGCACCAAGTCCTTGAAACTTTTCTATGATAATCTTTATTCAATTTTCATGATCTAATTTTAAACTTGAAATATAATTGTGTGACTCTATTGGAACTGACCTGATGAGGTAGGAATATAAGCTGTAAGTTGAATGTTATTTAATTCATTATTATGATCCACTCTGGTCATTTGTGCAACAACATTTGAACCAATAACATTTTCCAAAGTACTTTGTAGATCTTTACAATTCGGTTTTTGCCAAACCATGCACTAGAAAAATATGAACTTTAGTTTCAATGATAAAATTCCAAAATTACTGTACAGTATATCATTATTATCTAAGGGGCAAAAATGTTTATACTTCGACCTGATCGCATAATTGAGCAGGCTTACATATAAAAAGCTGACATTTTGAAGGATAAAGAAATGTGAAATGCCGATTTTTAATTTTGTTGTGGCAAATAAATATTTCAGAAATTTGAATTATCCAATGAATATTGGCATTAGTGACACAAAATAATATATCAATAATCAATAAATTTAGAAATAAATTGAGTCAGATTCATAATATTAGACTCCCACAGAGTTGGAAGTCAAAGTGACATTCTAGAGGTGAATTTTTTTTTTATTCACTCGTTTTGATTTGTAATTGATTTTCCTTTGTGATTGAAAAATCATTGAGGCAAGGTTTCTTCATCAAAATTTTCTTCAACCTGGCTTGAACTTCAAATGGCTCAGATTTTGGGAGGATATTAATTTTCTATCACTTCCAGTAGCCATGCCTAAAATTACTCACTCCTTCCTATAGGCTTCCCACCTTATTATGCATGAAACTAAATCGCTTTTGAGGATGTATTAAGCAAATGACATTAAAATATCTTCAGTATTCTTCAATATTTGCTTCCTTTTACTCGGTGTTTGATAAACTTGACATCTCACTGGCATATTTGCAAACAGATTGTTGGCTGTGATGGCTGTTCCCTTAATGTGAAATCTGGTTAAATAGTGATATTGGATTTCACTTGCAGTTAACATAATCGAGAGATCATTATAATTCAACCGGTCGGTACTCCCGTAGTGTGTGTACCAGGTTAGGGTTAGGCTATAATTTTAATCTGATTTTCCTTATTTTAGTTCTATTACGAGTTCGGGATTTTTTGTGTTAGCCAAGTGAATATACCCCCTGCCCATAGGTTTCAGTGTTTCAGTCCCCTTTACACAACTTGTTGTAAAATAGACGAACAAAATTAGTACTATATTGGTACACACCCTTCTGGAGCGCTAACCGTTCTATAATCCAGTGAGAAAATTTCTTGCTAACAGGTTGGGTATCAGTAGAAATAAGATTTTGTTTATACAGGTACTACTAAAAGATTATCAGAAGATTATTGGATCGATAGCACCCCAATTAATTATGAAAATGTTTTATATATCAGCAATGCATGCAAGAGCATTGAAGGAAATTGCAACCCCTTCTGGACATTAATATTATTAATAGGACGATAGGTTCTTAAATTTGGCATGTTTATATTGATGTTGCAATCACGGCTGGACTGGTATTTTGAGCCAAAAAAGAATTTTTGATTCTTTGAACGTCGGAATTTCTTACTTCTTATGGTGGTAATCAAAGTAAAATGCTCTGAACAGACGATTGAAAAAGACTTGCAAACAAAAAAAATTTTTAGACAAAATTTGATTTTCACAGATTTTGGGCGCTGGAGTAGAAATTTCCATCAACCTGTAACATGTGTCAAACTTGTAGTCAACCAAGACTCAAGAGTCTTGCTCTTTTTTTAAGCGGCCCAGAGTTTAGAGAATACATCAAACTTGACCCAGCTTGGCATCATTAGTGTTAAAGTTTTGCATAAAACTTACAACTCCACATTCCTGAATGGATGGCCAACTTAGCCAACCTAGAAATATTCTAGTATCTTACCTGTACAAGATGGCATGGTTTACTTGCTGTTATGCATCCTTTATGATTGAGAGAATATTTTGTACTGTAAGAATCATCCTTTGTACGAGTTGTAATAAAAACCTAGGATACAAAATAACAAAAACACAAATAAAAACCAAATAGAGTTTGCCAGTTGCTTGTACATATCTAATCCAAATACCTGCAAATGGGTTGCTCCAAAATTAGACAGAGTGAATTATTTTCAAATATTACATTCATACAGATAGATTACGGTATGCATTTAAATCATTATATATTCTAAATATTACTCCGTCGTATACTTGAATTTCAAATTAATCGACATAGTATCTAAAATAGGATTGGATTTTATCTAAATTTTTCGGCTTTGTCACTAACTAGCTCTAATATAATTTTCTTTGTAGATGTGTGAATTAAATTTTGCATTTAGCACAGACGTGTCCAATTCGTTAGAGAAACTTCCAAATTATAATTCATGACTTTACTCATAGCATACAAATGAACTGCTTTAAATCTCCAGTCAATTGCCATTTGCTAGTGATAATGCATTATTTTAAATTTACATAGTTTCAGAAGTACTTGCATTTTAGAAGTACTTGCATTTACTTAGCATTTTAGTGATTACTCGTAACGAGCAAAATTTCAATACCTCTGCAACATCACAAAGTGAACTCAAAGCTTCTCCTCTGAATCCATAACTTTCAAGATGATTTAAATCTTCCTTGCATGATATTTTTGAAGTATAATGTCTTTGTGCTACATATTCTACGTCTGATTGTTTAATGCCTGAAAATATATTAATAAATACCTTCGTAAATTAGTGTTTAACATTGGTCTTATAACTTGTTTGTTGCAGGTGCAATATGATTCTTATGTAAACATATATACTAATACCATATTCATTAATATTTATGAATAAGCATGTATACAGAAATTTGGTTAAGCATATGTTGTAAGTTTGAATCTTTCAAGAGACCATCAGATTGTTTGCCATTGATGTTAATGAATCTATGAAGTAAGCAAAAAACACATACCATATCCATTATCTCGAACTTCAATTTTTGATAATCCATAATTTTCAAATTTTACTTCAACTGAAGTAGCACCAGCATCAAGTGAGTTTTCTATAAGTTCTTTCACAACGTTTTCAACTTTTGTTATCACCTGTTGAAACAAATTTTTTTTCATCCAATATAACAGATCTTTTCTCATAAACTAATGTAATACGTAGTTCAGCATTAGAATATAAACTTCAATCAAACCTAACATAAATCAACTTTACTCAATATACGGTCGCACGTACTGACTCAGAAGTGAAGAAAACTCATTGCTGAGTAACAATATGGGCACTTGTTGGAATTCCAAGAGCTATAATGATATATATTTATGGCAATGCTTTGTTGTATCATTTGAAGAACTCTTATACATACTGGTACTTATAAGTGATCGTTTATATGGAGCCTTGTCAGGACTGGAAATAAAAATTTATCACGAATGTCCAAGTTGAAAATTTCTCATTGTCAACCGGATACTAACAATTCATTATTTTTATCAAATTTACCTGCAAGCTGCTGATAATTCTCGCTGTATCAGATGACAATTTATTCATGATTCAGATTGATAATATACATAAGGAAATTACATTCTGTAGAAACAAGTACAAGAATTTTTCAATTGCCTAAATGTACTTCAACAATGATTCTGCAGCGATTCATGATCTGTATTAAGATACAATACATCAAGAGCAGCAAATTTTTCCTAATTTAAATCCAGAAAACTTTTTTAAATATTCAAAAATAGTGAAAAAATTTGATTTCTGCCAATATTTATTGAATTTGATTTAAGAAGTACTCCGTTTAATTGTGCTGCTGAATGGTAGGTTGAGCTTTGAAATACTTCAATTGACTTACGAAACTGTCATACAATTCATTCTATTTATCAAAAAACTATTTAGGTAAAACATCAATAAGTCTCTTTTTAATTCCAGGCAAAAGTTTTAAATGTTCTTCTGCACATTTATATAGACAAGATTCAAATTTTTCTTTGGCAGCCGTTTCTCCTAACGCAGATACCTGGTCTTGCGCAACATCTTGGCAAGCCATCATACAGCGCTGTATCCTGTTCTGAAATCTTTCAAGTTCTTGTTTAACATTGTTTTGCATTTCTGCTAGTGGTCGTTGACAGGTTTCAATGCACCTTTGTACCTCTTCTGCACTTGCAGATGTGTTGTCACAACAATTTGCTCCGCAAAGATACGCCTTTTTCTGATATTTTCTGACGTAGTCCCTCTCTATGTCACGCTGCATTTGACTTGCTCCTTTGTCAATTTCTGATAATTTATTTTGTACCTTTTGATCCATGTTGGTGTTATAATAAATAAATTCACTAGAAGAAGCACAAAATGAATGTTAATAAAAATTGAATTATGACATGTGATCAGGGATAGCGGGATCGGATAATAAACAATTCTGAATATATTCTGAAAATTGTATTTTATAATATATTATAAAATGGTTTAGGTTCATCAAAGGTTGTGAAATCAATGTACCTATATCAGTGAGTGTGAAAGCAGAAAATGCAGAATATTTTGAAATCGGGAATTTTAATATAAAAATATTTGGTTGATTTTTTCCAATGGATTCAAACATTTAATTCCTCTTGTACATTCATGCGTATGATACCAGCCCAGAAATGAGAATATGGTATTTTTGCAAAACCCCAAAGAAAATCACATAATCGAAGCCGTGGACAACACCTTTCCCATAAAAAAATAAAATGGAGGGAGAATGTACTTATATTACAGTATATAATTAACAAGATAATGAAAAAATACATTCACAAAAATGTGATAATAAAAACAAATGAAGGACTTTTTTCCTCTTTCTATACTTAAATTTCACTGAATAAGCAAGTTTGTTTCCCATTTCCTAGCCAAGTGAGATGAAACACGCAAAAGAAAATAATTGCTAAAAAAATGAAAATACACAAAAATGAAAGAAGTTGAAATCAAGAAATATAAACAAAATCAAATAACACAATAATTCAGAGATAATCGTAAATCTAATTTTAAAGTAATTATGTTACCTTATCAAAAAGATGTTGAAAGTTCATACTCACTACATAAGTGAAAATTACTCAAATCGATGTTTCAAACTATGCATAATTTTGATTTGATTCAAAACCCCTTCGACTTACTCTTAAACAGGGACATTCTGAAGAGAGAATTTTTTCATAATTCATTTTTAATTTTTTTCAAATATTCTTCATATTGGGATTCACTCAAAAGATTATTAGTCAAACGTTCTCTTTCTTGTAACTTTATCATGACGACAGCAATATAGCCATTCGTTTCAGGTTTTTCTTTCAAAAGTTCAGGATATTTCAGCAAGTTTTCATTAACTTCGATTAAATTACCACGAATCCCACTGTGCACTGTATATTTTTCTCCATCACTTAAAGTTACAATACATAGAGGACTTTCTGGATTTAACCATTGTGCTCCTCGTTTACGTTTTCCAGAAACTTTATTATTTGATCGATCACATTTCAATGTGACCTTGAAACTAACTTCTGATATAGTTTTGTCGGGTGAAAATGCAGGATGACTAGGAGCGAGCGTTACGAGGCATATTTTATTCGAATGCCATAGTATTCTCACATCATTTTGGGTAGTTTTAAAGTCTTCATAGTTTAAAGTCCCACTCGGTAAATTAACTTTGTAAAGTCGTGTAAAATATCGATCAACAACAGATGGGAATGGTGATTCCTCCAGATCAGAATCATTTTGAACTTTATTAATAGCAATCACAGTATCTTCTCTTTTATCTTCTTTATCATTAGCAAAAGGTATCATACAATCATTTTTATCTGAAGAAAGATTATTCTTATCAGTTTTTATTTCAAGCTCAGTATCGACCACACCCATATTTTGCCCATCATGGTTTTTTTTACTAACCTTCCCCTGAGAAGGAGATGCGCATTCACTCATTTCATTTTTGTTCTCAAGAATCTGAACATTTTTTTCTACTTTGCTGGCATTTTCTGATACTTCTGTAGTATCCATGACAAATTTATTCAAAGTTTTCAATGTACAGATGTAAAATACCGTGAGCTCCAATTAAATTTGACGTTAAAAAACGGTCTGTCAGCTCGTTCAGTCGTTAGATATCCCGATATCGTGCAACTTCTATCACTTTTCCTCTTTGAGATCTTTGTATCCAAGACTTTCCAGTGGCTCTTTTTTCATTAAATTTTTCTCCATACGACAATTGAGATAATCTTTAGCTTCTATTCGACAGGCGCTATTGTCTTGTTTATTCCGTTTTAAACAGTTTAGAAACTGGTCTTTAAAAATCACACATTCGCCGAAATGATCAAGTGGAAACGCGCCTTTCATAGGCGGCACGGGCTTGAAAGTTTGTTGGAAAGGGCCCGCTGACATGACAACTTCCGATACGGAATCGCGGAAATTATTTTCCACAGTAAGCTAAAGAACAACAGCGACTAAGGAATGTGACCTAGAAAAAATGGACAAAAACTCCAATTGAAAAGAGTGTACGATCTTGGCGACGACCGCGCACATGTTCTACTCATTCATGCGCGACGGTCAAAATAACTTTTATAGATTACAGTGGGGAGAGGATTGAAGCAGATGAAGTATGATATGATTCTGAATTTATTTTTTTTTATTTTTTTGGAAGATGGAAAAGACGATTAGGCACTTAAATTGAATGACCATTCACAGCTTCTCCTCCGGTTGCCAGTCCAGATCGAATATAGAAATAGCCAATTTCCAGCTTGTTTAATTCGTTCACTACTATTACTTCAGACCATAGACTCTACGTTACGCGAACAAGCCTATGACTGCGAAAAGTCACCCAATCTTGTTGCACATCTTACTAATTTTTCACCGGATTCGTATTCATTGGGCAATCATTGTGATGAAAGGCATATTCCCGAAGCTTGAAATGACGCGTCAACATTGCCGATAGCACCATTAAGCTGCAGTCATAACGCAGCATTGTTGTAAGTTAATACCACTTATAAAATAACAATATTACCTAGTTTTACCGAATAATCAATATCACCAGAAGGGTCCACGACAAAGAAAATATGGGAACCGCTGTTTCAGACGTTAATCACGGGTCTCTCACGTTTTTTTATTGGTGTTCACGTCAGACAGGCTAACGGTTTGTCAACATTCCTCGTACATACCTACCGTACTCCTTATCGGTCGGGGACCAGAAAATCCACGGGCGGTATTTGCAATAAATACTAGCTTCCAACAATTATCACGGTCCGCTAGCTGCTGCATGCTGCAAAAATAATTTCAAGAATTTCTCAATTCACAAGGAAAGATCTATACCCGTCATATTTTACTCTGTACCGTCTGTGTGCAGTAACAAGACAGAATCCACATATATACCTATTCAACAGACTCTTACATATTTCGAAACCTATACTGCTCTATGGCATACAAAAACATTTTTATTTTTTATTAAAATGACCAACGTACAAAAATAATTACATATTGGCACACCCGAAATGATTTCATTGAGAAATAAAAGACAATGTACGAATGAACAGCATCATGATATTATGGTAAAGCAATAGACATGAGAAATAATAGATATGTAATCAGGTAAAAATGTTTGGCAAACTTTTCAGATGTAAAATCGCTTTGCTGAGAGAAATTTACGGTATACAATCACAATAATTTTTTACAATTGTCAGATCATCCTTTGGCTTCATTTCGATATTACCTGAAGGTAGAAACACCCTTCCATAATAATGACTGTTACCGTTAGTATATCAAAAAAGGAATATTGTTACTTATAACGATTCTCTTCCCATAATTTGAATTCAAAATATTTCAAACTGTTTCTTCATGTGAATCACAGACGCCGAATTCACAGTTAAATGATTTAAAATAAAAATACAAAACTTGAATTGAAAACTGAATTCTTCCAACATCATCTCACCACTACTCTGGAAAAGCACCAATGAATTAGCACTGATGAAAAAGTGACAAAATGGCAGTGTACAAGAAGAGTGAAACGTGTTAGTGGAACATTATTATTATTCAAAAAAGTTTGATTCTGTTACTAAAAGTTCAAAACGAAAGTAAATTAGAAAAAAAAAAAATACAAGAGTGTATCATCCGCTTGTGTCATGAGCAGACAATGACTTTGTCGGCAATTGGCATGCAATAAATTGGTGAAATTTCGCGTTCTTACATAACCATACTGTACAACTACATCCCACTGCATTTCATCTGAGCCCTGAAATCTTTTCACATTTCACAGGGTCAGTGGCTTGAAATCCCCTACCAGTTGAAGATTCTCAAATACACAAATTAAGGTTATTTATTGCCAATCTAGCCATAATAAAAACACTGTTAGCTTAAACCTGCTTTTTTGTGCATGCGGATACAAATTCGAGTTCAACAAAGTCAAAGCTCAGGATCTCCAACCAGTAAAAGATTTCTAAAAATATAGAATAAGGTAGGTTAATGCTAAATTAGCCAAATTAAAAAAGTTCATCGCTTGCGATCAACAAATGGAATGCAAATATCAAAATGAAAAGTCAAATTGCTTGGGTTTGGGTTCAGATGAAAACATTTCTCCAATTACACAGAACTGCAGTTACCCTGACATAGTATTTTGCTCAGGATTAGAACCAACAGTAATCAGTCACCTTCATGTGAACAAGATAAATTCAATCCTTATGTACTACTGTAGCAATAATCATTTTTTATCAAAGTGAGGTGGGTTGTGCAACTTTGGTGTATCAGGTTCAGCAGCTGAGGTCCCTGCAAAATGCTTTTCCTTCAAATGTAAAGCATCTCCGTCACCATTACTTGAGTTGCTTTCCCCAGAAGTATCAGACGGAAGATGTCGCTTCCCCGTTCTTCTTTCTTCCGATATGCAAGCAGATTTCGTGCTGCTGGAACTAACTTCTTTTTCCTGTACAGCAATGCTGATTCCGTCAGTACCAATCAGCTCATTGTCTTTCTGGATTTTATTTATTAAACTATGATTTGCTGAAGGACTGTTGATAATTGTACTAGACATCAAAGCATGTGCTTTTTTCCGCATAACATCATCCTTGATAAAAAAAAATTTTATTCACATGAAAAATTTGATGAATTAAATATCACGCTCTTGATTAACACACATTTTGCGAATAGCCTATTACGACATATCAATTTAATATGTAGACTTTCATCTTAATCATTCTATATTGGGTTCTCAAGGCTCGAGTAAAATACATCATATCTAATAAGGCTGAGAATGGTTAATTGGTTAACAGATTAAAAGATAACCCACCTTCAACCATACATGATCCAGACCTTGTTTTGGCGTCAATCTCTTTTTCGCATCAATTGTTAGGAGACCTTTTATCATAGAAATTGCTGCAAAATAAAATAACATTCAAAAAAGATTAAGAAGCAAAATCTATAAATTTCAATAAAATGCTGATAATAAAAATTAACGAAACATTTCTAAAAAGAGAGAGCAATGTCACCAAAGTACCATTCTTTGTGAGTGTCTAGCAAATGAAAAACCTTATAAAGTAAGGTGTTTGAGATATAAGTAGTTAGTAATTTTACCATTATCTGATACGCTTTTCCATCTATCATTATCAAAATTATAATATGCAGTTGTTATCTGCTGCAGAAGTCCTTGCTTTGTATCTTGGCGATCTCTTGAAAATGGAGGATAAGCAACCAAACTGAAAGAGAAAATAAAGATCTCTACTTACAAAATAGATAAATGAAGCTCGCAGGTAAATTACAGTATTATGGATGAGAAACAAAGTGGGTCAGTCTTCGAATCTACCCTTACTGACTGTCAGGTCTTTGATCAGGATTCGGGACTCCGTCACTTTTCGCACCACCACGCTTTTTCTGTCGTATCATTCAGATATCTGATCGACAATTACCAAAATTGGGTGATAAGCAAGTACTTGTGGTTGTTTGTACAATATTTCGAAGAGGTCAAGAAGTAAAGAGTGCATGAAATTCATAGAAGAGGTAACATTTTTAACTACCAATGTAAACCTTTAAAACTACAGAAATTACAAAAATATACATGACCAAGAGCCCAATCAATTAAAAATGCCAAACATTCGAAATTTCTGATGAACGAAATATTAAGCTATATTTGCAAGCTAAGATATATACCTATATATTGGTTTTCAATTTAGCCAGTTTGGCTCTTCAAGTTGAATAAATATAAAAATCCATACCAGACATATAGAATTACACCAAGACTCCAACTATCGACTTGTCTAGTATATCCTTCATTAGTAGAACTTCTGAATGATTTAACTAATTCTGGAGCAAGATAGGAAGGAGTACCAGCCTGTGTTTTCATCATGGAAGCTTCACCCACGAGCCTTGAAACACCAAAATCTGTAATCTGAATGTATGGAATAAAATAAATGGAACAGAGTTTGCAACGAAATATTGGCTTATCAATTATTTCAACTAAAAAAAATGAGACTATGCTGTGGACCTTGAGTTCAAAACCCATCCCCTACCAATAAATTGGGTATGCAATGCAAACAAGAATAAGGTACTCACAAAAATAGTTCCTCATAACACATCTGTGGTTGCTCAAGTGTAAACACCTCATACGAAACACCAAAAGAAACAAAAATCCAATCCTGATTCTCACCTTTATTCAGACATTCTTCATCATCAGACATCATTAATATATTCTCAGGTTTCAAATCTCTATGTGTTACATTGTTATCATGTAAATAAGATACAGCGGATAACATTTGAAAAAATAATAATTTTGCAACTGGTTCATCAAAACCTTTCCCTCTTTCAATAATTCTAGTAAAGAGCTCTCCTCCACAGGCTCTGAAATATTAATCAAAACAGATATGGTTCATATTATACATTACGACTTCAACCAAATAGCAGACTATCCAATGATTTTAAAATACAGCGAAGCACAATGATAACTCCATGTTAGCTTGTTGTGCTCACACAAAAACAGATAATAATGGAATCACAATTAAGTTTCTCCCAGCGAATTATGTAATTTAAACTGTTCTAGTTATGTTACCGTAACTATAAACATGAAAACAAAACCTTTTACCCCCCAAAAAATAAGGTAGTTTCACTAAACTATTTGATAAAAAATAGCTAAAGATGTTTGCAGCCATGGAGTGCCAAAATTTAACAACTATTCTGAACACATTCCAAAATAACATTTCCAAATATAGAATATCTTTTGATTGGGTCACGTTTAACGGAATTTGCTAAAATCATTGTAAATGAATATGGTAATGCAGAATAATGAAAGTTACCAAGCATTGTTTCGAAAAATAATTTGGGCAGAGGCATATAGCTAATCTTTTTTACATATTTGCACTTCAGGAAAATCAATTCAAGACTTACAGTTCAAGTACGATGTATAGATTTTGAGGAGAATCAATGACGTCATCCACTCTTATAATACACGGATGGCGTAGGGCAAGAAGTAGTCTGGCTTCTTTCAGTACATCTTCATTGATCTAATAAAAAAGAGAAGAATTTTTTCACACGACACTTATTCATGCCTTCTGCCTCGAACAAGGCCATATACAAGCACCACTGATATCTGATGACATGCGAGCTACTATTTTTACAAGAACTATAATCATTCAAGTTCGGCATTGCCTACCCAGTTAATTACACCAGCCCAAGTGATGACGATGGGATTTGAACCTGAGATGCGTGAATTGTGAACCAGGGAAATTATTAATCCTGCCTCCTTGAAGGATGAAGAACCACATTTTAAAGTTTGAAGTGCTATATTATGTCATCCAGGCCATTCATTCACTAAATTGTGAAGAATATTTACATACTTTGCCTGGATCTCTTCCATGAAATACAGTTTTTTGTTTGTTTATTATTTTTACTGCATGTCTTCCATAACCACCAAATTTTTGCATAGCTTCTCTTACTTCACCAAAGGCACCACTGAAAACAAGAAGAAATAAGATTTTTATTACGCAATGACATTTCAGGATATGGTGTTTCACAAGAAAGCTAACCAGGTCAAAGGTTAATCAAATGGCAAACCATGTTCTCTCACCCAGGTATCAGTCCATATTGGGTATGGGAATAGTTCACCAGTTATTCAGTTCAGATGTATCGATTTGGTGATGGAGGAAGCCAAATCCAAACAAAGCTTATGTTTGCCATTTAAAGACAAGGTTATGGCTACAATTTGAGTACAATTTTCAGAGGTGTAGATTTGCAGTTAAAAGCAAAAATTTGGATTTTTTTAATATATATATAACTGTGTCTACCGTAATTAACAATAGGTGGACAAAATAGCAACCGATAAATATATTGACAACTATTCCTGAAAGTTTAGAGAAAAGTTGATGAAAAATGTTCATACTTGCCAATAACTTTCTGCATGATATATTTCTCTTTAAATTTTTGAGGAAGATTGGGATCTTCTTCTTTGCTTTTATCAAAGAATAACAAAACTGAAAAAAATAAAGATTTATATCATAACCGGTAAACATGGCGTCAAAACTGACAATGTAGGTCCCAATAAAGAGCTTATATGCTTTATCCAATTCGCCTTTAGCAATTCCTATGTCACTTACAATTTTTCTGTCACTACTCACTACTATTTCAACTTATAGTTTGAAGGATCTGAAACTTGCTTAGAGCAAACTGGATATATTTTATAACAAACAGGACAGAATTTTCAATAAATTGAATATTATATATGTTTTGAATCACATACTACTGTTTGTCAATGGCATCTGTTGGTAAAATTCAGTGTTTCTAAAAAAAAATTTTCTTTTCAGTTTTGTCCTGATTTGTATTACAAGAAGTACATTGTTTTGAATTTGAAACGTTAGTGAACTTCTGACTTAGAACATTGACCACGATCCCCAAGATAATTGCTCAATTATCAGATTTAAAGAAATAACTTTGTATTAATAAATCAACACAAAAAAGCGTTACATAATTTAAAGAATTTTTAGATCATAGATATTATTATTTATCGGAATCATTAATTATGATATTATTCTATTAGTTTTAAAAAAAACTGCTATATAAATTATACTTTGGAGTATAATATTATACTTATTATACTTCTATTATAAACTATTTATAACATTCTAATATAAAACAATGATGAAGATAACCACTTAAGAGACACAGCCTTGCATGAATCGTACTTGATAGGGATGCCACTTTTGGATTTACGAATCGGATCGATTCGAATCGCATCTTTTCCGAATCGATTCGAATCAGATTTACGCGATTCGGAAAAAGAGAGCGATTTCCTGAAAAAAAAAATGAACGTTTGTTAATCGTTGCTTTCGGCGACGTTAAAACTGCCTAATGCGTTTATGCGGCAGTCCAAATAACATCAAATTACGGGACGGAAATAATGAAAATGAAATTTTCGTGATTGACTTTATTACTTATCTGCCGTCATTTGTTTCAAGTTCGGCACAACACACTCTTTTACGCATCACTCGAGATGATGTGTGGCATAATTTCCATCAAACTGCGAGTTCAGTTTTCCACTAAATAGCCCAAGTTTCTATTATGCGCAAATTTAAATAGATCGTATACCTAAAATTTCGTGACAATTTTGATGAAAATTTTCAACAGCACACCTGCTCTGCGACCAAATTATTGTACGCCCTGGCATGATTGGATAAAGAATCAGTTACCGACGTCTAGATAATACTTAATTTTGATTCAAATTTAATTCAAACTTTGTTCTGAGTGAAATATCTCGCGTACATTTGAAGAGAACTATAACTGAATGAGTTCACCGGCCGGCAATGTTAATTGACAATCATGTTTCTCATCCTAAAATATATATATTTTTTTTGCGTTTGTCAGGCCTTCCACTCGCGTGGCGGGCGGTAAACAAAATGAGAGGAACATAACATACGTTTCTTTGTCCAGCTGTTACATTAAGAGAAATGTAATCTTTTCTTTTAATTTTGTTAGCGCGATACAAGCGGGAATAAAACATTTCGGATTATTTCTAGCAAATGTCATAACGGACAGGTTGGGTGTAAATAATACTTGAGGAATGGCAACTTGGGCACTGTTTTACATCAACACGTGCCAGAAACCAAGCATACTGTGCAAATGTCGTCTTGCATTAGCCCCAGCGACTATGTTTGATCGAGAAAAAGCGCCGACCAATTATCGCTCGTCAGCACGGCGTCCATTATGCACACTCGGACTTTCTGAATTACAAAATTAAACGTAATCCACGATACTAATGAAGCCCGAGATAGCCAATAACGCTGTTAGCCAACAAATAATATTGTCTCAAATATTTATAGAAATTTTTGTTTGCAATCGTAGTCGGGTGAACGATTGTTTTTCTCGAAATTAATGTAATTTAATCGTGGTTAATTTTATCGTCTTCAATCATATTCTTGCAAGCATTTCCCATTTATAGTAATTGAGATGCAATTAGAATGTTTTTTGTCCTATTACCCTATGCTGCTAGCATAAATATAAAATATTGTACTAAAATTTTAAAGATAAAGAATCGGTATTAACGCCGGCCCTAGTTCAATATAACAAGAAGTGAATGGTGTGAGACTAGGGAAAGCAGTGCTGTTACTGTGTTTATGACATAACAGTACAACTGTTCCCTGCTTATTTTCTCATATGAATTCCATCAAATTGCCTCAGTCCTGATACAAGTATAATACAATAATAACTCAGTATTATAAGACTCACAGATAATTAGTTGCAACTGCAAGTTTTTCATCAATGCATTTATTGGTGATATCTATGACCTACATCTTTTTTATCATGATGGAAATAAGTGTGGCTTTTTCACTGAAAAACCCTTATCATCCTTGCTATATAGCGTATTCCATTTTCAAGTTTTTCTCTTCCAGATTTGAGCTTTTTTGTGACTTTGAGCAAACATACGCATGCAATAAAAAAAAGCTTAATGGAATCAGATTCGGAAAGATTCGATTCGAAAACTTTTGATTCGAGATTCGATTCGAAAAAAAAATGTATCCAGAAGTGGCAACCCTAGTACTTGATAATATTTTACAACTAACCTCTATTTTTATCAGAACTAATTGATATTTCATCTTTATCACAGAGTGGTCTGGAACCTCTCTTGGGAATTTTTTCTCCGTTGATAAAAACTCCGTTCATGCTGGAGTCATCCAACATAACAGTGTACGTGCCTGTGTTACTTTTTGTCTGAAAAAAGTTGTTTAACAAAATAAAATCTAAAACTATTTTTCTGTCATTTATTTCAATCTTCTATAAAAGATCAAGTTGGAATCGTATAAAATCTAATATTAATATTATGCTTCATTCAGATGTACAAAATTTCCATTCATTCATTTTTGTGCTTTTTAAATAATTAGGTGGGACTGATTTTCATATTTATACTGTGAGAAAGGAAAGGGATAAGAAGGCAGTTTAATCTTATGATGAACCACGACCTTTTGCCTGGTTAAAATGTCAGGTAGAGTACATTTTTAATACATACCCAGTTTCATACTAATTCAAAAAATACCTCATTAATAATAAATTAAATACTAAACAGCATAGTCAACTTTACCAAAAAAAACAAAAACTTTGACACTTTTACAATAGGCCTGCTATTTAAACAAGTAGGCGATAAAATAAACTCGGACTTCTGACTAAAATAAAAAGTACTTACAAAAACCTACCCTTGTGATTGTGAAATGTTTTTTGCTATATGTGGTAAAATGTTGTGTCTGTTTTATTGAAGGAATATCAAATGTATAAGTACAATCCTGTCCTCGACCAAATGTATATATATCTTCCCGTAGGTCTGAAAATAAAATGGGGAAAGAAACATTATGAATAGGCTATAAGATAAGTATCACAAACTCTTAAAAGGTCTCTGCCATAGCAAAACAAGAGCACTAAATTTTCCTCTGGCCAGACTGTTTTTGACCTAGTCGTTTATACACTGATAACAGACTAACTGCCCATAACCCTTTAGTATCACTGATGTTTTATTATTAGAAAATTAGCCATGATGAATCAGTAATTACGATAGTATATTAGACCTAATCATGTTGGTATGGCAGATTGAAAATTTAGGGTTCAAACACCATGGCCATCAATATCATCACACCCAGGCATTAATAAATTAGGCTGACAGTGCCAAAACAAAAAGATTCCGGACTTTTCAAAGATTATAGATACGTCTTTATTGACAGCATTGGTTGCCATTGAAAGGTCAATATATATAGTTGATTTTTGATTTTATGTTCAGGATTAGTACGAAGAAGAAGTAAAATAGTTTACTAACCAAAAGGATAAAAGCATCTATCAATTGGATATAAAACACCCCATGGAGGCTCATCTACATCTGCACCTTCATCTGACACAGAGGCTGGTTCCTGTGTTGGCACTGTTTCAGCACTGAACAAGGAAATAAATTAGGGTTAATAATGTTTAAAAGGAATAAGCGACCAAGAAAATTCAACAAATCTCAATGAATAAAACAGACCTATTTTGATATGAAATTAAAAAAAATTTACTACATATCAATAAAAATTAAACTAAAGCGAGATATACCAGACTTTTGACTAGAATACCAAATATCAACAATTAACGTTAGCACAGTCTGAAATGGCAAAAACCAAATATTATAGTATTCTGAAAAAGTTCCTGAATAATAATTTTATATATGGAATAAATAGCCTATAGAATAATCTAAATAGGGTCATGTAGAACAGATAAAATGTAGAAGTTTATGTTTATTCAAAGAATTTTAAATTGATAATGCAGGAGAGTCATAACAAAAAATGATTAGATTTGTTCTTTATTTTCGAAATCAATTAAAGCTGTTTTTTGATTTTTTAATTACCTAAATTTTCCATTTTTTTTTAACATCCCTAGACATAGACATCATGATAACTAAGAATTAAGTCAAAGTAGCCATAAATACAACAATATATGAACTCTTTCTTATATCAGATTATGTGAAAACTCTCAATCAATATACTCCATTTTTAAATTTGTATGTTGTCAGACTAGGACAGGCAATACAGAAAAGAGTCCATCCACTCTCGTTAACAATGCGGAAGAAACAGAAATGGCTTAAAATTTAAAACAAATTTTAAGACACATCTTTATATTTTCATCCGCATTACTATACCACTTTTGTAACGCACTACCAGGAACAATAAAAGCTGGTTGAGCTGACTTAAAAGTGGATTAGGAGTACACATCCCGCATTCTAAGCATATCTATACTTATGAGTTACATATACTGATTAGGGTTTTCAAAAATATTCTTATGGCCTGTTTATAACAATTTGAACATATTGTAAATTCTTTTATATCTTGACATGGAAATAACAAAGTAAAAAAACCAAGCTTGAGTTGTTCAGATATATGAACACACAGATAGACTGGATAGTGTTGGAAGCAGTAGCTAAGAAACACCAGATTTTCAAAGACTTGGCACATGAATACTTGAAATATATAAAGAAAAATGAAAAATGTTAGACTTTTCTAGGGCCCTAAGGGTTGAGCTTGTCCTATTTCAATAGCATGATAAAAATAATAATGAAAGATAAATATAACATGTAGGCCTATATTCATCCGAGATGTCGAGTAGGAAAATTTATAATCAACTAAAGTGCCATTTAAAAAAAGAATTTAACGTGGGGTCTAAGTTGACAAAAATCCTAACCTTCAATCCCGGACGTTTATGAGATTATGATCCAGCTCAAAAAACCCAAAACCTTTGGTTAAAAGACCGTTAATAAGAACGCTTAGTAAACCTAATGCTTTCTGGGTTTCTGCGAGTATTTTGACTTTGTTCACTCTCATTGAAAGTCCAACTTTAGAGATTTTAGAATTTGAATATATGACTCCAGCTCCAGTGAAAACTTTCCATTTTCGACTTTGAATTCAAGCACTAATGAGAGAATTAAAACCTAAAAGTTGTTTTAGTCACCTGGAAACAGTATTTGCAGTTCCACTCGATGATGAAGTACCAGTTTGTCCACTGCTGCTACTACTTTGTTGATTCCCTTGAGTGCCGCTCACACCAGAACTTTGAGGCTTTTCTTCTTTCCCATTTTGACCAACATTTGAGTTCTGGTTTTCATTCATTTTTTTAATCCTTCTTTATAAAATTCACAGTGAAGAATATACATATATATGTTATCCAATCATATTCCAATCGTAAATTCATTTTTGATTATTTTAAACATGTGAATATAGAACAAAATAAAGTTAACAAATATACTGCCAAGATATATTGTGAGATAAATGAGCTGACAAGCAGTATAAAATGAAAGGCTGTGCGATGCGAACTGAACGGAAAGGGAACAATTTGAAAAATGAAAATGCAAAGTTTGCAATTTTGACACACACAAAATATACAGTAGTATTCAAATGGCTAATATGATGATTCAAACTCTGGTATAAGTGTGTACAAGAAGATTAATAGAGTGGTTTCAGTAACTGCTGGTAAATTACAGTCTCCTACCAGCAATAACTATTTACCTTGGTAAATGTTATCATTTGCAAATGGACTAGAATTGAAGGGTGTGGTTGACAACACGCCTATTTGTGCTTTACAAGTCTATTTTGTGCTTTCCTCTACTGGGGCTATATGTAATACTAAAAGGTACATATGAAAATTTGTGAATTAATATTTGCAAATTGACAATAATAGTAATTCATTACATTTTGTCGTTAAATGATTATTACAATATAATGCCTCTATGAGTATAAGTTAACACTGAAAGCAGGCACTGTTTGTAACATTAATTTTATGTGAATGCAAACGCAGAATAGTATTCGAAAGTTGATTGAAAGAATATTCAGAATAGCAGGAAACTAATGCAGAGAATAGAGACTATGTTTTAGAACATAATGTCAACATTGATGGTGATAATGTACAAAGTTTTAATCTAGTAGAAAGCTTTCAAGAGCCTTCCCATGAAAAATGGAATTGAGGGGAATTCTGGGTAGTAGCGAGAAAGGCTGGGAAACTTGAGCATGGAGCCATGAGTTTCGTTAAATCTGGAACTACCGGAAATTTTATTAGCTACAGCTCCTAACCAATTAATAATGTTTTTGAACTTTTAATTTTCGAACCAACTCCGCGGCCCTGGTAGCGAGATGAAAAAAAAGTCTTAGACCAAAAAAAAAATTCAAAACTGTTCCTCACTTTACAAAATGTTCATGAATATAATAAAAGAAAATAGAATGAAAATGGATGAAAGTAAGGAAATAGACATGACAAAGATAGGTAATAACACTCATAACAGGACATTGAAAGTAAATTTTTAACAGAGAAGTGGAACATATACAATAAAGAAAACCTCATAAATTAACAAGGTATTCAAATAAAATTTTTAATTAGTTTGCTAAAGATGAGTGCTTTTTTTGTTAGTCTAATTATATTCAATATTTAAAATGACTATAGCTACTACCCCAAAATTCATAGACAAAAATTTCTTGTAATCTGAAATAGTAGCCTACATAAAATTTACTTAAAAAATAATAAATGTCCTAGCAGCAAATTCTCATACTAAAGTTATAAATATGAACAATTTGTTCTGGCAAAAATTAGAGCTATTCATTTACGTCATCCCGTCATGAATATTAAAAGTTGACCAAAGTAATAAAGTAGTGAATTAAACAACCTTACTTAACTGCACATGCAATACTAATTCCAAAGAATAAACATACAACTATAAGTTAAAAATACACCAGATATAGAATTCTCAATCCCACTAAACAATGCTACCAAAAAAGCACAAAAAGTTACAAATGATTCCAATGTCAATTAATCCAAATATCAAATAACCAGAAAATTATAAAAAATGCTATTAAAGAATCACCGTCCAGAGGTCTAATTGAATAAACCAGTGTTTTGCAAACTGTTTGGTTAGGTGACACACTAAATTAAATAAAAAATAAATTTGCAAATATTTTAATCTAAAAGTTGTTGAAAAATTTCACAATACATAAATGAAATGTATCCCTGTATATGGGTTAAAGCACATGAAAATCCAGTAAATCAGAATCGTTAATAAGGCGAGAGCATCAAAAACGATATAATCTATTAAACTGTAAATATCTAGTGTGGAATAATGTTTCAAGGCTGATAGACAACATGCAATCATACTCAATTGAGGCACATATGAGTCGAGACTACAGTTTTAAAGTCACAGAAATTTACTATTTCAATAGCGTATTTTTTCATTATATTTCTTGGCCTGTTTATTCAATATATATTGGGAATTCACAAATGTGTTTTCTTAGTAGTTGAAGACTTATCAATATCTCCTGCATTAACTGCGAGTGAGTCCAATGATTGTTGAATCTCGCTGTTCACCATCATTAATTTTTCACACATATTATGCGAACTATTCTCAGGTCCGATTATAGCAAAAAACTTTTCCGAGCTTTTATCTTCTAGATGTTTGAAATAAATTTTGATAAGAATATCAGCTGCGGGTTCATCAATAACTCCGAACGCCTCAGGCTTCCAAAGTGTCCGAAGTAGAAATAACTGACGTATTGCCAGATGTACTTGTTCGCTAGAAATACTAGATTGAAGTACTTGTTCTGCTTCTTCCACTGTCATAGATTTTAAATCATGCAACATCTCTATGTCTGTTTTATCTCTATGTGCTTGAAAAGTTTTCTCCACAACTAGGATTTTCTTTTTTAGCATTCCGAGTTGTTCAGTAATATTTTTCGTTTCGACGGTACTCAGTGATACCAAGTTTATCAGCTTGTTGAAGCTTTTCAAAAGTAGCAAAAGCTGAAAGTGAAGTTTGTATAACATTCTACAGAGTTCCAATTGTTTGTATTCAATCCCCTGAGATTTTGTATTTATCTGTTTTGTGTTACCATTTTCAAGACTTTTTATCAAGTCCATACACTCTGATGCAGCTTTTTGTTTTGCGTTGTAGGAATCTAAATGATCCTGTAATTCTGAAACACCAAATTTCATTTGTTCGACGACTGGTTCAATAGCGCTTTTTGTAGCGAGACAAATTGGGCATTTTATTTGTGAGGGCAGTTGCTCGACCATGGAACTAAAATGCTCTGCAATTCTGGATAATTGCCCACCTAGATGTTTACAACCATCTTTACTTAAATTACTGAAATCAATACATAATACTTTAAAAAGCATAGGAAAGAGATCAAAAGTTTTTGAAATAAATGCAGAGTCGTTATATGTTGCCATAGAAGCGATGTGAAGTTTCCATGTTGTATATGTCGTGTCATGGTAAGCGGTTCCATCCTTTACTTTAAAACTAGTAGAAACCTCATTCGGAAGTTGTAAAGTTTTGACGGGAGAATCTGTTAGCTGCGATAAGAAATGAGAAGGTGAATCAAAACGAATTGCAGTCAAGTTTGAAGTGATGTCGCTAGTAGGTGGTGGTTCCACAATTGGAATATCTATCTGAACAAGAGTGTCATCAGAATGAGGCAAGGATTGTAGAGACAAGGATGAAATGGTTGGAGGTGGTGGTGTGCCTAAATTAGTCAAACTTGAAATTAAAGTATCAGTTTTATCCATTTCTAATTGAAGTTCTTCAGATGATGAAATTGGGCTGTTATTTGTGAGATCGTTTTCCAGTTCATCTAAATTGCTCAAAGACTCTGAAGTATTTTCTTGATCGTTGGTCGATTTCTCAAATTCTGATGTTTTCATCGATTCTGAAGAAGATAGATTTGACTTTGGATGTATAGCACTCTCACTTTGAGTGAGTGATCTGGAGTGAGTTTTTTGTGACAATTGTGGAGAATCAGCGATGTTAATGCTTTCTACGGACGATTGCGGCGTGTTCTTTTTTCTTTGTTTCTCGCTTTCCGCAATTGAAGAAATCATTATCATAGAGGAGTGAGTATCGGTGGTCTCAACATCAGTAAATATACTTCTTGTCCCACTCCATGATTGCGACAAAACACCAGAAGTGAGTGAAAGTGTTTGGTTATAATCATCGTCATCCTGACTGTGTAGAGATGTAAGCTCATCCTCTTCTGTCGGAGTTTGATCCAGATCTTGACTCATGTCATGATTGGCGATTGGTGTAAGATTATAAGTGTCGGGGTCTTCTTCTGTTACACCAGCTTCATTATCTTGACCGCTGGGAGTTGAAGATTGATTTTGAAGTAGTGCAAATCCTTCTTCATTGTCCTCCAGTTCCTCGTCTAGAAAATCAAAATTCCGTAAAACTCTTATATCATCAATACCACTTCCACTCTTATCACTCTCCGTATCACTTTCACTCTCATCCTCATTAGAGTCGTAAGATTTTCCATCGACATCCTCATCTTGAGTGGGTGACATCAGCCTATCAGGTGACTGGTGATATTGGTTCATTTCTTCTTGTGTCGGGTCATGAGACATTTGTAGATGTTTTCCACATATAGGGAGAACACATACAATACTATCGTAAGTACGTTTTTGAGATAAGTGAGGCCTTTTCCAACTCGTTACAATTGATGAAGCAGTGCTTGGGTGGTAAGAAGGAGAACTCGAATGTGGGTGACGTTTACCCATTGATTCATCTGTACGTCGTCGTCCAACAATTGGGGTATTTGAAAGGTTATATTGGAAAGTTAAGGTGCGTCCCGGGAGTTCAAGACGATCCATATCACCACTCAAACTAGAGCTTGTTGGGAGCATCCCAGAAGCAGTTGGCGTGGTGATTGCAGATGATCGAGATACGGCCAGTTTTAAAATATTTAAAGCCTCTTTCCATAGTTTTGTGCTGTTAACAAACTTTGATACAGTACGTAAAATGCTCTGCGTAAAGTCAATTTCCTCAGGGGAGTTTGAAAGTAATATTTCCGACAAGGATAACATGCTACAAATAAGCCTCAAACATGACAGATGAGTAGAAACTGGCCCTTTATCCAACAATTCAATCAAAAATGTCAATTGTTCTCGTATCGAATTAGGAAATGTTTCATGAATATATTTGCATACAACGCTGATCCAAGTCAAGCAGGGTTTGCCATATGAGCGATTGCAGTAAAGACTCATTACGTGAGCAAGAGATTGTAGTTTTTTCTTTTGTGGAAAACTGTCCAAACAAACTTGAGCTACATTATGTGCAGCATCTAAACACATTTGATCTGGGTCATTAAAACAGTCCAATAAATGGGGCAGAAGCGAAATTACATTCATTGAAAAGCCACAACCTTGATCTGCCTTGCCAGATATGAGTGAAAAATTTGATAAAGTAGTAAACGAGGATAATATGTTGAATGTGGCATTGTAGGTGACAGATGACGTAAGACCTTTCAGAAGCATATTTTGAATTCCATGAAAAGAAGTCCACTTTATTTGAGTAACATATCTTTCTATTAGTGAGCGACTTTCCGCCTCTTGCAAAGGCAAATGGGAAAGTACTTTCTCAATAAGTTGAACAGCAATGAGAAATTCGTGTTCATAATCCGATTCCAACAAGGCAACACCAATCCAAAATATTTGAGCAAATGTCATTTTCCTTTCCTTGGACGAACTGTGGGGTCTGACATAGCATGACAATCCTACACCAGTTTCTGAATTCATTGACATACTATGACCAGTGCTCGCAGGTCGACGAAAACTATGTTGAGCTGAAACTTTTCTTTCCAAATTTCCTGACTTTGTTCCTTGAAATGATTCTGCCTCCTTAGGTGGAGATGAGACGGAGTTTGCAGATGACACATCGGACTCAGTAGGATTGTGACATAAACCTGCTGTTGGTACACTAGATGAATGCATGATATCAACAACCATTTTCTTCGACAAAGTTACAGAACCAGATCTGCGATGTGCATGTTTACGTCCTCTTATAGTTGATTCTGGTTGAGCTGTTGCATTCTGTGATGGCAAAGATAATGGAGCAGCACCAGATCTATTTGGACTAGCAGAGTAATTCGGCAAACGACCTGGTGTTGGAGACCTAGGTTTTTTGATTTGCTCAGAATGAACATGCAAAGTGTGGGACTGCTGTGAATTTAAACTTGAGTCTGCTGCTGTTGTGTTACTAAAAGAGGCTTCACCAGAAGACGATTCTTTTCTAATCAATGAAATATCACAATCATGTAGTAAAGTTACAAGAATTTCTATTACTTGTGATTGTGTTTCTTGATCATTACCATAAACAATTCGATTCAAAAGACAACGGACTAATTTATTGAAGAAAACTGGCGATAATGGTAGTTTCAAAGCACGAAATACCTGCAAAGATCGATTGGCATGGTGCTTGTTATAAGTTGCAATTGCAAACTTTGACGCTTCACTTCCAAGTCTCTCCCTAACCTTTAATCTGGGTATTTGTTGCTCAAATAGCTCAATTGTTTTCTGCACAAATGCAGACAGTTGTTCTGTACTGTTTAAAAATAAATTTTTTGGATTAACAACTTCATAAGTCCATAATTGGGTCGTGGCACTGATCAAATTTTTCAAATGTGATGCACACAAATTCTTCAATTGATTTTCGGTTTTTACATGTTCAGAAGGCTCTGTTTCTCCATTTTCAGAAATTGATGTTATTTCCGTATACGAGTACCTGTTATCATCACCTGCTTTGGCATAAATCAACTCATTAGATTTTGGTTGTAAATAGGTAGTAATGGATTGCTGTGATAGAGTATGGATTGCAGAATCCTGAGAATAGGAAAGCACAGTTCCTATCATTTCTTTGGGGATCAAATTAGGTAGTAAAATAATAAAAAGATTGGCGAATAATCTACGGCAGTAGTACGGGACTTCTGGTAGTTGGCACTGGTCGACATTTAGAATCAGAGACAGTAAAACAGACGGTAAATGTATTTGCCAGTTAATGTCAATGCTTCGATAAAAAACAAGCTCTGAAAGGAATATACAAGCTACGTTTGACCGTAACAATCCTTCAATTTTTTCACAATTAATAAATGTATGTAGAGGTAATAGAACCACATTTGATGGAAGTGGTAGAGGCCTTGGTGATAAATCATCTTGGATTGCTACAGACCAATCATAATATTCCTTCAATTGATTTTGGAAGTTCTCAGAGTTCGGTTTTGAATCATGAAATTTAGTTGTGTTACCAATAGCAATAGAATTTCTCAGGGGAGTATCTGTCTTCTCAAAAGGTGATTTAGACCTCAATTCCTTTGCTGAAGTAAATTTTTGTGGCAATTTTGCACTCAATGTTTCGGTGAGTGATTGTTTCGTAAAAAGATCACTTGATCTCCCAGGTGACACAGTGCTAAACTTGGGACTTGAAATCGCACTTGGGGGTGTCGATGAATCGGTGACCGTATTAAGAGAACAAAGTGAAGACGATAATACTGGCGTTCTTTTAGACAAACCAGATCCAACTCTGAATTTTGATTTTTCGACAAAACTCAATTGAGATGATGACATGCTGTCATTTCCTTTTCTATCCAAACTAATAGGGACTTGTAAAGATAAGCGATGGTGGCTCGGCGTAGTTGAACTTCTGGGTTTTCTTTCAATGACAATAGGGGAGGAAGGTCTAGCAGGAGTGGAAGTTGCAATTGATGAAACGTCAGGTGATACTGATAATGGCATGGTAGTATTTTTTTCATTAGTTTGAAAGTCACCTTCAGACAAAGATGGTTTTCTTCCTTCGGGAGAACTACCCTTTTTCAATGAAGAATCTTTGCTGGCATCCAATCTTGGTAATAAACTAACAATTTTGTAATAAGGTGCTGTTTCAATAGAATCCAGAACCAATGATATAGGATCAGCCATTTGACATTCTTCTATAAGAATCGATGTGACCCTTGAACCCTTTGACCTACCGATATAGGTAACAGCCAACCTCGCAGCTTTTCTCAGATTTTCTGTTGTGTGAACAGAATAAAGCGCCATCAAATATTGTAAACAAGCAAGCAAATTTCCATGCCAAGTACTACATAACACAGACCAACAGCTTTCTAGTTCAGGCGCCAAGTTTTGATGATAATATGATGTAAGATACGTAAGGTTGTTCAAAACGTGAAGAGTTGCGTTTTTAGAGCCCCACCCGTCGTGGGGCAGCCAGGGGTGATTTTGTGTAGAAATAGATTTGTGAGGATCATCTACCTTTGTGGAGTCGTCATCAATCAAAACAAGCTCAATATTTTGTAACCAAGGTTGCATTACTTCAAGCAAATGTCTTTGACCAACTAAATTTGCAGACGGAAAACGAACAAATAATTCTGATAATATAGCATGACTCAATTCTGGGTGAGACCGAGCTAATTCTTCAGACATTCTTAACGGATGAACAATATGTGATCCTAGAGAGTGAACAGAAGCACTTCTGCCCTTTCTTTGCAAAGAATTCATCCGATTCTGTGATTCAAGTTTTTTCTTATTTTCTTCGCAACCAGGAAAATATCTTGATAGTAGTGTTGATAGCAAATGTTCCGCTGCCTGAGCAACTTGTGCATCAGAATCCATTGCTTTAAACATAGCAAGATTGAGAATGGAGATTGGATCACTTGCATATTCTGAACTTGAAAAAATGGTGGATATTCCCAGGAAACAACTAGCAGCGATCAAAGATGATCCCGTGTAACACTTACCCACAAGCCAAGTCAATAGGTTTTGCATACCGGGGTTGAAATGAAGCAATAGGATGATTGTCTCTTGTCCTAACTGATGAGCAAACGGATCAGAGCAGTTAAGTAAAGATTCCAACCATTGAAAAAGGTATCCTTCCATGCCAAATGCTTTTTCATCAAAGACAGGACCACAACATAATACAGAGCACTCTGCACACAGCATTGACAGAAGTTGTGAACTAGTTTGCCCGAGCTTGTCTGTATCACTTTCCTGCTGAGCACTAGCGCATTTGTCGCACCAAGAACTGAATAAAAAGAAAAGTTTTTTCCTTGTTTCATTGGATAACATTTGGGGGCGTGAAGAGATAGGAAGATGGCGAATAAGTTGAACAACCATTTCTGCAAAATTAAATCTCATTTCATCTGTACTTTGACCCGTAATCAACATATTACCAAATGAAGTTGTTGATAAATTCTGCTGCTGAGAAGAAAAACTGGTTCCTAATGCCGCATTCTCAGTTTTGTCCATTGTTTCTAAAATTGTACTGGTTTCTTCAATATAATCTTGTAAAATTTCTTTCGGTTTCTTTTGATTAATTAGTTTATCACCTTCTAACAACAAGCCCTCGCTCAGAACTTTATGGGAAGCGAGGTTTGCAAATAATTTCACAAGTACAATCCGTATATTGTCTCTCTTTTTTCTTCTCCGTACATTTTCTTGCTTTTTTGTTTCACTAGCCTCATGAACAAGATGTAAAATTTCAATTACCAAATCATGAAATGCAAACACGCTTGTGTGTCCAAGACCTATAACAGCCCCCTCTCTATACAAAGGGTTGTTGTTTTCAGCTCTGAGTATTGCGACTAAACGATGAAAAAGGGTGGATGGTACTGCGTCCATTCTCTCAACATCCCGAATTAAAGCTACCTTCCAGTCAGGTGTACCAGCTGGAATCGCAGACTCGATGCTCTGCTTTTGTTTAATAAATAGACTTGACGGTGATGACTTACAAGCGAATATCAAATAGTTTGTCCAAAGTGTGAGATTCTGGTCTCCACTCACAGACACAGAGGCAACTTTTTTGCTCCCAGTAGTCATGATAGGTTCAAGATGGCGTTGCATTTGTGACAGACGAATATAAACATCTGGCCAGGAGTAGGCCAAAGCACTAGGACAAAACTTAGGTAAACGTGATGGTTCAACAAAAGAAGTCATGAATAAAATCCAGGGATGAATACCATCTATTTCATGCCAATTACTGGAGCATTCAACTAAAGCAGTCAACTCTTTTTCCGATGCAACAGATGTAATAAGTTCTCTGTCGGACTCTTTGAAATTTTGGACAAATTTTTGTTGTTTCAACACTTCTTCTGTGACCTCTGTACAAAATTCGTCTAACACATCTAAACAGAGTCTATCATCTCGTTTTCCATAATCCAATGCACGTGCAAGTGTACGAACCTCTTTCAAAATATGGCCGGCTAACTTTCTTGTGATACTTCTCGAACTACAAAGTAACACGATTGCAAACCCTTCAATTCGATTAATGATAGGTGCATAAATACACTTTGCCACTATTCGGTGAAGCATGGCCACTAGGATTATTATTTTTTGGCATTATATGATTTTTCTGTTTTGATGCTGGCTTTCCATTACCACTTTCCACATTTGTAACATTATTTTTCCAAGCAATTATAAGAGAAGCTAAAATTTTCAAAGCCCCGTCAAGCAAGACTTGATGGATGTCAGAAACCTGCTTCAAAACAAATGACAAAAACGAAGCCACAACTTCTTCACTAAGAAGTGGGAAATCAACTGCAAATGCCTGTAATGCTGTAATGGCCCGGCTTCTTAATTCTTCATCTACATGCACAGTCAATCGACACAACATTTCTAGTAGATCACTGTGAGGCATGCCATGAGGCATAAGTCTTGGTATTGCAGCTACACATGTTCTAAAAAGTTCAATTTTAGGTTTGTGTTCTCCTGCTAAAAGATCCTGGGGATCTTTATTGGTCAATTGAGAATTTGTAAGCATCATACGAACACCAACCTGAGTATCAAGTGCCAGCAAAATACCATCTAAAGCTCTTTGAACATGCTTATGATAATGAGAAACACCAATTGTCCGAGCCTCATCTTCCGTTAAAGTTTTGTTGATAAATGTCTTTTTGACACGAATTGTATTTCCAGAAGGCATGACATTGATTGTTGATGGCATCGGGGGAGCACCATCCTTTTGTTGTAAACTGTCAGTGATGATTAGAAATGCACGTAGTCCAATATTCATCCTTTCAGGGTATAATGTCACAGGTTTTGTCGTTCTTGACCCAGATAAAGACACTGAAAGCAGGTCTAGAACAATTTCTTTCATCGCAAAATCTAGCCTCTCAAGAGCGATGAATTGAATAATTTTAACAAATATATTGAGAGGTGTGTCTTTTGGTACAACATTTCTTGAACCAGCTGGAAAAAGGCTTTTTACAATTGATTGCAATCTAGTTTGTGTTATTGTATTACTCTCGCATTTGATACGAACCATGTAAACCCAAAGTAGCCTGTATAAGGACTCAAGAGCAACTCTTGACAATTTCTGATCACGACTTTTTAATGTAGATAGGCAACTGTCAAGAAATATATGCCAGTTATTGAAGAAAAAATTTCTTCTGTGAAACACATAATAAACATGTGATTAGTGGAAACATTGCAAGTTTATTTTTCTGCCTTTTAGACAATTCAAGGCTCGTTGGATATAATGAATCCACAAAATCTCGAAGCACCGGGACATTTACTTCAGTTTTAACGGCAGCTGCCACAGGTACAAGAACTTCAACAAACAATCCCGCTAAGGCATGCTTTACTTCTCGATTCTTTATATCCAAACTGTAATTGGCTAATTCCTGAAGAAACCGAAATGATGCCTCAAAATCTTCAATAGGATACATTTTTACTCGAAAATATTTCATTCCCATTATAAGAGAAATCGTTGAACCAGTAGGTGCATCTTTGTCTTTGAGGAGCTCATACATAAATTTATTTCTAACCGCTTGAAATTTTGTTTGTGCAAGCACACCGATTGCCTCTCCATACAAATCCGCAACAATTCGGATTTCTAAAGTATCATTAAACTTCTGTTGACCTGAAACTTGGAAACTTTTAAATGCACGAGCCAATATATAACGTATTTGACTATCTGGAAGTGGGTGTACTGGAATTTGACGTAAAACCTCAATTAGGACGAGGCAGAAAACAAATTCTACTGCAGTTTCTCTACATTTATCTCGAGTATCTTCAGATAGTTGATTGCTGTCACTTTTACCCTTTGAACCTGATTTTGGTTGCTTATCTTCTAACAATGATTCTGTTGTCTGTTTTTTATCAGGTAATTGATACTTGTACCAGTCAAAAAGGGTTTGCAACAAAGATGGTAAGCAATATTCTGCTACGCAACCCAAAGAACTTAGCAATTGATCAAATTGTGGATCTTCGCCACGTTGAAGAGATTTCATTAAACTATCTTTCGTCCATGTTGTACCAGTTGCAGATCCTCTCAAATGAGTATTGAGAAGAACATCTACTTTTTTATCAACTTGAGCTGTAAATTCAGCAATCAAAGTGTGCAAAACAAACTGTCCACTTAGTAGTGATTGTCCATTTGCCTCATTTTTTTCAGGTGTATGATCACCATCCATTTTATAATTAGAATTTAATGACTATCTAATAAGCATCCTTAGATAAAAAAAAAATATCCAGTTATAAATGGAAGACAACTTTTCCCATACAAAAATGTATGAATAAACTATTAGTGTTTATTGCTAATATATCAAATAATATTACTGTTAATGTTTTGCCATTAAATAGTAAAAGCAATACTACTCTTCTAGAAGTTCAACTGCACCTATAACTGTATAACCATAACCAAAAAAATATTCAAGTCAACTTATCAAATTCTAATATAGATGATACAGATGCATATGATAGTAGCTGTTAAAATAAATTAATAACAATTAACTTACACAATAAAATGTAATTTTTTTCTACGATTAAACTCTTATGAAAATTGATCGTCATTTTACATATCAGTATATTGAAATTTGGTTTAAAAAAGTTCGACTTCATTATTGATTAATAATATTTAGAAGACTTGATCATTTTTTTCTTTCGCCTGCTTATGATATAATGGATTTGCCATCACAACCCTGCTTACAAAATATTACTAAACTAATGAGTGGGATGGATGATATTCAAATTGAGACAGGAAATGACCTACGTAATGTATTATCATATAGTACTGTAGTATATAAAAAACTACGGTAATACATTATTGAATATACAGATATACTAGATAGAAGGCATTTCGACTTGAAAATATTAAACCAACAAATATAAAATAAATTGCTGAGATTAATTTTAGGAGACTCAAAGTGGAGATATGTCTTGTTTTACTATATTGTTGATGTTGGGATTGCAAAAAATTGCCTTGCTGTGTGCTTTCAAAATAAACTATCTATCTAACTCAGGGTTTCCCAAACTGGGGTCCGCGGACCCCGGGGGTCCGTGACAACTGCAGAAGGGGTCCGCAACGATATGAATGAAGTCGGATCAACTTTAATGATTGATTTTAATTAAAGAGAAATTGCATATTTTTGGTTGAGCGTTGCAGACGAATATCCATTTCTGTCAGAAAGGGCAATTAAAATCCTTTTGCAACTCCTACATTCGTGAGGCAGCATTTTCACTCTTATAAATATGATGACCAAATACAGGTCTAGACTTGTCGCCCGATCTATAGGTTTGTCACAAACTGCTCGAAAAATTGTGCAGTGAAAAGCAACCTAATTCAGCACATTAATGTCGTTTGTGTTGTGTTGTAAATGAAACAAAGTGTGGGGTCCGTGAAAATTAGGATTCTCAAATAGGGGTCCGCGGTCCAAAAAGTTTGGAAAACTCTGATCTAACTGATGGCAGATCAAGACCAGATAATACACTCCACATTTGACCTTTAGTTCCATATATTCAGCATGGTTTCCATTTTACTTTATGGCAAACCTGCGATGTGACCAATATACAAACAGAGACGAAATGTGGTAATGAATGTTAATCATCCCAAGGAAAAAATATAGTTACTGCCCCGGCCATTGGTGATAACACAGTGCCAAGAAACATTTATATACCGTACATGTTTAATTAAACAACTGAACTGGAGCGGAGGTGGAGCAATTTTCACGTGTGGTACCGGTACCGGTACCACTTTCAGTTGGCGAGGCTCAACAATTTTGACATATGATATTCCCCGGTTATTATTCCCAACCCCATCTGACAATGTCATAAAAAATTACATCATTATGACGTCACAGAGACGTATTAAGACACGCCAAAATATATGGATAGTCGTCCAAAACTCACAGACGATCACTTGCAATCTGAGCAAGTCGCGTCGCATAAGAAGTTACGGTACCGGTAGTCTTTCTCGTCGTAATAATCCGGATATGACAGAGATCGCTGACGGTACAGTGTATTATGAGCTTTTTCGGCCTACTTTTGGATTATGCAAAATAAACTGAAAGTAGGCCTACAGCAGAGTGAAAATTGCCACTGAGTAACTAATTCCTAACGGCACCTGTAGCTGAATTTGGAATTAAAAACTGACAAGTTCACTGATCAAACTCCGGGGACGATCAAAGGTTACACATTACAACCATGCGAATATCTGTCGAAGTGAAAAACAGTCTCTGAGACAGTCAGTCAGTCAGTAGTTTCTTTTTCACCAAAATGAAAATGCACTCACAGTGAACATAAAAAAAGTTGAAAATGACATTTCATGGTGAAAGGTGACGCAAAAAAACAGAGTTGATTATCGAGCAGCGATACCTGTGATAAGAGTCAATAAGACGAACAATATATATATAAATTAATATAATAATATATAAGATTAGAGTCCAAAAACAGAGGCCAGGATCTGGTAGCCTCCTACCCATGCATGGTTTGGGTGTTGGCTTGGTGGTGTATTTGAAGGTAACCATGTCAGCGTTGGAGTTCGACATATTGCTGGTTGGATATAGAATAAGCAGCGTGTGATAGATTAGTTAGACTATGATGTTATTTAAATCTGTAGATCTTAACCCTTTCCATGCGATTTTTATTTTTTATTAAATAATCGTATTTGCTACGCCGACTTTATGCATTTGTACCCCCACAACTAATCGATCGACTAACGTAAAAGTAATGATCCTCTGCTGCCCACTGACGGCTCGTTGGAAAGCTTATTTAAAGAGCTTGCAATTGGCGATTAAAAAAATTGTTTTTTTTAAAAGGGGTGGTCTGAGTCACAAACCGGATAGAAAAAGGGCATTTTTTTTTCTTGGGTGGTGAAACTTCAAACCGTGATAAAAAATAGAAATATTCGCTAAATCCTTTACTGTTACCGCTTCTTGGTTGGCAAACAATAGCATAATATTGCTGTAGCAATTTCGTTATCTAACTCAAAATACTTTGGTCGATGGAAGGGATAATATGTCTTCTATTACCACCCAAAAAACACCGAAATTTGCATAAATTTCAAAAACACTCCCTCGTTCCGCCGCAAATAAAATTTCAATGGTAAACGAAGCGAGATTTACCGTCGCTTATGTTAATCTCGAAGAAGACTTCTTATCAATAAACTAAAACCCGGAAAAACTAGACCAACAGTTTGCGACCGATTGCTAAATAAAACAGTGAAGTACATCAACGTACCCGCCGCAATCTAGCGAGTTTTGTCGTGGGTACGTATACGTGCCCACCGCACGGAAAGGGTTAATTATACGGCGAATAATGACAACCTGCTAAAATTTCGATTGTTACGTCACGGATTAGTCTATCTTATGGAAGTAAACAGGGAGTCGTTGCTCGGGGAAACCTGGATTTTATTGTAACAGGCGGCTGTGCACTTGCGTTGGATTTATTCTCATTGACTGATTTGTGTATATTATGGTACCGATACCGGTATGTTATTACGAGGAGTCACTCTTCTGCACATATTGAAACAAATTGTCGGAAAATCATACGGTAATTGCTCATAGAATGATAGCACATTTGCACTCGTAACGTAACTGTTACTAGGGGCGAGAGCACATTTGCACCCAGGTACATTTGATTTCGTCAACTGCACCCGGGACATTTGCAGCTTCATACATTTGCACCCACGGACATTTGCAAACATACGTTTCCACAACCAGATTATAGAACTCGCATAATATACCCGCGGACATTTGAACCCAAGATCGTTCGCACTCTTGTTCATTTGAACCCACGTACATTAGCACCCACGGATATTTGCACCCACGTACATTTCACCCATTTACACCTGCAACCGCGCTACATTGGTGTGAATGTACGTACGTAGGCTATAACATGTTAATTGCAAGATAGCTTGCATCTTCGAACAACTATAACATACACATTGGGGGTGAGAGTATATTATTATTGACACAATATTTAGTCAAAATGCCGCGAAAACATATTTCACAAACAATAATATGAAACAAAATTATTGGCATTTGGTTCGTGAAGACGTTTACAATTTTCTAGAAATATATTTATTAATTTGCTTCATATATTTTCAATAAATCTAGATTGGATTAGAAAGAAACCTCACGTGTTGTAAACAGGATTTTCTAAATAATCCGTGCCGTATTTCTTTTTGGAATTTTTCCGCCTATCGGGTTTGAGGTCAATTTTGATGTCATTATTATCAAGTTCCAGATCTTCCTACTTCATTATCATAGGACTGCATATGGTAGCATTCCACCAACTTTTGTGATAATAGGATTCTCAAACACAGGGATTGATTCCTCCCAAATGCCAGCATGAAGATTGAAAGTGCAATGATGACAGTCGATTTTCGAGTTATCTTTATTTTCGTTATTTATGAGAGTTTCATTCCTTGTTTTAAAATTTTCAACAATGCAACTCTTTAGTTTTATCAGAGCCATTATATAACGGCTTTGGTTTTATTATTGTTGTACTAGCGCTCCGATCTCTTCTGCAGAATTTTTCTCTGCTCCTTGATTCGATTTTTTTTTCAAAATCTATTCTACTTTTTCAATAATGCCTCAGGTAGAATCTCTGAATCCCCGTCGCCTTCTTTTGAAAATGTGTCAAACCTTTTTGCCGGAATCTACCGGAACGAATTTTTCAGTTTTCGCTTTTTTGGCACGGATTTATTTTGTGATATTTTTTCAAAAATAACATTTCGACAAGTACTCCTTTCTTCTCTTAGTTTTTCCAGAATCATTGCTTAACGACTTGAGAATTCCATGTTTTTCAGTATGCATAAATTGGCACTTCATTGATTTTATATTGTCGTCTTTACATTCCATACGACTAGTATACGTATCTTTACTTTTATTTTCTTTAAAGTTCATAAAAATTTTCATAAAGAAATCTAAATCATTAATGAAACGAGCGTAAGACATATGTAGATTTGATTCAAGTGCATAAAGAAGCGATTATATGAATAAATTAAACTAAAAAAAAAAATAATATCTCACCTCATAAATGGTAATTTTACTTTTAAAAATAAATTCTTCTCTTTGTCTTAGATTCATTTCCTTTCAGTTATAATGATGATGGTTCCTAAATTCATTGTAACTAGAATAAATGTAAATATCCGTTTCAATAATGCAGCAAAATCAGATAGAGCGGTTTTAACTGTATTTTAATACCATTTATATACAATATTATATAGTATGAG